GCTAAAGGTGGTTCTGGAATGGCAATAGGAACCATCTGTAAAGTTGTTGTTGGCAAAGACAGGCACTTTCAAAAAATACTTGGAAGAAGGTGACTGGTAGAAGCATCACAGTTTACAGTTCGTAGAAAGTTCTCAAGTTAAACCAACTCTGAACCAACACTAGCACTGGCCCAGAACTAGCACTAGGTTTGCGTTGGTGGAAAGCATTTTTTTAGATTTTAGGTCCAGTTTGTTCCAGAATGTTAGCGAGGTTCTAGGAGGTTATGGTGCTGTATGATGGTTCCACAGTTATTCAAGGTTCTAGAAAGTTTTAAGGAGTTCAGTAAAAGTTGTTTTGAGGATTCTAGAGTGTTGAAAAGAAGTTTAGAAGCTTGTGTTGAGATACTCAAGAATGTTTGATGGTTCCAGATAGAATTTCACAAGAATTCTAGAATGCTGTATTAGTTCTAGAGCATTGTGTGGTTGTGCATCGTTCTGGAAGTTCTAAAATGGAGAATGAAAAACAGAATTTTGTAAACGTATTCAGGTTCGAAAGAAAAAATTTCAAAAGCTTTCAAGCCTTTGTACAATTTCAGATATTCAGATCAAAGTTTAGTCAGCATTTTCTGACGAGTGTTATCAAGTATTCTAGAGATGTTTGAGAGGCTTTCTAGAGATGGGCCTCAAAAAGTCCTGTGGGTCTGTGGAATGGTTATAATGTTTTTTAATATATGAAATTTTAAGATGTTCCAGAGGAGCTAAAAAAATATATTTAAACACGTTTTGAGAATTGATGGCTCTAGAACGTTCTGAAAGTGTGTTTCTCCATGTTCCAGTTCTACCGGGATGCAAAGGACTGGTGGCTGTTTGGCTTCTACTTCTGCGTACCTCTGGTCTGTTCTGCTGTTTTCTACGGCCTAATGACCTGTGAGATGCTCAGACACCAGAAAGGAAGTCTGAGGATCGCACTGAGTGAACACCTTAAACAGGTACACACACACATACATCAGTATATACGATACAAGGACTGACGTTTTGATGATAATACATAAGTCAGCTTCTGAGGCAAGTTTTTTCTCTCCACAGCGTAGAGAAGTAGCTAAAGCCGTGTTCTGCCTGGTGTTGATCTTTGCTCTGTGCTGGTTTCCGCTCCATCTGAGTCGCCTGCTGAAGAGCACTGTGTACAAACCCCATGATGCACGCCGCTGCGAACTGTTAAAGTAGGTGCACAAACACGAAAAAAGTCAAATAAACTGAGAAAAGTTGTATTTTTCCTACTCCTTCTTCTCTGTTTTTGTAGTTTTAATGCCCTACTGTAATTTATTGTTCTTGTTACCCATCGAATGTGTTCTTCTTCTGTGGTTGCAGTTTCCTGTTGGTGCTCGACTACTTAAGTATCAACATGGCAACCATCAACTCCTGCATCAATCCCATAATCCTCTACGTTGTCTCCAAGAAGTTCAAAAACTGCTTCAAGGTAAAAAGCTGAATATTGTTGTGCTTTGTGGCTGAGAGTGTTACTGATAGAGGATGTCAGAACAGCTGTGGACCCGAAGTCAGGCTGACATCACATTGAGGTCACTGGGTCAGAGGGCGTGAGACATAGATATCACAGGGCAAGAAAAGGAGACTGTCAGATGTTTTGGGATTGCAGATATCTTGAGGAAAGAGAGTGACGAACGCCTAAGCATAGAAAGGTCGTGACCTCTGATAAAAGACTTGTGGGAAGTGACCAGTGATACGTCTGTTTAAAGGGGCACTCCACCGACTTCACACATACAGTAAAGTTCATTCCACTCATCATGAGGAATCCACCTGTGTGTGAAAACCAGTGTGTAATGTTTTCTGAGGCTCTGAGAAAATAATCTTTATCTCTGCTTTGGCTTGGAGACTCAGAGAATTCCTACCACAAAGTGTGTAGTACAAGGCAAAGACATGGGCATTTATCAGACAGGCAGGGCCAAATGGAAAGATACTGTTGGTTGCATAATGGGAAATGTAGTTTCCATTATGTTTATGGAGCTTAAAATATTCTAGGGCAAAACCTATTCCCATGGAGGCCCATGCACTCTAAAAAGTAATTCAGTGCAACTATTGTCACCACTTAAATAAATGTATGGTTGCAAGATACAAATTTATTGAGTTAGATAAACTTTTTAAGTTGCAAGCATTAGTTTGGTCAGTTGTGTTGACATAAACAAGTTCATCTTTATGAGTATCCTAATCAACATAAAAAAAATGCTTTTATGCTACCAATTATTAAATAAGTGGTAATTAAATATACTTTTGATTGTAGAATTCAGTGTAGTGTATTTGTTGAACATTACTTTATTAGTTAGTTCGGTTAGTAAACCTTAAGGCCCGCCTGCCCCACTTTGGGCAGCCCTCTCCTAGGGCCTAAATATCAGGATATCTCAGCCGCTGTTGCTTCAATTTTGTCTCTTGTGAGTCCATTTGACTTTATAGAGGTACAATACAAAATCGTTGGAGTACCCCTTTAATCAAACTCCCCCTCTGTCTCCCTCCCTCTCCCTCTCTTTCTCTCTCCAGTCCTGTCTGTGTTGTTGGTGTTATTCTGGCTCTCTCTCCAACAGTATGCTGCCCCTCCACCATGGGACAAGCCTGCAGTACAAACACACTGAACACTGAGAGAGAGAGAGAGAGAGAGAGAGAGAGAGTCTGCGTCTTTATCTTCAACCAGCAGCTCAACCGGACTGAACAAAGACACCCAACACCCACTGAAAGACACTGTTGTGTGATTGTGCGTGTGATACAACAGATAACCACTATATAGATCCTCTAGTGTTTTGTTTTTACCTTTTACTGGCGTATTTATTCAGTTCTACATACTGTATTATATTTTATTACAGACTAAATATTGTATGGTGATATATTATACACTGCATGTCCAAAAGTATGTGGACACATAGTGTGTTAAACTTGAAATCTAGACAATGCCTCTGCACAAAGCCAGCTCCAGAAAGAAATGCTTTCCCCAGCTGAGCTCTGACCACACAAATGAGATGCTCAGCAATCACATAATGTATGTAATTTTTGGGTGTCCACTTACTTTTGGCCATGTAAAGTATTTATTATTATGTTTTATATGTAAAATATTCAATTGCAACTGTACCTGTAAGTCTGAAGTTTAAAGCTGCACTAGCAGCCCCTAGAGGCTGCATTTTTCATTACATCCCACGATATGAACCTGCTGACAGAGTGAACGACATACTGATGAGTTTTATGTTCTACTTGTGGGGCTAAAGATTTGTCCTAATGGTGGCACTAAAGGAATTGTCAAGAAGTCACCATAAACAATGTGTTTCATCCTCTACGCATCAGCAAAAATCCGCTCAGTATCGGAAGAAAGCAATAGACTGACATCACAGTTTTTTAAAATTAAATTATATGTTTGTGTTTATCAATAAAGTTATATTCTCAAAGATCTCACAAGGATCTGTTTTGGTTTGTGTGTGTGTGTGTGTGTGTGTGTGTGTGTGTGTGTGTGTGTGTGTGTGTGTGCCAAACGTCTGCTTTAATTAATTTTCCAGTACACTGCCCACAGTTAAGAGCAGTTGTAAAGTCACACACACTCATCTGGTTTCCAGCTGAAGCTCTGTGAGGCTGTACGTACACAGTGCTTTGAGCTAAATGCTAATATGATGGTGTTTAACAGATGTAATGTTTACCATGTTCATCATCTTGCTGTGCTGTGGTTCATGCCCCCCGTCAGAAGCGGGAAAAAAAGTCCACACCCTCCACCTCCGCAAATCAATCCTACCTCATCAATCCTAAACACTAACTGAGAAATAAAGAGGTCAAAGTCAGCAACCTCTTCCCTTAGAGGGCCAAAAGCAAACACCTTTTGTATTTTATATTATATTATTAAGATGAAAAAGGTTAATAGGAACCCAAGTTCCCTTGACTGACTTCCTGCACAAAGTGTGTGCTCAGATAATCTATAGAGGGTCACATATATTTACAGAGCATTTTACTGTACAACAAATAAAATCAGCATACACACTGATTTATATTACAACTTTTAAAACACATTTATCATTTTATTTTGCTTGAACCATCTTTGGCCATTGGGCCCTACTTTGCTCTGCACTAGAGGAGAAGTCATTACAGTCATTAGGTTTGGTCCTCTGGGCGCTGTGAATATTTGAACCAAAGATCATGGCAATCCGTCCAAAAGTTGTTGACGTATATTAGTCTGCAGCAGCTCTATCCTCCATTCAGCCTCTGTACTGAACTGTGCTTCATTTAAAACCAGATAGTTATGTCATCTCCATCAGTTAATGTCTCACTTTTTGATTTCAACAGGAGCAGTAATATACACCAGATGGATCCTCAGTATGTGGTAATAATGCAGGCATCAAGGCCTTTAATCTTTTTGTATATTGTGTGTTTTTCGTGGTGCATTCAGTGGTACAGTAAAATAAAGCTTTCCTGTTTATTTCCCCACCAGATTTTTTGTCCCTTGAGCCTCTGAAACAGCATTTACTCCTTGAGAAATAAAAACTAATATAACTGAAATAAAATAAGTGACAGTGGCCGCAGTGTGGACGGAATGTGTGTTAAAATACCCTTTAAATTAAGATAATTAGATTTGTCGGGTGAAAGCGGCTGTTTGTGTCGCCTTCCTGTCCACCACGTGACTGATGTCCACATTCCTCCCGGTGACGTGGGCGCGTAAACACGGGAAACGGGAGGCCAAACGCGGACAGGAGCTGCACCCTGAAGCCCTCCGCCGGACGGATTAACGATCCGCTGGTGATCGATCAGAGAGCTGATCGGCCGGTGATCGGAGGCCTGAGCGGACCGAACAGGGACCGAGGAGGAGCGGGGTCGGTTTGCGGTGCGCGGTGGGGCGGAGGAGAGATGCGTTGCCTGGTAACAGAAACTGAACTGAGGATGAAAACAGGCCAACCGTCACTCTGAGTCAACATCTTCAGCTTCAGCGGTCCAGATATCTGTATTTATCTCTCCATTTGAAGTGTTTTATTCTCTTTATATGCTGTTTTCTCTGTGTAATCGATAATTATGTCCACATTTGATATTTTTTAGCCAATTTTGAGCGAAATACACTAATAATTCTGTAATATTGCTTTGTGATGTGGTGTTTAATGGTACGTTTATAGCGACCTCGTTGCATTTTAGACTAATTATGTAGGGAAATTAAATATTTTATGGCATTTCTAACATCCATGACATTGCAATATTACACATTATAGGATATAATCTTTGTTTTTACTGTCAGAAAGTATGTCTGTAACAGTCGGTTCAACCTGTAGATAGCTACTTAATATATGGTGGCCTAGTTGAAGTATATTTCATTAAAGAAGTGTTTCATTAAAGGTCCAGTGTGTAACATTTAGGAGAATCTATTGGAGGAAATATAATGTTCATAGGTATGTGTTAAATAAGAATAACAATGTTTTTGTTAGCTTAGTAATAAAATATACACAATTTAGTTAAACTTTATTGTCATTATACTTTTAACAAAACATGGTCATTTCTAGATGATGCACATTGTTAAAAGTTGGGTTGAGAATTGTAATAAATAGTATATAATACGTTTCTACACATAAGAGTGTGACCTGTTTCTCTCTAATACCCCTATCGGTTTCCCCCCCCAGGTGTGACCTCCGGTTTAGGATGTGCCTGTAGTCGACGCCGAGGGTAAAGCAGCCGTCATGCCGTGTTCGTGCGCAGAGTGGAGGAGGTGGATCCGCCCGCTGGTTCTGGTTCTGTACGCTCTCCTGCTGGTGGCCGTGCTGCCGCTCTGCATCTGGGAGCTGCAGAAAGACAAGGTACACCTCCTTCTTTATGAGCTCCGCACAGACCCGCTGCCCCTCTGACCACATCTGGACCTTCCGGCTTCACTAAGTCAGGATTTTGGTCTATTAAGCTCTGGTGGTTACAGTTCTAAAGAAATCCAACAAAGTAACACTCTCACTCAGATTTTTCTGTGTGTGTCTCTGTGTGTCTCTGCAGGTTGGGACTCACAGTAAAGCCTGGTTCATTGCAGGCATCTTTGTCTTTCTGACCATCCCAATTTCACTGTGGGGGATCCTGCAGCACATTGTGCACTACACCCAGCCTGAGCTGCAGAGACCGATTATCAGGTGGACACACACACACACACACACACACACACACACACACACACACACACTTTTAAGTTTGCTGTAAAGTAAACAGTTTACCTCAATAATACTGTAGATATATAACTACAGTAGTTGCCTGAAATGATGCTCTCTTCCTCTTTGTCTCTCTGCACCAGAATACTATGGATGGTCCCTATCTACAGTTTGGACAGCGTGAGTCATAATTACACACACACACACACACACACACACACACACACACACACACACACACACAGAGGAAGTGACAGTGGCCTGTCCACTCTGTTCTATTACATTACGTTGCCGTGGCAACGCACCTTAATTGGAGGCAAAGGGACATTGTCACAAGACCACAGGTCAAGCTACACACACTCTTCTGTGTCTGTTTAACTATTTCTGAGTTTAATTTTATTTGAATAGCGCCACATCATATCAGAAGTTATCTCAGGACACTTTTCATATACAGCAGGTTCAGAACGTACTCCTTATACGACTCGTTTAATTCTTTTATATCATATATTATTATTTTAAACCCAATATTTCCTACCATGACCAAACACTGTGGCAGAGGAAAATCTTACTTAGAACAGTCAAAGCAACAATAACAACTATATGACTAATAATAATAGTGATGATAACAAAGATGAGCAGCAATTATGATGATAATAACAATAAAATGATCAGTCTTATAAAGTCGGTTAACTCCATTGCAGTTAATGTAATTATAATACATGGTAACATCTTTAATCCTTTTCTTTCCACCTTTGTTTCTTTCTTCCTGTCTTTCTTTCGTGTGAGTCATGCACATCTCGACAATAATAAATAATCCCTTTATTACTTTCAATCTCTTCTCCCTCCTGTGTAGTGGCTGGCTCTGCGGTATCCCAGTCTGGCCATCTACGTGGACACATGCAGGGAGTGCTATGAGGCCTACGTCATCTACAACTTCCTGGTGTTCCTGTTGAGCTTCCTCAGCAACCAGTACCCCAGCCTGGTGCTGATGCTGGAGGTCCAGCAGCAGCAGCCACACCTGCCCCCGCTCTGCTGCTGCCCTCCATGGCCCATGGGAGAGTAAGAGGAGGAGGGCAGGTATACAGTGGGGTGACTATATGATGGATGGATGTTAAAGTGTTTCTCTCTGTTTCTCTCTCAGGGTGCTGCTGTTCAGGTGTAAGCTGGGAGTCCTCCAGTACACTGTGGTCAGACCTGTGACCACCGTTATAGCGCTGTAAGTTTTTTCTACTATTTTACTTATAACCATAAGTTCCCACTATGAGGCGACCACTGTAGGTTTTCTTACCATAGCCACGGTAGATTTCTCACTGTAACCATGGTGATATATCAATGTAGTTTCCTCACTGTAACCATGGTGACACATCACTGTAGTTTTCTTACTGTAACCATGGTGACAGCACTGTAGTAGTAGCGTGGCACTGTAAGTAGTTTTCTGTAACCATGGTGATACTTTTCACACTGTACAATCTGTAACATGTAACCGTAGTTTTAACACGGCATGCTAGTGACACAATGATCGTGGTTAGCAAGGTAGCTAACTGTAACCATGTAACCATGGCAATAGCCCTGTTCATACTGTAGTCACATCTATTCTTCAACAGTAAACAACAGCGCCAGGGTTTGGCTTATACATTGCTCTGAATAATGGTAACGCACCGGAACAAAAGGTGGCAAAATGACAAATATGTGAGTGTGAAATGTGAATTTCTCACTTTAAAATGTTTATTTCTTATTTGGGAATCTGAGAACACACATTGAACTTTTGGAAGCTGAGAAGCTGAACATTTATTGTTTCCTTCTCTGCAGGATCTGTCAGCTCTGTGGGGTTTATGATGAAGCCAACTTCAGCTTCAGAAACGCCTGGTCCTACCTGGTCATCATCAACAACATATCACAGCTGGTAAAGACACACATAATGGATTGCACTGACTCACTATACTTGTGAGGACTCTTATTGTCATAATATAGTACATTCCTAATCCCCTTAAAACGTGAAAGTACAAAATGGAAGTTAAACTCACCACAAACCAGTTGGTGGTACCTTTATTTCTTCAGTTGATAACTGTTGGAGTGAGTATTCAATTTTGAGTTAATGTTAGATTTGTAGAAATGACAATTACAATTTGACACACTGCACATTTTTTCTGTTGCACTATAGGGATAGTATAGAACACATACATTTCACAGTTGGAAATCAAACATAGTTTGGAGTCATAATGCTGTATGTTTGGCTGCCATTATTGTTAAGTATACAGTAAAGTATACATATCTTTATCCCTCTCTCCAGTTTGCCATGTACTGTCTAGTGCTGCTGTACCGAGCTCTCAAAGAAGAGCTGACTCCCATCAGGCCTGTGGGCAAGTTCCTCTGCGTCAAACTGGTGGTGTTTGTCTCCTTCTGGTAAGTATGGAAGGATAAAGAGAGTAATTTGCTGCGTTTCTCTGTTTTATATAAGTGTACATTGAATTTGATGCTCTGGGAACGACAGTTAATCAACTCTCTGAAGAAATAATCAGCAGATTAATCAGTAATATATTTTGTAACTAAATTGTTATTGTTATGTAAATTCCACCCTTAGTTGTGACACATTTATCTTCCTCTTTCTCTCTTCAGGCAGGCTGTTTTCATAGCGTTTCTGGTGAAGGTCGGCGTGATCTCTGACAAACACACCTGGGACTGGGACAGTGTGGAGGCCGTGGCTACCGGATTGCAGGTCCAACAAACATTTATAAGCAAATCACTCATATTGATACCTCACAGTCATGTGACCTTTGACATAGGACTTATTTGAATTAACTGATTGTTTATTTGAAACAGGACTTCATCATCTGCATAGAGATGTTCCTGGCTGCCATCGCTCACCACTACACCTTCACCTACAAACCATACGTACAGGTAAACATTTCATCTATCTATCTATCTATCTATCTATCTATCTATCTATCTATCTATCTATCTATCTATCTATCTATCATCCTGTCTATTCGTCCCTTTCCTCCATCCAGGAGGCAGAGGAGGGGTCATGTTTCGACAGCTTTCTGGCCATGTGGGATTTCTCTGACATCAGAGCGGATGTCACAGAACAAGTCCGCCATGTTGGTGCGTGTCTCATTATTATTCTTCACACTGCTTGAATTAGTAATAATATCTGCATCTGCAGCTATGGTAAATATCTCTGCCACCCCCCTCCAGGTCGTACTTTCCTGGGTCGTCCCAACAAGATGTACTTCGGTACGGTAGTTCGACCCGAACACACTGAGCACACCGGCCTCCTCACATCGACCTCCCAGGACCCCGTCGCCGCAGCAGCCACATCGATGCCCTCCTCCCCCTCCTCGAGTGGGCGGTACCAGGGCCTTGGCCACACCACCGCCCCACACTCTATCTCCGCCCCTGCAGGGTTCACCTCCTCTTCCTGGGATGACGACAGCGACTCACCTGAGGCAGGTGACAGCCAATAACAGGGTGACACCACTGGAAGCACATAGCCAGGGGTGGGAACTTCAATCTCTCTTTATGTCCTTTGCCCCCTTGTTTTGATGTGCTTCATAGCTATGGACAAATAAACTCTAAGTTCTGTAAACTCAGAATAAAAATGTAAACATGGACTGAACTCTGAATGGTTTTCATCAGGATGAAGCAAAGGAAAGCAGAGAAGAGAAAGAGTCGTCACTCTGTGATGTCAAAGCCATGTCAAATGTATTTTTAAAATAATTACCCAGTTTTAAATGTTTTAAATCTGTATTTTAATGTCTAATGATGTCATTTTGATAAATGTATCTCTGACTGTTGAAAGAATATTTGATGTTTTCATCAGAGTGGAAGCAGCTTGTTGGTTTTACACTCCCACGGTGTTGAAGTGTCCTTGAAGTAGGTTTAACCATTTGTTTTAATTCATAATAAAGGAACATGCCATATCTAATCACCAGAAAATTGGATTGTTGCTGTTGTTAAATGTGATTCCACTCTTCTGAAAACTCAAGCAAGGTCTAGTAATAACAACAAGGAAAACATGGATGTAACATCTGTGATGCTGACCGCAGGCTGACTGAAGACACGTTTTGAGGCATAGATGTCTGCATGTGCCGCTTGCCATCCAGAGAATCCAAATTTGGGGCAAATTAGGTTAGAGTAGAGCTGGGCTAAGCCAGCAGCAACCATTATCCTTATATCCCTAAGTTCCTACACTAACTAACATTATACGAGATTGGTAAGGGCTACCCTTGCAGTTCAAATAGCAAATGAACAAAGATATCTGTGGAGACAACATTCAGATTTTAACAGTAGTTTCATAGTTTACTGGGATTAGTCAATGCTGTACAATGCTGTTGTATGCCAGAAAAGAATATGCATATCACAAACATTCCCTGTCTGACAGATTTGGAAAATTGAATGGATCATTTTGCATGTGAATAAAGAAATAATGTTTAGAAGTTGTCAAGAATCTGACAATTTCACTGAGAAGCAAATGGTTATTGAGCAATTTGTAGACATTTGCACTCTTTTGAACATTAGACAAAACCCGTGCAAATTGCTTGATGAATGAAAATTTGTTCTGGACATCAAACTAGTTGTTGAGAAAACTTATTCAATAACTGAGGCAAAGGAAATGAGAAAAACTGTAATAATGGCTGGATTCCATTTAGCTGCTTCAGTTTCAGGGGGTTGTGCATGCTGACTCGCTGTCACTCAAGATACTTTACAAAACCTCTGTGAGCTTGTAGTAGAGGTCTGGCAAAACGTCTACAGCTGATTACAAAAGACTCATTGCCTCATTTCTACCATGTACACTGGAGTCACTACTGTACACTTGTTATTAGTATTTCTCACCACTAGGTGACACAGATGGTCCATTAAAATTAATCATGAGCACAAAATAGGACAAACTTTGCAAGAGAATCTAACAGAGAGAAAACAAGCTGTTGAAACCAAACTGACACCAACCGTAAATGGCTATCTATACTTTAGAAACTATTTTCACAGGAAAAAGGAAGTTTGAGGTTAGACATAGCTTCTTTTTTACAAACGCCCCTCCCATTTAAAATACCACAGAGCAACGGCTACAAAGATACGTTAAAAAGGACAAAGGAACCCCAAATTGCTCCCAATGCTGTGCATCGGTGTGTGAGTGTGTATGAATGTTAGTTTCTGTTCGATGGACTTTACCATCACTGAGTGAATGTGTGTGAAAGGATGAATGTGGTATGTAGTGTAATAGCGCTTTGAGTGGTCGGAAGACTAGAAAGGCACTATACAAGTACAGGTCCATTTACCAAGTACAAGTCCATTAAACATAAAGTTAAACAATATAAATACATACAGTAGCTGTTATAAACAGATGATAGCAAGTGCAGGAGTGCATATTCTAAAATAAATACTGTATTGTTAATAACTTTTCAGGAGTGGCTTAATTAGCTTAAATTAACTCACTTGGGTGTGACAATGAGAGGATATTAACCCCCAGTGGCTTTGCAATGCTCACCCAACCTTTGGCCCATTTTACTGTGTATCAATAACTGCCAGTGATTTAATATTTCACATCCATAAAGTGGGAGTCCTCACAAGAGACAGATTTAAAAAATAAATCAGCAGAGGATGAGATATCCTGACTTTCAGTCACTAATATGAGTTAAACTTCAAAAACAATGGTTCCTACATTTCCCATAATGCAAATGTTCTACCTACAGTCTGTAACTTTAAGACCAGATCAGATAATCCTGATGAGTAACATGAGATATTAGTGTTTTTACAAACTTTTGTGACTTGCCTGTTGAAATAAATAAGTAAATAAAATTGTTTTGACACTTTCATGTTATATTTGTTTCATTTAAACATATGCAGAAAAGAAGTGGGTGATATAATATAATTAATGTATGTAATGTAATATATAATGTATTTCTTATGCATGTACAGTTTTCTTTTCAATTGCCCAGACATAAAAACTAGTACTAGGCACAGTTATTGAAAACACTAACTCGTGTTACATCTTACATTAGACATGTCATTCAAACAAAAAGCCTGTGTGTGTTGTTTGCTGAACAGTGCCACTGAAATATCACATTTGATTATCAGTCTTAATGTACCTGTAAAAAACATCTATAACCAATTAGATCGCCTTGAATAAAAGCTTTAACGCTATAGATGTGATTCAGGTTTGCTCTTCGGTGTGCACAACAATGGCAGTTCAAAATTGGGAGGGAAAATTAAGGCCTTTCTCATTTCCGAGTTTTTACATCCTCAGTTCCTGTCCTTGATTCCTGTCCTCACATGTTAGTCCCTCCCACACAGAGGGGTAGAGAAGGCTCAAATGAGAGAATTGAGAAAGGCCCTTAAAGAGGAAGAGTACAGGAGGGGACTAAGAGAAGTAGGAGGAGAACGAAATAGCAGAGCTGTCACAGGTCTATATGATTTTGCAGTATTTCATAAAAAGGAGATGCATTCTGTAATCTTATTTACAGCACGCTACAAAATGCCAAAGACTCCAGAGAATTGTGTTTTTTACTTAATACATATGGTGTGCAGTTGGCATGTGTTTGGTGTCAATTTTATAGAGTTTATATTGTTTTGAATGCAGTGTTTTGATTTTGCAAGAGATATTTTGTGAATATTGTGGGGTTTTGTGCGTAGTATTTTGTCAAAGAGAGACATAATTTAGGAAACTGTGTTTAATCAATAGTTTTTTAAAAAGTGTCTATATAACAATACTGCAGTCACATGATACTTGTTATTTTGTTGCACCAGGTGGCACTAAAGCTCCGTTGCTGTAAAATGCAGAGGGATCACAGGTTTTGTTTGAACAGGGTCTTAAACTGAATTACATCACTAATAATCATGTTTAAACTCTGTGAGACTCACACAATCAAAAAATATATACATGATACCGTCCAACCTGCTGACTCTCGGTCTGTGATGTTGGTGTGTTTACGTGGTCTTCTAGTCATGTGTTTAGTGAGGAGGCGGGGATTGGAAACCGAAAGTAAGTTTTGACGCAGTTACATTTTAGTGCTGCGTTCATGTCTGTCCACAGAAACCAGAGACATACTGTGGGGGGGAAAGCACGCGTCTTTTGGGTAAAAGTAAGTGTCCGTGTGTGGTCCTGTGTTTTCTTATGTGATTGGTGTGTTCTTCGCGTCCTTTAGTGTCCGTGGACACATATTGTTTTCCTGTAATATCGAAGCGCTCAGCAGCTGTCACATTCAGCTACAACACAAAGACGACAGTAAACTCGAGGATATTGTTTTAATCAGAAACAGCAGTGACTGTGGACGGAAACAAAGTCGCCTTATAGTTCAAACTGTACGGATTAATAATGTCCCTGCTCACTGGAGAGGACGCACCGTTTCATTTAATGTTTATAAACAATAATATCACGCATGCGCAGACCAGACCACAGTTTTTTGGGGAAATTCCAGTGATGTCATGCTGTTGTGTTGTTGGATATCTGGGTTAAATTTTGTTTAAACTTAGTTTTTTCCCAGTCTAGTTATATAAAACGTTGTGTCAAATATCTTTAATTAAATCAGTTTCTTTTCAATTCTAAGAGAATTACAAGTCTGAAATAAAAACAACAAAAATAGACAGGAATATAAATTATACAGTAAAACAAAAAGTGAAACATAATAACTTAAAATGAAATAGAAAAAACTTGAATTTAGAAATGCACACAAATAAATGAAAACTATAACACACTGCAACATTTTTTTAAATCTACAGTATATAAAATATTTAATATGTACTTTTAACTCCACTATATTTGATTTTATCAGTTACTTTTCAGACTAAGATTTCACATAAAATCATATTATAATTATACAGATTGCACTGTGATAATATAATTATATAAATTCATTATATTATTTCATATTATAATAGCACTTTTACTACTGATACACATTGAAATATACAGTTGTAATGTAGATTTTACCTATAAATATATGAATATAAATATATATTATAATATATTTTGTAAATATATACATTTATCCCAAGTTTAAACTTTTTAATGTCAACATTTTTTGTATTTGATATTTAACTTTTGCTCTGACATTTTGTATGTATTTATTGTATGCAGGCTTAGAAAAAATCCAAATGAATGTAATGTAAAAGCCAGAGGGATCAAATAAACTGACTGAAAAATGATATCATACTGAAATATGTCGTTTTGCTTCCAATAGTTGTGTTTCAGCTGCAGCAGTAGAGATGGCAGAGAAGAGGAAGACGAGGAAGCGTTCGATCACCTCATCCTCTTCTTTGACATCTGAACAGCCAGTGAGCACCAGCAGTGAGCCAATCAGGTAATTTAATTTATGAACATGAGAAAAACACACTGTAAAAACATTCCAGGTCTATGTATTACAAAGTCCTAGAAAATTCTGCTATATATGGCCAAAGTAATTAGTACCTTTGCATATTATTAAATGCACCATTTTCCATTGGAGATTAGAATATCTTTTACTATCAGTTTGATGTCTGTGTTTGGTTTACAGTGCAACAAAACTAAAAAGTTATAACATTGTTACCCCTTAAAAGTTGTAATAAATATTGATCTAGAGTGATACTTTAAATTGATTATTGTGTTTTTAGTATCACAGGTATTAGGTTTAGTATCTTACAGTCACTCATGCAGTCAGATTTAAAGGAGAAAATGACTTACTCTGTCCAATGTGTGCATGACACTGAACATGAAAAACAGAAAGAAAAGAAGAGAGTGGAGTGAGTGGTAGTGCCTACCATGCCTACTGTGAAACAAAGAGGGGATTCAGTGATGTCTTAGGGTTGCTTTGTGCCTTGAATCTATGCATGATGATTTGTTGCAAAACATACAGCCCAGTGTCAGAAAGCTGTGTGTAGGGTCTGGGTCATGGGTCTTCCACCAGGATAATGACCCCAAACATGCAGAAAGTACCCAAGAGTGGCCTATGTAAAGTGGCTATGAGTCCTGATCTCAGTCCCATTGAACATCTATGGAAAGAGCTTAAACTTGCATTTTGCTCAAGAAAAGTGGCTGCCAGTGGATGTGTAGAAGTGTAGAAACCCTATTCAAAGTTACAGAAAGAACTTAGGAGTTGTTGTATTTTGAGCCATTTTTATCCACAAAGTACAGTAGCACAGAGCAGACAACCAAACACTGCCTGTAGATAGGGCCTTTCAAGTTTTTCACATGTTTCGCAGCCAACAGAGTTTCCCCTGCACGCTTGTAAGGCGAGCAGTAATCAGTTTGTTGCAATATGCAATCTTACTAATAGATGCCACTAACTCCTACAGGCTGGTCCTTTTAAAAGATACCAATATTATTGGCCATTCCATTTTAATTTGTTTATTATTTTGAATAATATGTTATTATGCAAATCAAAGGCAAAGTTTTAGTTTTATTTAATGTGAAATAAAGAATGATGGATACCGGGTGGAAAAAAAAGGTGGAAGGGTACCAATAAACTCTTAGTTATGTTTACTAGTTTCTGGACCTTTTTGAGTTGATCAATCCCTTCTTTTAACAGTTCACCAATGAGTGAAGATGGGTCCTCGACTCTCAGTGGTGTCTCTTTGAAGAGTGATGCATCCATGTTCCAGCCACTCAACTTTTATGATGAGAAGTCAAAACCGTAATTTGGCATTTCCTGCACTATTAAACATTTGTAGTTTATGGATTTGTTCTTTGTTAGTTAATTAGTTATCGAGTGGATGTAAAGTTATTCATAAGTAAAAAGATTTCTCTTTTTAGTTTGCTGTTGAGTGGAAGTCAACAGTCCACCGCTCCCAGTGTCTCTATGGTGAGTGATGGATCCATGTTCCAGCCACTCAATTTTGATGATGAGAAACAAAGGTAATTTCATTTAATGTATTCGGAAAAAAAATATAGTGATCATCTAAAAATCCTTCTGATGTAGTCATCGCAACTAATAAACATAATCACTAAGATGTAATTTATTGATCACCCTACAGACAGCTGACCAGGGAGCCGTCCAGCTGTTCAGTCGGTAAGGAGGTTGTGAGGGATCCAGTCAAATCAGTCGGTGGAAAGAAACGCAGAGGAGATCATGGAGCCCAGAGAGATACCGAAGAAGACACTGGTAACTTCAAGTAAAATATCTGTACTGCTACTATTATTATTACTACAGCTAATGCAAGTAATACATGACACATCACCAGCGACTGCCATCACGTATTAGTTGTTTACATGTGTAGACTAAAGTATGGTAGTTATTTTTTGGGGTAAACAAACAGATGAAGCATCCATTTGCTCTCCACAACTTTGAGTACGTAACTTTGTGTGGGTGTCAGGTTCCACATTACATTCAACCTTTCAACAGAGGATAAGAGTCACAAATTCACATTAAAGTCAACATTTTGTGTTTGCTTGTGCTTTTTGTTTGACCTAGCTAAAATGATTGTATATTGTTACAGGGGACAGCAAAGCAAAAAAGAATCTTAAAGAAGCAATGAAGAATAAGTTTACCTTGGTGACTGAAGGTAATGGTGACCAAAAGAACTCCCTGAACAGAATCTACACAGAACTCTACATAACCACTGGAGAGAGTGAAGGTCCACATGGGGAACATGCATTCAGACACACCAAACCTAAACTGGAAAAAAGACTATCCTCCAATCTGTTAGTCGACCTCAGTAACATCTTTAAACCTTTGCCTGGCCAAGAGAAACCTCACAGAACAGTCCTGACGAAGGGCGTTGCAGGGATTGGAAAATCGTTTTCTGTGCAGAAATTCATTCTTGACTGGGCCGAGGAGAATGAAAACCAGGACATTGATTTAATTTTCTGTCTTGCTTTCCGAGAGGTTAATTTGATTGAAGATAACAAATGTTTGTATGAGCTCCTGACTGAATTTCACCCTATGCAATGCACCCAGAGTTTGAAGGATTTACTAGATTTCAACAAAGCCAGAGTCATGGTGATCCTGGATGGTCTGGATGAAAGCAGACTTCAACTGGACTTCAAGAACAAGACGATAACATCTGTTAATGAAGTAACATCTGTGAGCAATCTCCTAGCAAACCTCATTCAGGGTAACCTTCTTCCTAATGCTAACCTCTGGATAACATCCCGTCCAGCAGCAGCCAATCAGATCCCTGCACAGTTTGTCGACATGGTGACGGAGATAAGAGGGTTCAGTGACCCACAAAAAGAGGAGTACTTCAGGAGGAGATTTGATCATGACCCGAGCCTTGCTGACAGGATTATTTCACACATTCACTCTTCACAGAGTCTCGATATTGTGTGCCAGATCCCGATCTGCTGCTGGATTTCTGCATTATTATTTCAGGAGGTCTTTGGAGGAGACGAGAAAGCTGAAATCCCTCAAACTCTTACTGAGATGATGGCACATTTTCTGTTTGTCCAGACCAAACGCAGTAACAGAAAGTATGACAAGAAGAAAGAGGAAAACAAAGAAAGACTTCTGACGATGCATCGAGAATTTCTTCTGAAACTCGGCAAGCTTGCATTTGTCCAGCTACAGAAGAACAACCTCATCTTCTACGATGAAGACCTGGCAGAATGTGGCATTAATATCAAAGAGGCAATGATCTACTCTGGATTTTGCAACGGAGTTCTTAGGGAAGAAGACGTCTTTTCCCAGAAAAAGGTATTCTTCTTTGTGCACCTGACAGTTCAAGAGTTCTTTGCAGCTCTTTTTGTCTATGACTGTTTTACAAACAAAAATACAAAAGAGCTCGGCGACTTCCTCGATCTGAAGGACAAACAACATACTTTAGTTGATCTTCTAAAAATGACAGTTGATAAAGTGTTGGAGAAGGAGAATGGCCACCTGGACTTCTTCCTGAGATTCCTCCTTGGCCTTATGGCTGACTCCAACCGGAGAGTCCTTAAGGGCCTGCTGACATCACCAGACCCGGGCCAAGATGCAGACAAGAAAATCCTGACTCACCTCAAAGCCATCCGAAGGAAGGCCCTCTCTCCAGACAGTTGTATCAACCTCTTCCAGACCATGGTCGAGATGAGAGATAACAAAGTCAAAGATGAGATTCAAGAATATCTCAAATTGGAAGATCGTTCAAAGACAGAGCTGACTCCCCTGCACTGCTCTGCACTGGCCTACATGCTGCAGGTGTCGAAGGATGATCTGGATGTGTTGGACTTGAAGAGTTACAACACATCAGATGAAGGCAGAAGAAGGCTGATACCAGCTGTTAGGAGCAGCAGAAAGGCCATGTAAGTTTACTTTCACTCTAAATATTTAAAACTAGAAGGGCACTCAGAGAGTGGACACCTATGCCAAGGTATAGTTCAGTCTTCTGTGGTATACCAATCTGCAAGCACAACCGGAATATGTAACTGTATTGCAATTGACTTAGCTCACAATGTTAACAAAAGTGAGTAATAATTTGTGCATCAGCCCTGTTGTTCAGATTAGCTCCAAAGTTTTATGGTTTCACCAAATTTCATAAAAATCAGGCCAATAGTTTCCCCAGAATCCTGCTAATAGACAGACAAACGGCACCCAAAACAATACCTTCTTTGTGGAGGTAAAATCAGATTGCAGTATATTTTTAATTCCTGAGTATTGTATGTTGATCTTCATCTCAAGCTTCTATTCAGGCCCTCGGGTATGTTTGTCTAAGAGAAAAGGCCAAGGGGACAGGTGCTCCAAGTCCATAATAAAAATGACATCCTGGATACATGTTTTATGTATACAGTATCTTTACAGTTGCCCCTTTCGATATGACATTATGACCCTATTATCCACCCTAGACTTGCTCACTGCAAAGTGACTGAAGATTGGGTTGAACACCTGGCCTTTGGTCTCAAGTTCCCCTACTCACCTCTAAGAGATCTGGATCTGAGCAGCAATGACCTGAAAGATTCAGGGGTAAAACTGCTCTGTGATGGACTGTCGAGTCAGTGCTGCAGACTGAAGATATTGAGGTATTTATTAGACTTTTATCTGTCCCTTCGCAGAATATATTTTTTGCACCCTCTCTGACTGCTGCTGCTTCAGTCTGAGCTTCATCTCAATGCTTCCTGCTTCTGATTTTACTCCTGTACTACCACCATCAAACTGTACATACATGTATACATGTCACAACCCACATAATGCAGTCAGCCCTGCTCAAGGGCTACTCCTCATTTCAATCCTACTTTCAGGGCTGCAAGAATCTCACCTGCATGCTTACAAACCAAAACCTCTGTTTTCTCAGTTTGTCAGGTTGTCTGGTCACAGAGAAGGGCTGTGATCATCTGGCCTCGGCTCTGAAGTCCAACCCCTCCCATCTGATAGAGCTGGACCTGAGCTACAACAATCTAGGAGACTCGGGAGAGAAACTGCTCTCTGAGCTGAGGAACGATCCACAATACAAGCTCAGCGAACTCAAGTAATTATAATGCTAGAGTACTTGAGTACTTCATTTAGTGTATTGCAAAAGATAAAACTAGATTGTAGATGAGAGTTTTACACAAGAGCTACAGTGATCAGGGGCCCTAAAAACAACAGCAACAATAAAAACACACTTTTACAAAGAGCAGTAAATGACCACAATGCCTTCCTTACTTCTAACATTTATGATACTCATGGGTACCCTATAATCACTGAATTTAAGTAAAATGTGGCCTAGACACATCTGAAGATATTCTGATAGCAAATGTTCTGAGAGCAACACAGTGGCAGTTAAATGGTGTTTTTTTTTTTTGTCTGAAAGTTTTAATTCTTGTCTTTCTTCGCAGGGTTGATCATGGTGGAATTCACCGGATGGAACCGGGATTCAAAAAATGTAAATATCTGTGCAAATCTTGAACATTTGCTGAATGTTTTGACCACAATGAATTGATTAGCTAAATTACGGGTCTTAAACTCAAACCGACTTGGGGCCACTACTGTTTGGTCATCTCATAGGTGGACTGCTTCAACAGTCAGGTACAAACAAGAAAATGCAACATTCTGAAAATATTAAAATTACTGAAATGATACTTTACAAAAAAAAGTGAAAAGCAGTTTCTAGAAATGTTATGATATCATTATTTTATATCACCTGGAGGGAAGGCACTCTTTTTAAGACGGATTTCTTTGTAACTTACTGGAGTGTGCTTAGTTCTACCAGTAGTGGCCTGCAGCTATATTATTCAAGTTTAGGCTCCTAAAATTATTTGTTGTCTTGCCTCCAGACTCCTGTGAGCTCACGTTGGACCCCAACACAGTCCACAAGAACCTCCGTCTCTCTGAAGAGAACAGAAAGGTGACCTGGGTTGAGGAGCCACAGCCATATCCCCATCACCAAGAAAGGTTCGACCATTGCCAGCAGGTGCTGTGTAATCAGGGTCTAAATGGGCGCTGCTACTGGGAGGTCGAGGTGTTGGAGCCCTTCAACATTGGGTTAACGTACAAAACCATCAGCAGGAAAGGGGACGTGAGTGAGTGTAAGCTGGGTCGCAACGACAAGTCTTGGTGTCTGATTTGCTCTAATGAAGGTTGTTATGTTCTGCACCACAATAAGAGTGTCAATGTATCTTCCTTTTGCTCGCGCTCCAGTCGGGTGGGAGTGTATCTGGACTGGCCTGCTGGAACTCTGTCCTTCTACAGAGTTTCTTCTGACAGTCAGACACGCCTCCATACCTTCAGAGCAAAGTTCAGTGAGCCACTCTATCCTGCTGTTGAACTTCACACTCATTCCTCTGCGTCATTTTGTCAGCTAACGTAACCAAACTTTCACTGCATTCGCACGAGCAACTAAGGGCGTAGATTTGCCTGTGGATGGTCGGGACACATCCCATACAATCAAGGGATTACTGAATTGTTCTTACCAACATGTTTTGCAATCTCGTCTTGTGTCATTTTAGAAAACACACAGGATTAAATCCCTTAGTATCAGGCATGAGTAAAGTCGCCAGGGTTGTCCCTGCAGAGACAGACAGAGGCCAAAATATATAGAGGACTAACACCCCAGCATGCTATAAGCTGTGCAAGTATAAGAGGGAGTTTGAAACAGTTTGCATGCCTGATTTAGCATGCTGAACTAGAGGAAGTATGAAAGCTGTCGGACTAGTTGTTTAACCTAGTCATTCGATGATTCTGCCTACATAGTGCAGTTTCTTCAACAACAGGGATCATTTGAAGACAAAACAAAAAAGAAATGTATTGGCATGTGCCTCCTGGGTGCCACTCTCACTGAAGTGAATGGGATGCCATTTGGAAACATCCAGTTTGCTTTAAGTTGCAGAGAGTCGTCAGTAATGTAACACGTTACTGAGAAAAATGTGGGTCAAAGGATGGTTTTCCTTGAGACTGCTTTAAAATTCAATGGTTTATAGATTATAGGTAATTTTCTTGAAACAGTGACACAGTTGCATTGTTGACTGTTTTTGCTTATTTTTTCATGTATTGTAATATTATAAAAAAATATTGCTAAAAATATTCCCAAAATACAAATAAAAAATCCATAAAAAGAAATTTGCTCATATTAAGCAGTTTTTGCACAATCAGGATTTGATGATTTGGCGTTTGAAAGAGAGGACAGGAACACAAACACATTAGTGTGGGTTTCAAATGTGTCTCTACCAGCCTTAAAACCAAACCTACGCCCTGAAACCTGATGTTTCTATTTCAGTTTCATCTATTTGTTTAAAACGTTTGCTATCATTTCTATAGAAAGTCTAAACTCACAGATGTTTTTCCTCAGTATTTTTTGTGTTCCAGTTTTATTGTGTAAGATTAAAATTATTGACTTGTGTAGATTTGACCAACTTTTAAATGTACAGATTCTCAATTTATGTTGTTCATGTTTGCCCAATTTTGGGTGTTTTTTCATTAAGTTTTTTGTTGTTTATGTGACCAACTTTTGCTTTTTCGAGTTTAACGGTGGGGTAAATGATTCCGGGATGCTGAGACATCCAATACGATGACAAAATGCCATGATTCAGTGCAAATAACTGCACAGCCTGTAGTGTAACTTACGTTAGCTGCGTTGTGGGTTTGCAAACAGTCAGTAGCGTTGCAGCTGCACAGCAACACCAGCTCCAGACAGCGATACTCACAACTCTCCTGCTACTATATACGCTGGGAAACAAGAAAGTAAGCTGAATGTTGCTTAGCCCCACGTTTAAGTTTTGGTTGTTGTTTTTTGACCAACTTTTGGGTTTTGATTAAGCAGACGGGAACATTGTAGATGAACAGTTTGCTGTATTATATTTGTTTAATGGTTTAAGGTACAGGAATATATATAAGTATGGTTTTGGTCTTTTTAAGTTAGCTGCTTTTTATGTTTTATTCTATATTCTATTAATTATTATTACCACCTTGATTTTTATTAATGCTTCAGTTTATTTAGCTGTATTTATTTTCCAGATAGCTCTGGTTTGTTGTGCCTAGTTTTACAGGTCCAGATACATCTCTGTGTTTAGATGTTACGTCTGACAATGGGAAATACAAAGAATATGTCTTTCTGTTATGTTTTATATTTGAGGACTCCAGCTGCTCTATCATTCATCTATTCTTTCAAAGTTCACTTACAGTAATGTAGCTCAAATGTTTTGTACCTTTGCACTTTAAACCTACCAACACAGTGGCACAGTGCTGGCTCCATTTTACTCTATTGATTCCATCTTTATTTTTATCTATGTTTATTTTTGGAGGCGTTCTCACATCTACTGTATATATATCTGTATAAATAGCTGCTTGTCGTGTATGATCTCATTAAAATAGGATGCAATAAGCTCACAGCTCAGTTAAAGGATAAGTGTCAGCTCCAGTAATGAGTTATTAACAGCTTTAATTGAAACACATTGGTATCGGTACTAGTCTTTATGTCTGTTTAGCTGTATTAGAGTTTACTTTTTACAGTTGCAGTATGTATTGTGTTTAAGTTGTGTCCTGAATACTGTGTTTTTTTTGTGTTTGTATGTTTGTTTAAGTGGTTTTAACTTTAGTGGGAAAGTCTGATGTGGGAGTTATATTTCTTATAGTACTGGTATAATGGTGGAGATGTGCTTTTGGGTTTGGAAATAAGAGTTTTCACTTTAAAATGTTGGTTTTAGCATTAAGCTCAAAGCAGTGCTGTGTCTACTGTACGTATCGCCTCACAGAGCTACTAGAATGACTGCAGACTCTGAGTCTGTGTTAATATAGACCTGCTACATTAAAATGAAAAGAAATAAGACATCAGTTCAAGTCACATACTTCTCTCCCTCGACTGGCTGTTAAATTATGGCCTATCGCCCCCAAAAATGATCTTAATCATACTTGTACCAACATCACATTTCAACAATTTTGACCATATTTCAGCTTTAGCTTTAACTTTTGTTTAAGCTGTGTGCATACATATGTGTGTTCTTAATTCTGTGGATTTGTGTTGTGTATGTAAAAGTCGTTGTGGTAATAAATATCACATTTTCACTGTTAAGCACCTTGTAATGTCTTTATGATGGCAGCATATTTTGTGGCTGAGAAATTAAGATTCCAAATCAGTTCAGATTGTACATGTTCGAAATTAAAAATGCATATGTCATGGATTCATATACAGTATTATTTTACCATTACGTTGATGTTTCTGATTGTTTCTCAACATTTCCAATTAACATTTTTAATAAAAAATTTAATCATTTACTGAATGTTACAGTCTCATTCGTCTCATTTGTCTCATTTGTCCCACCACCATTATATCTGGACTCCATCAGGGGGCATCTTCCTGCACAGCTCATGGAATTAAAATGATGACGTCATGATGGGATTTAATCTCTAAGCACTGCTCTCATATTTCTTCAACTCTCCTATTGTGCACATTTTCAAATAAATTAATTCAATGCTTTTCAATAAAGTCTGAGAACTGAAGTAACAAAATAAGTAAATAATAATAATAGTGATTATTAATAAATAATAATCACTATTACTATTTTTCTTGCAACTCCACTGCATTACAAATTGAGCCTCATGAACTTAAGTTCCTCAACAATTAAAAATTTTATATGAGTGTATGATTTTAAATGTACACAGTGGTCACTTGGCACCATATGATGTTGTATTGTATAACACACACATACAATATATGTCTATGTGTGTGTGTGTTTATTTTCTCCACCAGATGTCACTACACCACCATCTACATTTGTGTTTTGACTCACTGTAATTCACTGACTCTTCCAGTGGTGGAGGAATAATTCATATCTTTTATTTAAGTAAAAGTAGCAACAATACAGTGTAAAAATACTTTGTTATATAAGTATTAAATAAGTAAAAGTACAAAAGTATTAGCATCAATTAAAAAATAAAAATGGTACCTTTCAGAATAAAATATGTTGTTGGATTATTTAGTGATGGATCAATCATCACATTGATATTTGTAAAGGTGAAGCTTATTTCAAGTACTTTATATACTACTGGGTAGTTTAATATATAATATCATAATTCATTGATTATATTTGTATTAATCTCAATCTGCAAAGGAGAGAGTGAAGAACATGCACCAAACTTAAATTGGAGTAACAATCATGGCAAACGTAAAAAAAAAACTGCCCTAAATCAACATACAGGTGATGAAAACCATTTTACAAACAGATTGATTCACTTTTAATGACTAAACTGTACAAATGTGTCACTGAGCTGTTGGTTATCTCGGGATGAGCTATAAGGGAAATAACTCAATTAGTCTGCTAGGAAGTGTCTTCTTTAATACCAAATCTATTTTAATATAATGTAGTTTTGATGTTTTATAAAGTATTTAAAAAAACTGAAAAAGCTTTTTCTGTCTGCAGGTCGGTTTTGCAGCCACCTGTTGCCTGTAGAGTTTATTTTCCACCAGATGTCACTCCATCTAAACTTGGACATGAGTTCAACAAAAAACAAAAAAGGAAATGCTTCGCAGTTTCACTTTACTGACCACGCCGCCATTAGAACGACCACACTTCATTTTGCGGAAGAAACAAAGTAAGTAGCCATTTATGATTCTGCTGCTTATCTTATCTTTCTCTTATCTAATGAAATCTGCAGGTTGACTGCTTCATGTCGCTTGGGCTAGACTCATTGGATAAATGTCACCATTCCTGTTTCATTTGGTGTAAAGCTCTTAAATAAGACGGTATGGACAGGCACTGTGTGTCCGATGAGTTCTGTGTGGTTGCCTTTGTATTTTACTATACAATACACACAAAAAAGAGAATAATGACTGTAAACCACAGGTCTCTATCTCTTCCTGGGTAGTATTCTACTCTCCCTGTGGCTCGGTGTTAACGTGAGCCGCCGAGTATGAAACCGTGGTAAAGAGAGCCGTCGACAGAATGTCGTTGCGCCTACAGTAGGGTTATTATGGTAAGTGTGAGTCTGAGCGAGCTGGAGGTCCTGAAAGATACATAGACCCGTTTTCTATCATATTCTTCTTCATGTGTTCTCTATGAATATGACTGCAAATAATGATAAGTACAATAACAATAATAAATACAATAACCCATGACCCAAATAATGACCCAAACTATGAATATGTAAGATTTAAACTGATTTTACTGTTTTTTAAATAATTAAAGGGAAGGTCTGCTCAATTTTCATTACACTAATCAAAATGTCTTCATATTTGAATGGTTATATTTCCTTTTCTTTAGTACATTATCAAACACATGACCTTCCCTCTAATTATGTAAAAAACAGTACAGTAAAATCAGTATAAATCTTGCATAGTCGGGTCATTATTATTATTATTATTATTAGTAGTAGTTGTAGTAGTACTACTCATGGTCGTAGCAGTAGTAATAGTAGTGGTAGTAATGCTCTTGTAAAAAAATGTAATGTTCCACGTTATTGTATTTATTATTATTTCAGTGTGTAGTCATTTTCATAGAGAACACAGAAAGAATATGATTGAAAACGAGTCTATGTATCTTCAGACCTTCAGCTCGCTCAGAGGCCACACTTACTATATTAACCCTACTGAGCCTTAAACTGGTTTCATTCATATTTGACTAATAGAGTCTTTAATGTCTGCATAAATAATCATGTTTCCTCCTCTGCTCCCCTGCTGTGTGGTGTCCCTCAGGGGTCAGTTCTTGCTCCAGTTCTGTTCTCCCTGTACATGCTTCCTCTGGGTCATTTGTTCAGCCGCTTCCATGACATTTCATACCACTGTTATGCTGATGATACACTGATCTACTTCTATGCGAAACCCAATGACTTGAATCAACTGTCCTCTCTCCATGAGTGCTCCACTTAAATCCTGACAAAACTAAAATCATTTTATTTGGCCCCGATAAGTTTGTCACTGCAGTTGATCAGTTTATTGTACCATTATGCACTAATATCAAACCCACTGCTAAGAATCTCGGCATCATCTTCTACCAGCATATGACATTTGACCTTCATGTTACAAAAGTCCTGTTTCCTGCAGCTACAAAATATAGCAAAAATCAAAAGTTTCCTGTCCTCCAGTGATCTTGAACAATGCAATCACAGCTTAATTTTTTCCCATCTAGATTACTGTAACTCCCTCTACACGTGCCTCAGTCAGGCTTCGTTAAACCGATTACAGTTAGTCCAAAATGCAGCCGCCAGACTTTTAACCAGAACCAGCCGTCGGTCCCACATTACTATTGTTCTCGCATCCCTTCATTAGCTTCCAGTAAAATTCAGAATCAACTATAAGATCTTACTGATTACATATAAGGCACTTCATGACCTTGCCCCCAGTTACATTTCAGATCTCCTTGTTCCTCATTCCACTCCTCGGCCACTTCCCTCCTCTAGGCCTTTTATCCATTCCCCGCACTAACTGAAAAAACTAAAGGTGACCGTGCCTTTGCTGTTTTAGCCTCAACATTGTGGAATAGTCTTCCCAAATCACTCAGATTCACTAAATCTGTGGACAGTTGTAAGCGGCTGCTGCCCATCTCTACAGACCTTTTTATAGATCTCCTTGTTTGTTTCCTCATCTGTCGTCTCTCTTTTAATTTATCCTTCCCTCTTGTTTTATCTTCCTTATGTTTGTATTTACATGCTCCCTGTGTATGTTTGATTGGGTATGGTTATGCATGTACATGTATATATGCATATATGTAGACCCATATGTGTTTGTGTGTTTTTTAAATTTCTTATTTTTTGTTTGTAAAGCACTTCGTAACTCTGTGTTAAAAATGTGCTATATAAATAAAGCTTTACTTACTTACTTTAGGCGCAACGTAATTCTGACGGCGACTAACTTTACAAGTATTATCAGTATTATCTAAGTTACATCACTAAGTCACTGTCTGAAAATATTTCTTTGTCATAATGTGTAGTGTCGTAGGGGGCTGTAATACAGTGGTCTGTGTGACGGTAGTCTTGAGAAAAAACTCAAATGAACATGTTTGTATATTTTCAACAATGAGCCCGAGGTAAGCAGTTATGTCCTTCATACACCGTCGCTGCAGTGCATCATACTGTACTATGGGCCTATTGCTGTAAACTTGCATTGATCACACGATCAATAACTTGATGATGAGACAATCAAATGCAGCCATACACATCATTTATTAGACGGAGATTATAACGCTATCTGGATATTCCAGTGAGCTATAGAACTCAAAGGCAACGTGGAAACAGGTGTGTGCAGAATTTATTATAAATAAATCTTTAGTTTCGTTTTACAACTACGTTTAACACATTCAATTCGATATGGTAGCAGCAGGCTGCAGAGTAAATAGGCAGGAGGATTTAAAATCAATTTCTCTTTTTTACCTCAAGGTTAATCCGTCAGTTTACAGGAAGGGTATGAAAAAAATACAAAAAAATAAACACAACTCATATAAAACTACTTTTTGTGCCTTTACTTGGAACAGAAATGGCTGAGAGGAAGAAGAGGAGGAGTCTTCCTGACTCTTTGTCTGTCAAGTCCTTTGAGCAGCCAATCAGCTCCTGCAGTGAGCCACCTGTCAGGTAATACAGTGTGTAGTAAATCCTACACAGCCAGGCTGTGGTGTTATGAGCAAAACACAGCAACAACAAAAAATTAACCATTTGTATTCTGATCGCCACCATGGTCTTCCATACACATGCCATCCAGCAGATATTGGCCATATAAAATGCTGCTTCAGTGCCTTAGAAAGCTTTGTTTCCTCAATTTAGATTCACATTTCAGTACATTGAGTCAAAGTTCTTCCTTTTTACAGTTTCAACAAGAACTGAAAACTTCATGAAAGTATGACTTATTGCAGGATTTCTGTGTTAGACTGTTTTACTGGCTATAGGCAGACATTATAAACTGGAGTGTATTTATAAAGTGTATTTAAGTCCTGTTTTGGGGATTTTCAGCTTTAAATGAAAATGTAGCCCTCAGATAAGCATTTGTACTTGAGTACATTCATTTGTTGTTTCATGCAGCAAGTTTGTTTATTAGATAATACAATCTCTCCCCTTAGTTCACAGATGAGTGCAGCTACGTCCAAAGATCCCAGTGGTATCTCTGTGAAGAGTGATAGCTCCCTGTTCCGTCCACTCAATTTTGATCTTGAAAAGACAGAAAGGTAATTTTAATATTTTTGTGTAAATAAAGTTTATTGTACCTTAAAGCATATCACTGTGGTGTTATGAGCAAAACACAGCAACAACAAAATGTGCAAATTGCAAAAAGTTAACCATTTGTATTCTAAGTGCCACGATGGTCTTCCATACACATGCCAACCAGCAGATATTGGCCATATCATATGCTGCTTCAGTGCCTTAGAAAGCTTAGAAACAAGAACACATTTAATCCTATATGGTAGCAGCAGGATGCAGAATCCATAGTCAGGAGGATTTGAAACAAATTTCTCCTTTTTAGGGTTGAAGTCAAACCACCGCCCATGGGTGGCCAAGGCTCATTAATGCACATGGGGACACACAGTGTATCACAGTTTGTTGGTGTGGGGCTGCAGAACATTGACCACCGGGGTGCCCAGGTGGTCATAATGTTATGGCCGATTGGTGTATATGTCTTCATCTACACATTCATTCACACACACACACACACACACACACACACACACACACACACACACACACACACACACATATATAGTGCTGGGCAATGATTGACAATGACAATTTTTAATCGCATGATTTTCTGCTGCCTCCCTCCACTCCCCTCCTGTGACCCATAGTTTGTCTGGATGTGTTTTCCAAATAATTTCTGTGAATACTGAATGTATAGCTTATACAGCAAGTGTTGTGGGTGTGGTGAACACAACTGAAAAACAGCTTAAAGAGTCTAATCAAGAGTTTAATCATTTAGAAGCATTATAGCTCTGGAAACAAAACAAAACAACCAAAATGTTAAATAATTTGTGACAGCATAACACATGTTATGTTATGGCATCTCCTGAAGCATCTATTACAGGGCTTTAGCTGTGTAATGTTCAACTGTAATGCTGTTTATCAGTCAGTTGGTATTATATGTCCTGTGTCAACATGCACAGAACTTTAGTTCAGGAATCACCTACAACTGCATGAATGAATGACTGAATACAACACATAACTGATACACATCTAGCAGGACTAATGTGTCATTTGTTGATCACCCTACAGCCAGCTGCATGAGGAACCATCCTGCTGTTCAGTGTGTAAGGAGGTTGTGAAGGATCCAGTCCAATCAGTCTGTGGACACTGGTCATGCAAACAGTGTGTCAGCTCAGACTGGGACCAGAGTGATTCACCAGCAGACTACCCCTGCACCAAGTGTGGAAAGAAACTCAGAAGAGATCGTGGAGCCCAGAGAGATACTGAAGAAGACACTGGTAACTCCAAATAAAATCTCTGTACTGCTACTATTATTATTACTACAGCTAATGCAAGTAATACATTATACATCATCAGTGATTGGCTTCACATATTAGCTGTTTACATGTGAAGACTAAAGTATGGTAGTTATTTTTTGGGGTAAACAAACAGATGAAGCAACAATGTCACTCCTCTGTTATATGTGTAGATATGTGTACATTATCCGCATATGTGTACTATGTGTAGTTTGTGTGTGGAACTCATGCTGAAGGTGCTCTTCATACAGACTGTGAAAACAAATTTCCTTCACTGAGGACAATAAAGAATGAATCTGAATCTGAATCTTATAGTCAACATTTTGTGTTTGCTTGTGCTTTTTGTTTGACCTAGCTAAAATGATTGTATATTGTTACAGGGGACAGCAAAGCAAAAAAGAATCTTAAAGAAGCAATAAAGAATAAGTTTACCTTGGTGCCTGAAGGTTATGATGACCAAAAGAACTCCCTGAACAGAATCTACACAGAACTCTACATCACCACCGGAGAGAGTGAAGGTCCACATGAGGAAGATGCATTCAGACACACTAAACCTAAACTGGACAAAAGACTATCCTCCAATCTGTTAGTCGACCTCAGTAACATCTTTAAACCTTTGCCTAGCCAAGAGAAACCTCACAGAACAGTCCTGACGAAGGGCGTTGCAGGCATTGGAAAATCATTTGCTGTGCAGAAATTCATTCTTGACTGGGCAGAGGAGAGAGAAAACCAGGACATTGATTTAATTTTCTGTCTTGCTTTCCGAGAGGTTAATTTGATTAGAGATAACAAATGTTTGTATGAGCTCCTGACTGAATTTCTCAATAAGCAATGCACCCAGAGTTTGAAGGATTTACTAGATTTCAACAAAGCCAGAGTCATGGTGATCCTGGATGGTCTGGATGAAAGCAGACTTCAACTGGACTTCAAGAACAAGAGGATAACATCTGTTAATGAAGTAACATCTGTGGGCAATCTCCTTGCAAACCTCATCCAGGGCAACCTTCTTCCTAATGCTAACCTCTGGATAACATCCCATCCAGCAGCAGCCAATCAGATCCCTGCACAGTTTGTCGACATGGTGACAGAGATAAGAGGGTTCAGTGACCCACAAAAAGAGGAGTACTTCAGGAGGAGATTTGATCATGACCCGAGCCTTGCTGACAGGATTATTTCACACATTCACTCTTCACAGAGTCTCGATATTGTGTGCCAGATGCCGATCTGCTGCTGGATTTCTGCATTATTATTTCAGGAGGTCTTTGGAGGAGACGAGAAAGCTGAAATCCCTCAAACTCTTACTGAGATGATGGCACATTTTCTGTTTGTCCAGACCAAACGTAGTAACAGAAAGTATGACAAGAAGAAAGAGGAAAACAGAGAAAGACTTCTGACGATGCATCGAGAATTTCTTCTGAAACTCGGTAAGCTTGCATTTGTCCAGCTGCAGAAGAACAACCTCATCTTCTACGATGAAGACCTGGAAGAATGTGGCATTGACATCAAAGAGGCAATGATCTACTCTGGATTTTGCAACACAGTTCTTAGGGAAGAAGATGTGGTTTTCCAGAAAAAGGTCTTCTTCTTTGTGCACCTGACCATTCAGGAGTTCTTTGCAGCTCTTTTTGTCTATGACTGTTTCACAAACGAGAATACAAAAGAGCTCAGCGACTTCCTCGATCTGAAGGACAAAGAACATACTTTAGTTGATCTTCTGAAGATGACAGTTGACAAAGTGTTGGAGAAGGAGAATGGCCACCTGGACTTCTTTATGCGATTCCTTCTTGGCCTTATGGTTGACTCCAATCGGAGAGTCCTTAGGGGCCTGCTGACATCACCAGACCCAAGCCAAGATGCAGAGAAGAAAATCTTGACTTACCTCAAAGCCATCCGAAGGAAGGCCCTCTCTCCAGACAGTTGTATCAACCTCTTTCAGACAATGGTAGAGATGAGAGAAAACAAAGTCAAAGATGAGATTCAAGAATATCTCAAACTGTCAGATAGTTCAAAAACAGAGCTGACTCCCCTGCACTGCTCTGCACTGGCCTACATGCTGCAGGTATCGAAGAATGATCTGGATGTGTTGGACTTGAAGAGTTACAACACATCAGATGAAGGCAGAAGAAGGCTTATACCAGCTGTAAGGAGCAGCAGAAAGGCCATGTAAGTTTACTTTCACTGTAATATGTAAAATGATCAGGTTGCAGTCACTCCTGAGTAGTATGTATTGATCTTCATCTTAGACGGCATACATTCCCAAGAAGCTCCTCTAATGAGATTGTTAGTACAGCCTGTATGTTGCCTAATAGGAAAAGTGGATGGGACAGGTCTCAGTCTCCAATGTACATTAGATCCTTTATTTATATTTTGTGCATAACTTTAAACATCTTTTTCTGTTTCACATTGTATTATCCACCCTAGACTTGCTCACTGCAAAGTGACTGAAGAGTGGGTTGAACACCTGGCCTTTGGTCTCAAGTTCCCCTACTCACCTCTAAGAGCTCTGGATCTGAGCAGCAATGACCTGAAAGATTCAGGGGTAAAACTGCTCTGTGATGGACTGTCGAGTCAGTGCTGCAGACTGAAGATATTGAGGTATGTAATAGACTTTATCTGTCCCTTGGCAGAATACATTCTTTGCACCCTCTCTGACTTGATGCTTCCTGCTTCTGATTCCACTTCTGTTCTACCACTATCAAACTGTACATACATGTATACATCAGATCAAATATACTTTAATAATCATACTCACAAACCACGTAATGCATTCAGCCCTGCTCAAGGGCTACTCCTCATTTCAATCCTACTTTCAGGGATGCAAGAATCTCACCTGCATGCTTGCAAACCAAAACCTCTGTTTTCTCAGGTTGTCAGGTTGTCTGGTTACAGAGGAAGGCTGTGATCATCTGGCCTTGGCTCTGAAGTCCAACCCCTCCCATCTGATAGAGCTGGACCTGAGCTACAACAATCTAGGAGACTCGGGAGAGAAACTGCTCTCTGAGCTGAGGAACGATCCACAATACAAGCTCAGCGAACTCAAGTAATTATAATGCTAGAGTACTTGAGTACTTAATTTAGTGTAATGCCAAAGATAAAACTAGAATTTAGATGAGAGTTTTACACAAGAGCTATACTGATCAGGGGCCCTAAAAACAACAGCAACAAAACACTTTTACAAACAGCAGTAAATGACCACAGTGCCTTCCTTACTGTTACTTTCTAACATTTATGATACTCATGGGTACCCTATAATCACTGAATTCAAGTAAAATGCAGTCTAGACACATCTGAAGATATTCTGATAGCAAATGTTCTGAGAGCAACACAGTGGCAGTTAAATGGTTGTTTTTTTTTTTGTCTGAAAGTTTTAATCCTTGTCTTTCTTCGCAGGGTTGATCATGGTGGAATTCACCGGATGAAACCGGGATTCAAAAAATGTAAATATCTGTGCAAATCTTGAACATTTGCTGAATGTTTTGACCACAATGAATTGATTAGCTAAATTACGGGTCTTAAACTCAAATCGACTTGGGGCCACTACTGTTTGGTCATCTCATAGGTGGACCGCTTCAACAGTCAGGTACAAACAAGAAAATGCAACATTCCGAAAATATTAAAATTACTGAAATGATACTTTACAAAAAAAAGTGAAAAGCAGTTTCTATAAATGTTATGATATCATTATTTTATATCACCTGAAGGGAAGGCACTCTTTTTAAGACATATTTCTTTGTAACTTACTGGAGTGTGCTTAGTTCTACCAGTAGTGGCCTGCAGCTATATTATTCAAGTTTAGGCTCCTAAAATTATTTGTTTTCTTGCCTCCAGATGCCTGTGAGCTCACGTTGGACCCCAACACAGTCCACAAGAACCTCCGTCTCTCTGAAGAGAACAGAAAGGTGACCTGGGTTGAGGAGCCACAGCCATATCCCCATCACCAAGAAAGGTTCGACCATTGCCAGCAGGTGCTGTGTAATCAGGGTCTAAATGGGCGCTGCTACTGGGAGGTCGAGGTGTTGGAGCCCTTCAACATTGGGTTAACGTACAAAACCATCAGCAGGAAAGGGGATGTGAATGAGTGTAAGCTGGGTCGCAACGACAAGTCTTGGTGTCTGATTTGCTCTAATGAAGGTTGTTATGTTCTGCACCACAATAAGAGTGTCAATGTATCTTCCTTTTGCTCGCGCTCCAGTCGGGTGGGAGTGTATCTGGACTGGCCTGCTGGAACTCTGTCCTTCTACAGAGTTTCTTCTGACAGTCAGACACGCCTCCATACCTTCAGAGCAAAGTTCAGTGAGCCACTCTATCCTGCTGTTGAACTTCACACTCATTCCTCTGCGTCATTTTGTCAGCTAACGTAACCAAACTTTCACTGCATTCGCACGAGCAACTAAGGGCGTAGATTTGCCTGTGGATGGTCGGGACACGTCCCATACAATCAAGGGATTACTAAATTGTTCTTACCAACATGTTTTGCAATCTAGACTTGTGTCATTTTAGAAAACACACAGGATTAAATCCCTTAGTATCAGGCATGAGTAAAGTCGCCAGGTTTGTCCCTGCAGAGACAGACAGAGGCCAAAATATATAGAGGACTAACACACCAGCATGCTATAAGCTGTGCAAGTATAAGAGGGAGTTTGAAACAGTTTGCATGCCTGATTTAGCATGCTGAACTAGAGGAAGTAGGAAAGCTGTCGGACTAGTTGTTTTACCTAGTCATTCGATGATTCTGCCTACATAGTGCAGTTTCTTCAACCACAGGGATCATTTGAAGACAAAACAAAAAAGAAATGTAATGGCATGTGCCTCCTGGGTGCCACTCTCCCTGAAGTGAATGGGATGCCATTTGGAAACATCCAGTTTGCTTTAAGTTGCAGAGAGTCGTCAGTAATGTAACACGTTACTGAGAAAAATGTGGGTCAAAGGATGGTTTTCTTTGAGACTGCTTTAAAATTCAATGGTTTATAGATTATAGGTAATTTTCTTGAAACAGTGACACAGTTGCATTGTTGACTGTTTTTGCTTCTTTTTTCATGTATTGTAATATTATAAAAAATATTGCTAAAAATATTCCCAAAATACAAATAAAAAATCCATAAAAAGAAATTTGCTCATATTAAGAAGTTTTTGCACAATCAGGATTTGATGATTTGGCGTGTGAAAGAGAGGACAGGAACACAAACACATTAGTGTGGGTTTCAAATGTGTCTCTACCAGCCTTAAAACCAAACCTACGCCCTGAAACCTGATGTTTCTATTTCAGTTTCATCTATTTGTTTAAAATGTTTGCTATCATTTCTATAGAAAGTCTAAACTCACAGATGTTTTTCCTCAATCAGAAGCTTCTAATATTTTTTGTGTTTCTGTTTTATTGTTTAAGATTAAAATGATTGACTTGTGTAGATTTGACCAACTTTTAAATGTACAGATTTTCAACTTATGTTGTTCATGTTTGCCCAATTTTGGGGGTTTTATCATTAAGTTTTTTGTTGTTTATGTGACCAACTTTTGGTTTTTCGAGTTTAACGGTGGGGTAAATGATTCCGGGATGCTGAGACATCCAATACGATGACAAAATGCCACGATTCAGTGCAAATAACTACACAGCCTGTAGTGTAACTTACGTTAGCTGCGTTGTGGGTTTGCAAACAGTCAGTAGCGTTGCAGCTGCACAGCAACACCAGCTCCAGACAGCGATACTCACAACTCTCCTGCTACTATATACGCTGGGAAACAAGAAAGTAAGCTGAATGTTGCTTAGCCCCACGTTTAAGTTTTGGTTGTTGTTTTTTGACCAACTTTTGGGTTTTGATTAAGCAGACGGGAACATTGTAGATGAACAGTTTGCTGTATTATGTTTGTTTAATGGTTTAAGGTACAGGAATATATATAAGTATGGTTTTGGTCTTTTTAAGTTAGCTGCTTTTTATTTTTTATTCTATATTCTATTAATTATTCTTACCACCTTGATTTTTATTAATGCTTCAGTTTATTTAGCTGTATTTATTTTCCAGATAGCTCTGGCTTGTTGTGCCTAGTTTTACAGGTCCAGATACATCTCTGTGTTTAGATGTTACGTCTGACAATGGGAAATACAAAGAATATGTCTTTTTGTTATGTTGAGGACTCCAGCTGCTCTATCCTTCATCTATTCTTTCAAAGTTCACAACACTGTCCACTTACAGTAATGTAGCTCAAATGTTTTGTACCTTTGCACTTTAAACCTACCAACACAGTGGCACAGTGCTGGCTCCATTTTACTCTATTGATTCCATCTTTATTTTTATCTATGTTTATTTTTGGAGGCGTTCTCACATCTACTGTATATATATCTGTATAAATAGCTGCTTGTCTTGTCCATTAAAATAGGATGCAATAAGCTCACAGCTCAGTTAAAGGATAAGTGTCAGCTCCAATAATGAGTTATTAACAGCTTTAATTGAAACACATTGGTATCAGTACTAGTCTTTATGTCTGTTTAGCTGTATTAGAGTTTACTTTTTACAGTTGCAGTATGTATTGTGTTTAAGTTGTGTCCTGAATACTGTGTTTTTTTGTGTTTGTATGTTTGTTTAAGTGGTTTTAACTTTAGTGGGAAAGTCTGATGTGGGAGTTATATTTCCTATAGTACTGGTATAATGGTGGAGATGTGCTTTTGGGTTTGGAAATAAGAATTTTCACTTTAAAATGTTGGTTTTAGCATTAAGCTCAAAGCAGTGCTGTGTCTACTGTACGTATCGCCTCACAGAGCTACTAGAATGACTGCAGACTCTGAGTCTGTGTTAATATAGACCTGCTACATTAAAATGAAAAGAAATAAGACATCAGTTCAAGTCACATACTTCTCTCCCTCGACTGGCTGTTAAATTATGGCCTATCGCCCCCAAAAATGATCTTAATCATACTTGTACCAACATCACATTTCAACAATTTTGACCATATTTCAGCTTTTGCTTTAACTTTTGTTTAAGCTGTGTGCATACATATGTGTGTTCTTAATTCTGTGGATTTGTGTTGTGTATGTAAAAGTCGTTGTGGTAATAAATATCACATTTTCACTGTTAAGCACCTTGTAATGTTCCAAAGTACAAAACTGAGTCTTTATGATGGCGGCATATTTTGTGGCTGAGAAATTAAGATTCCAAATCAGTTCAGATTGTACATGTTCGAAATTAAAAATGCATATGTCATGGATTCATATACAGTATTATTTTACCATTACGTTGATGTTTCTGATTGTTTCTCAACATTTCCAATTAACATTTTTAATAAAAAATTAAATCATTTACTGAATGTTACAGTCTCATTTGTCTCATTTGTCCCACCACCATTGTATCTGGACTCCATCAGGGGGCATCTTCCTGCACAGCTCATGGAATTAAAATGATGACGTCATGATGGGATGTAATCTCTAAGCACTGCTCTCATATTTCTTCAACTCTCCTATTGTGCACATTTTCAAATAAATTAATTCAATGCTTTTCAATAAAGTCTGAGAACTGAAGTCACAAAATAAGTTAAATAATAATCACATTACTATTTTTCTTGCAACTGCACTGCTTTTCAAATTGAGCCTCATGAACTTAAGTTCTTCTACAATTAAAAATGTTATATGAGTGTATGATTTTAAATGTACACAGTGGTCACTTGGCACCATATGATGTTGTATGAAGAACATGCACCAAACTTAAATTGGAGTAAAAAAAAAACCTGCCTCAAATCAACATACAGGTGATGAAAACCATTTTACAAACAGATTGTTTCACTTTTAATGACTAAACTGGACAAATGTGTCACTGAGCTGTTGGTTGTCTCTGATCTGTAGGAGAAATATTATTTTAAAAATGTCTCGGGATGAGCTGTAAGGGAAATAACTCAATTAGTCTGCTAGGAAGTGTCTTCTTTAATACCAAATCTATTTTAATATAATGTAGTTTTGATGTTTTATAAAGTATTTAAAAAAGCTGAAACAGCTTTTTCTGTCTTATTGTGTCTTGCAACTGCACTTCATTTCATACTGAGCCTCACAAACACATTTCTCCTCGTATAAATGTAATATGTTCATACAATATTTCAAGTGTATGCAGTTCGCTTTTGCAGTCACCTGTTGCCACCTCATTATTCTGTTTCTCCACTAGATGTCACTCCATCCAACAAAAACAAAACAGGATATGTCTCGTGGTTTCACTTTACTGACCACGCCGCCATCAGAACGGATACACTTCATTCTGTGGATGAAACAAAGTAAGTAATCATTCATTATTCTGCTGTTTATGTTATCTCTGTCTCATATCTAGTAAAATCTGCAGGTTGACTGCTTCATGTCGTTTGCGGATAGTTCTGCAGCTTCAGTTTCAGTCTTGCAGAACAACAGGCACAATCACTGCAGGGTATAATAATGTACTCAGGGCCTATTGCTGTAAACTTGCATTGATCACACGATCAATAACTTGATGATGAGACATGATGATAGAACTCAATGGTAAAAGAAATCTTTAGTTTCGTTTTACAACAACGTTTAACACATTCAATTCGATATGGTAGCAGCAGGCTGCAGAGTAAATAGGCAGGAGGATTTAAAATCAATTTCTCTTTTTTTACCTCGAGGTTAATCCGTTTATTACAAACATTCAAAATCACCTAATTTGGAGATATGAGGTTTTCACTGGATAGGAAGGGTATGGAAAAAAATACAAATAAATAAACAGATGGAAAATGGTACTGACAGAAACACAACTCATATAAAACTATTTTGTCCCTGTTTGTGCCTTCACTTGGAGCAGAAATGGCTGAGAGGAAGAAGAGGAGGAGACTTCCTGACTCTTTGTCTGTCAAGTCCTTTGAGCAGCCAATCAGCTCCTGCAGTGAGCCACCTGTCAGGTAATACAGTGTGTAGTAAATCCTACACAGGCAGGCTTTGGTGTTATGAGCAAAACACAGCAACAACAAAAAATTAACCACTTGTATTCTGATCGCCACCATGGTCTTCCATACACATGCCATCCAGCAGATATTGGCCATATAAAATGCTGCTTCAGTGCCTTAGAAAGCTTTGTGTCCTCAATTTAGATTCACATTTCATAGGCTATAGGCGGACATTATAAACTGGCAACTGAGGGTATTTATAGTGTTTTTAACATTTCAGTTTGATTTACACTGAATGTGAAGTCTTGTTTTGGGGGTTTTCAGCTTAAAATGAGAATTTAGGTATGTTTAGTAAATAATACAATCTCTCCCCTTAGTTCACAGATGAGTGCAGCTACGTCCAAAGATCCCAGCGGTATCTCTGTGAAGAGTGATAGCTCCCTGTTCCATCCACTCAATTTTGATCTTGAAAAGACAGAAAGGTAATTTTAATATTTTTGTATAAATAAAGTTTATTGTACCTTAAAGCATATCACTGTGGTGTTATGAGCAAAACACAGCAACAACAAAATGTGTAAATTGCAAAAAGTTAACCATTTGTATTCTGATCGCCACCATGGTCTTCCATACACATGCCATCCAGCAGATATTGGCCATATCATATGCTGCTTCAGTGCCTTAGAAAGCTTTATTTCCTCAATTTAGATTCACATTTCAGTACATTGAGTCAAAGTTCTTCAATGGTTGTTTCTTCTGATTGTGTTTTTATGTTCCAGTTTCAGCAAGAATTGAACATTATAAACTTCATGAAAGTATGACTTATTGCAGGATTTCTGTGTCAGACTGTTTTACTGGCTATAGGTGGACCTTATAAACTGGAGTGTATTTATAAAGTGTATTTAAGTCCTGTTTTAGGGATTTTCAGCCTAAAATGAGAAAGTAGCCCTCAGATAAGCATTTGGAGTTGAGTACATTAATTTGTTGTTTCATGCAGCAGGTTTGTTTATCAGATAATACAATCTCTCCCCTTAGTTCACAGATGAGTGCAGCTATGTCCAAAGATCCCAGCGGTATCTCTGTGAAGAATGATAGTTCCCTGTTCCATCCACTCAATTTTGATATTGAAAAGACAGAAAGGTAATTTTATTATTTTTCTATAAATAAAGTGTATTGTACCTTAAAGCATATTAAGGTAATTTTAATAAAGATTCAACATTGAAAGTGGCTAAGCCATTTGTAACTGCAATATACACATGTTTTTCTGTTTAAGTATGAATATTTTGCTTAAACTAAACAATTTTCAATTGATGTGTCTTCATCTTGTTTATATCAACTCTCATCTTTCCAATTACAATATACAATCATGCTGCATTCAAAATGTACTTTGTGCACTGTGTGCAGCTCCCATCCTCCCAATGTGGATCTGGCAAGAATAATGTGTCATTTGTTGTAATTTGTTCTTATAGACTGCAGAGTGAGGAGCAATTGAACAGCTCTGTGTATGTGGAGGATCCAGTCCATTTCATCACAAACCAGAGAGATACCAAGGAGGAAATGAGTAAGTTCAATTATACACGTGCTACCCTTACTACTAACTACGAACAATAACTACTAGTAATACTGAAAGATGTCATTATGTTGGGTGTCACAGGTTACTTGTGTGTAGGATTTAGTGTCATCTAGCAGTGAAGTTTCAGATTGCAACTAACTGAACACCGTTCACATCTGTATTTGAAGACCTGGGAATGAGAACAGGCTGTGAAGTGTGTGGGAGAATCTACGGTGGCCACAAAACATATGTTTAATTCAATTCAATTCAATTCAATTTTATTTGTATAGCGCCAATTCATAACAGAAGTTTTCTCAGGACACTTTTCAAATAGAGCAGGTCTAGGAATCTGAATGATGAATTGTGCATTTAATTGTTACAGGGCACGCCCTCATTTTTAAAGAAAAGAAGAATCTTAAACAAGCAATGCAAAAGCAATTCACTTGGATGTATGAAGGTCAGGGTGAGCAAAAGAACTTTCTGAACAGCATCTACACAGAACTCTACATCACGACTGGAGAGAGTGGAGGACCACATGAAGAACATGCATTCAGACACATCAAACATAAGTTGGAACGACAATCTTTCATACATTTAGTCAACCTCAGTGACATCTTCAAATCTTTGCCCGGCCAGAAGAAACCCCACAGAACAGTCCTGACGAAGGGTGTTGCAGGCATTGGAAAATCATTTGCTGTGCAAAAATTCATTCTTGACTGGGCAGAGGAGAGAGAAAACCAGGACATTGATTTCATTTTCTGTCTGGCTTTCCGAGAGGTGAATTTGATCAAAGATAACAAAAGCTTGCGCGAGCTCCTGACTGAATTTCACCCTGTGCTTCAGAGTTTGAAACATTCAGATGATTTTGTCAAAACCAGAGTCATGGTGATCCTGGATGGTCTAGATGAAAGCAGACTTCAACTGGACTTCAGGAACAAGCCGGTAACATCTGTTAATGAAGTAACATCTGTGGGCAATCTCCTTGCAAACCTCATCCAGGGCGACCTTCTTCCTAATGCTCACCTCTGGATAACATCCCGTCCAGCAGCAGCCAATCAGATCCCTGCAGAGTTTGTCGACATGGTGACAGAGATAAGAGGGTTCAGTGACCCACAAAAAGAGGAGTACTTCAGGAGGAGATTTAGTCATGACCCAAGACTTGCTGACAGGATCATTTCACACATTCACTCTTCACAGAGTCTCGATATCATGTGCCAGATCCCGATCTTCTGCTGGATTTCTGCATTATTATTTCAGGAGGTCTTTGGGGGAGACGAAAAAGCTGAAACTCCTCGAACTCTTACTGAGATGATGGCACATTTTCTGTTTGTCCAGACCAAACGCAGAATCAGAAAGTATGAGATGAAGACTGAGGAGAACAGAGAAAGACTTCTGACGATGCATCGAGAATTTCTTCTGAAACTTGGCAAACTGGCATTTGTCCAACTGCAGAAGAACAACCTCATCTTCTACGACGAAGACCTTGAAGAATGTGGCATTAACATCAAAGAGGCAATGATCTACTCTGGATTTTGCAACGCCGTTCTTAGGGAAGAAGAAGTCTTTTCCCAGAAAAAGGTCTTCTTCTTTGTGCACCTGACCATTCAGGAGTTCTTTGCAGCTCTTTTTGTCTATGACTGTTTTACAAACAAGAATACAAACGAGCTCGGCAAGTTCCTTGATCTGAAGGACAAAGAACATTCTTTAGTTGCTCTTCTAAAGATGACAGTTGACAAAGTGTTGGAGAAGGAGAATGGCCACCTGGACTTCTTCTTGGGATTCCTTCTTGGCCTTATGGCTGACTCCAACCGGAGAGTCCTTAAGGGCCTGCTGACATCACCAGACCCGAGCCAAGACACCGACAAGAAAATCCTGACTCACCTTAAAGCCATCCAAAGGAAGGCCCTCTCTCCAGACAGTTGTATCATCCTCTTCCAGACCATGGTCGAGATGAGAGACAACAAAGTCAAAGATGAGATTCTGGAATATCTCAAACTGTCAGATCGTTTGAAAACAGAGCTGACTCCCCTGCACTGCTCTGCACTGGCCTACATGCTGCAGGTATCGAAGAATGATCTGGATGTGTTGGAGTTGAAGAGTTACAACACATCAGATGAAGGCAGAAGAAGGCTGATACCAGCTGTAAGGAGCAGCAGAAAGGCCATGTAAGTGTACCTTTACTGCAATATGTAATATTGTAATGTAACAATTTGCAGTTGGGCTTCTAAATTTAGCATATGTCTGGCAGATGAAATATGTGATAAGATGATGGTATGAAGTAGCAGGGTCTCATTTCATCGTAGGTTTACGAATACAAATATTGTCGGATTGCCCCCATCAGTTTCTATGTCCGAATGGGAGGGGATTCTAAAAGCAGTTTGATTATCCTAGAAATCCTTTTTTTTTTTAAAGCATACTGACACTTTAACAAATAAATGTAATCCTTAATAATAGTTTTAACAATTTGTATCCATGGTTCTATTTGTAAATTAATGCAAGAAGTGACTTATTTATGACATTATAACTTCAACATCCCTTCATAGACTAGGAGACTGCAAAGTGACTGCGGAGTGGATTGAGCACTTGGCCTTTGCTCTCAAGTATTCTTACTCAGCTCTCAGAGATCTGGACCTCAGCAACAATGACCTGAAAGATTATGGAGTGGAGCTTCTCTGTGGTGGACTGTCAAGTCTATGCTGCAGGCTGGAGACACTGAGGTATTAACACACATATAAAGTACAGTAAGAGATAATGGTAATAGACAGACAAGCTATAGCTGTCTTCCTGCTACCTTGTACTGTTTTTAGCTATGCAAGTGGTGATGGCAATGTTGGGTGGTTGGTCAGTCAGACTGAAATATAACACCTATTTATCTCAAGCAAAAAATGGATTACCTTAAATCATTTTGCGAACATCATTAGTTTGGTGAGCCCTTGACAATTTATATAGGGTCACCATCAGGTCAAAGTTTTCATGTATCTTGAGAACTATCTCAACATCTCCTGGATGGACTGGCACAAAGGTTTTTGGTGATCATCTGACTTTTCTTCTAGCTCTCATGTTTTGTCTCGAACCACAAACTTGGCCATAAAATTTGGCACAAACAGTCATGTTCCCCTCAGGGTTAATTTTGATCACTTTAGTCTTCTCTTTAGTTTTCATCTAGTGCCACCATCATTTTTATTTCTTCAAATACTTGCAAATACCCGCAAAATGAATGGCGTAAAACTCTGGCTATTCCACTATACTACCATCACCAAACTCTTTACAGTAAATATTGTTTACTTGACTTGACTTATTCCCTTTTTATTGCTTAACAGCACCAGTTCCACGGTATCTAATCCGACCGGGCCACTCATTTTAAGACTACCATGTTTACAGTCATTCAAAGATCTGTGGAAATCCGTGCACTACTGGTGATGATGCCTTTTATAAACTAATCTTAAACCTGTTTGCTGGTAAATCTTGTGTTCTCTCAGGTTGTCTGGATGTCTGGTCACAGAGGAAGGCTGTAATTTTCTGGCCGCGGCTCTGAAGTCCAACCCCTCCCATCTGATAGAGCTGGACCTGAGCTACAACAATCCAGGAGATTCAGGAGAGAAGCTGCTCTCTGAGCTAAGGAATGATTCACAGTTCAAGCTCAGTATAGTCAGGTAATTATGGAATACTACATTATTGACTTTCCTGCTAAACTGAAAGAGAAGTGTTTGATTGCTGCTACAAATCAACTGCAGTGAGATTGGAATGGCATGCCCTAAAAAGTCTGTAGTTCTACCTGATCTGAAGTCATGAATACTTTATCATCTCACTGAAAAACTTTTTTACATTCAAGTATTTTTCTCCACAGTTTTGAACATGCAGGAAGTCACAGGATGAAACCAGGCTTCAAGAAATGTAAGTGTCTGTATATTTGTTGGATGAAATGAAAAACAAAACACAGTTAAACACTTAAATGTAATGCAAAAGTTGCTGTAAAAACTGTAAATGTGAAATTTTCCTTGAATATAAATGGTTGTTCTTAGAAATGGTTCAAACACTCTTTGATTAAATTATTTTCTTACTCCTAGATGCCTGTGAGCTCACTTTGGACCCCAACACAGCCCATAAGAACCTCGTTCTCTTGGAGGGAAACAGAGAGGTGATCTGTGAGGAAGACGAGCAGCTAGATCGCTCTCAGCAAGAAAGGTTTGAGCACTGCCAGCAGGTGCTGTGTGAACAGGGTCTAGATGAGCGGTGCTACTGGGAGGTCGAGGTGTTCGGACCCGTAAGCGTTGGGGTCACATACAGAGGAGTCGACAAGGAAGGGACCATGAATGATTTCAAGATGGGACACAATGACAGCTCTTGGTGTCTGGTTTCCTCGAATTATGGTTATTACGTTTTGCACAACAATGAGAAAGTTGATGTGCCTTCGCTTGGATGGCGCTCCAATTGGGTGGGAGTGTATCTGGATTGGCCGGCTGGCATTCTGTCCTTCTACAGAGTTTCCTCTGACAGTCGGACGCGCCTCCATACCTTCAAAACAACGTTCAATGAGCCCCTCTATCCTGCTGTTGAACTTCACACTCGGTCGTTTGCCTCATTTTGTCAGCTACCTTAAACCAACCATCCATAGTGCTCACACCAGCGCCTAGTCCTGTTCATCAAATCCAGTTATCAACTGTAACTATTTCCCATAAAGTCTAAACAACTGTAAAAATGTCCTACACAGCTGTAGACTTTCAGGTTTGACCAACTAATTCAATTTGCCTTCCAGAGCATTAAATCTATACTATAGTTGTTGATTAATTAATCAGAAGAAATTAGAAAATGAATCGGCAACTATCTTGATTATCTGTTAATGGTTTTTGTAATTTTTCAAGCTCAACATGCTTTTTCTAGATCCGTGAGGATCAAACGAATGACATTTCTGGGAAACTTTAAGGGGCATTTTCTGACACTTTATAGACAAAAGAACTAATCAATGAAATGGAATATAATATTTATAGGTATGTTTTCTTTAGTGTATAATCACCTGAATCTGCCTTCCATAGAGTCCGCCATCTTGGTCAGGCATGTTTTTACAGTAGGCCTAAAAGGACAAACCACTGGATCTAGATTCGGGTATTAACATTTTCAATTTGTGGCCACCATACTTGAACTTGAACTTGAACTTGAACTTGAGACGAAGCAAGGGAACATTTGATGATATCGGCAGCTATGTTTATGCCTTTTTGGATTTTTGAAGTCCTTACCACTGTAAGAACTTTGACAGTGTCATTATGTTTTTAATGTTTACATGAATTGTTAAATCCTGGCAGATTCTAGGCAGCCTAGTACAGACTAATTCTGTTTTATTGAACAACGACGTTTGTTCTGTGTATTTGGTTAGTTTGTTAAGTCTTTTGTGCTGTCTTTTCTTTTCTTTTCATTGACAGCTTTTCTAGAAAGAACAGCACACATTTCAGAAAACATCTTTCCAGATTTCCAGAAGTTGATGTCTGGCAGCTGTTTTTATATTTTTATTTTTACTTTGTGAGATCCCTGTGTGAAAAACGTGAGTTGTGAATGTGAGTTGTTTTTTAAGCTGAAGGACAGAAATGTTAAGAAATCTGGTTTCCTTCTGGTATATTGCATCATTCAGGTTTTATATCAGGCCTTTCAGTTATCTTGTGTAATTTCTCCTTTATTTTTATTCATTTATATGAAGAAAACTTTAATAACACTATATAAACACACCACAAAAATCTAAATACAGTATTCATATATTGTTTTACTTAGCTGAAAGTGCTATTGGTTCATGTGTACAAGGACATAATGGCTCTTCCACCTTGTCATATTTGTGGATGAATGGTTCACTGGTTTGGCTGGCAGTTAAGGGCGGGGCAGTCTGGCTGCTTCGGGTCCCAGCTGTCACGCCCCCCCACCCCCCAGACTCACTGAGGGAGGGTGGGGCCTCTTCGCCTCTTCATCCATGTGTCACAACAGAGGCCTGACTTCTACAAAAGAAGAAGAGGATGCAGGGGGGAATAAACATAATGTTGATGAGTAAAGTTAAGATTTAGTGGGTCTTAATCTTTGCTTACGGAGTTTAAAAATCAAGAAGGCACTTCTCTTTAATCAGAAAGCTTATAATTATACACACACACACACATCACACACAAGCAGCAACTGTTGAGGGAGTTTGTGCACCTGTAGTCTCCTTCCTCAGACCTCTCAGCTCATTATGTGCTGTTTTTTTCTGCTTGAACAAAGATCCACATCTGATGAGTTTATTTATTTGGTCCTGACCTGAGATCAGTCACAACTGTTTCCACAACCTGAAGATTTTCCTATTTTCTATAGTTTATAGTTCTATAGTTTTTGCTGTTTACAAATGTATTTTAAAGGAACTGTTTGATATTTTAGGAAGTACACAAATTTGTTTTCTCACCAAAAGTTAGACAAGAATGCCAACACCAGTGTTATGTTTATCTGGTAAATATGAAGCTCGGAGCTTAGCACAAAGACTAGATACAGCACCTCTAAAGGTCACTAGTGCACATATAACTCATATTTTCTACTTCTATTCCATCTTGTATTTCTATCTGCTGCGTATCTGGAGCTGCTGTAACAAGCGAATATCCCCACTGTGGGATCAGTAAAGTCGATCTGATCTTAATTGTTTAACCTGTGCAAAAGATTGTGATTTTACAGGAATATTTCTTGGCATATTTACAGTCTTTATTCTAAACTGCAAATATCAAGCTTTATATTTAACGCATATGAAAGTGAACTGTCAACTATTGTTTGTAAAACAGTTTTACTTAATAATAAATAATGAATATGAATTTTCTGTGTCTATTGTTGCTAATAATTATCACAACACAGCTAAAAGTAAAATTGGCAACAATAATATAAACTGTGACATCAGAGCCACGCCCACCATCACGTCATCAAATATTTATCTCATGAATGGAGCAGAATTATTTATTACTTCAGCCATTATAGTAATTTATCATCTTTTATTTATTAGGTTTGACACTTAATCGCGTTGCAAGTATCTTTTGTGTAAAAAAAAATACATATTTTATGTCCCTTTATAATTAGTTAATACTGATGTTGCAACATTTCCAAGTCTATTTTGTAAACTTTTATATAAAAACATACAAACAACAACAACATACCAACAGTAGTCAAAGCAGGTGCAGTAAACAGTGACAGAGGAAGTGATATCAAAGTATTAACAGTAATAACAGAAGTAGCAGTACTGTGCCTCTACAGCTGTAGGCACAATAAGAACAGTGTTTTACAGTTAATTTCATATCAAGTTTATAATAAGAAATAATAAAAAAATGTTCAGGGAGATGCACAGAAAAGAGAAAATAAATAAAACATAATAATATATAACAATAATATAATAATAATAATAATATAAAAACGGTTGTATAATGAGTCATTGTATTATGTAGCTGAGCTGCAACAGTCAGGACAATAAAACTAACTGAATTTGAATTTCAGAGAGAGAGAGAGACAAAAGACAGAAAGAGCGAGAGAGTGGTAGAGCGAGGTAGACAAAGACCGAGAGAGAGAGAGAGAGAGAGAGGGGGAGGGAGGGAGGGACGTTGTCATCACGTACAGCCGCGGATGAGAGGGGAGGAGCGGGGAGGGGAGGGGGTGTTCAGCCGGTCTCTCCTCTCTCTGCTGCAGCGGCCATGCTGCTGTCCGCCGCCTGTCTCGGTGCATCCCGGTCCCCCGCCGGTGTAACCTGCCGCCGCTGCATCCCTCAATCCCGGGTTAGCGGACCGGCCTGGACCGGGTCGTAGCGGTTCAGTCCGCCTGGAGGCGCCGGATCCATCGGAACAGACCGGAACACGGTACCGGGGGAAGAGGAGAAAACCTCCATAGCAACAAACCGGTTTCACGGCATTATTGGTAGGTGCCTCCCTCAATGTGTGTGTGTGTGTGTGTGTGTGTGTGTGTGTGTGTGTGTGAGAGAGAGAGAGAGAGAGAGTGTGTGTGTGTTTGAATGGCGCTGTCAGCACAGCTTAGCAGCGTTTGGGCGGATAGATGGATAAAGTCAATTCGTTTATGAGATAAAGAGACAAACAGGTTTTTATAATATTTGGATGTACAAGCTCACATTTGTCTTCTGGCTCCAGGTGGATTTAATTTGACCACAGATCAATGGACATTTCCCCACTCTGGCCTTGCAGGAAATTCAATTTCATTAAATAAGGTGGCTGTATTTGACTGACAACCTCTTTTGCATGTGTTATTTGACTGAAATATGTTCATACTGTGCATGCAAATGTCTATGAGCAGCAGAGATATTGAGGATTTCCAACGGGAGTCTGTGTGGTATTGTGCTCCAAAGTCCACCTTAAATAAATGCAAGTATCCTTAAATGACTGAATTCAGAATAAATCTTACTTTCTTCCTGCACCAGGAGAGATGTTTGAAGGATGAATGTGACCGTTGCATATCTTATAGGAGATCTGTCTTGTCAGTGCACCATGTGATTGTCATTTCTTTCTTTGCCAGTGATGGAGGGATGTTGAGGAGAAGTGTGACTAGGACAGACACCCCCCTCTAAAGAAAACCGGATTACCAGGACTCCAAACCATTGTGCCAGGTCTAAAGTGGGACTGCTGGAACTGGATGGTCTGCACTACTACTGGGTTTAGAGCCAGATCACTGGGACTACAGCTGGGTTACTGAACCTGCAGGAAGGTCACTGCGAGGACACGTCTAAATCATCCAGTAGAGACTTGACGTTTGCTGGAATGACGCTGGGTTTCATGGCTTTGAGGTTCTTCATTCAAGCTTGAAATTAGTTGGAGGAAAGACCTTTTCGGGGAAGGACTGCTTGAAATGATCAGTCTGAGGTTCGGTGCCACTAACATGGATTTTGTTCATCTATAGCCATCACAGCATCCAAGTGTCCTTTAGTAGTAACGTGAAGTAAGATTGAAGCACCAAGGAAATACTTGAATTTTAGGATTCTTATAGTGGAGAAAGTACTGTTCAACGTTCTGACAGCATCTCTTGAGTTGTGTTTGTAGTGTAAAATAAAGTTTGAGTAGGAGATCATTGGATTTACAACAGGGTTACTTGTTCTCCACGGATACTGGGACTACTTTTTACTGGTATTACACCAGGGTAACAGAAACTAAAGGTACTACGGCCAGGACCAGATACAAGTCACAAAAAAACCCCATCTTTTTTTTTGGTCTACTCGTCTGCATCATGTCAACTTGACCACAGAGCATTTCAGAAGTCTGAATGTTGAGGATTAAAGCTGTTTTTTGAGAATCTAAAAACACATTTTGAGGACTATAACCAGATGTTTTCAAAAACACTACAGCTTCTACATCACTGTTAATGGGATTATAAAATACCCTGGTCCTAGAAAAGTTACCAACTACTGTGTCTGCAAGCGAGTCACCAAGCTCACAACACATATTTTTGGGGGCACCAAGCAAGTTCTTAAAACTATAAAGCCATATTATCCTCACTGTTTATCACTGTTGGAACATGAACCTTAAGTAGCAGGGACTCTATTAAACTCTGCTGGACCAATATTCATCATGTCTTTGAGCAAGACCCTCGAGCTGGAGCACTTCGACGAACGCGACAAGGTTCGCCGGGGGCGCTCCACCCGCACCAAGAGAGATGACTCCACCGGCGGTGGCGGGGGGTCTGGCCCCAGCTCCAGGGGCAGCAGCCTGGTCCCTAGCCCTGCCCACAGCGCCAACTGCAGCTACTACCGGACCCGAACCCTGCAGGCACTCACCTCGGAGAAGAAGGCCAAAAAGGTCCGGTTCTATCGCAACGGGGACCGGTACTTCAAGGGTCTGGTGTACGCTGTTTCCAGTGACCGGTTCCGCTCCTACGATGCGCTGCTAATGGAGCTGACGCGCTCGTTGGCGGATAACCTGCATCTGCCGCAAGGGGTGCGCACGATCTACACTATAGATGGCACCAAGAAGATCACCAGTATGGATGAGCTGGTGGAAGGTAGGACTTTCTCTTTACTTTGTCTTGAATTTGTCAATGAACATGAATAATGACTGAATAATAAGTTAAAGGTCAATCCTGGCACTCTTAAATGGATTGCTGTTGGCTATATAAATCCTTTATTGGACCATCTTTTTTCATTAAAATAGTCGTACAGTTTCCTAATACAAAGTTATGAAGGGAGTGAGTGAAAGGCAGAGCATACCAAAAAACTAACTAAAAAACTTGGATTGGGACACCTCTGGGGGTTAATGGTGGCTTTTCTAAGATAAGTTTCAGCATGGTAAACTATTGCTATACAAGAGTCACATTGTTATGGACAAAAATGTCAGAAAATAGCTCATTGTGAATAAAACTGTCTTATTTAATTTCATGGTTGGAGAAAACACTGAAGCTTTCTGGTGTTTCTGTCTTTGCTGCCTCTCAAACTTCTGTGTCGTCTCTCTCAGGAATAAATTGACTGCTGGTATACTGTAACATTACATAACAGACACTATGCCACTAAGTCAGTGTAATTGCCCAGACAACCTGTCACTCTCTCCATTGATCAATCAATTGATTTTCCTCTTCAAACTTCCTCACTGTCTTCTTCCTGTTTGCTCTCTGTCCGTCTTTGTGATGCAAACACACCTGAATTATTCCTTTTTGTGTACATCAACAGCACAATAATAAGTAGATAACCAATACAGAGACCATCAGGTGTACAGTTTCATTTAGTTTGATTGTAAATGTATGACAGTAAAAGACAGCTGGCCAATCCTCCTTATTTGAATTATAAATATAACATACATACAATGACATGTCTTTAAAAGCACTGTAAAGTCTGTCGGCTCTTCCTCTCTGTGTAAACTCATTTATTCAGAACCAGACCAGTGGCTGAGTAACATCACTTATCATCAATATTGATGTGTGACTGGTTGTAATGTCCACTAATGAGCGTTAGAGGCAGGAAGCTGTTCGTCCGGAGACGTACTAAAAGACAGATGCATTACTCTTAAGCACTCTGTGGAATTAATAAACTACATGAGACCAGAGACCATGACAGCCTGCAAGTGGAAAGTGGGAAACTCGTCATTTACAACGTCTCTGTGCATTCGAGGTGCAAAAGTGGTGGGAAAGAAATGGAGGCCTGCAGTAGAGTGTCTGTCTGGCTGCTTTCCAGCACCAGAGACTTTGAACTGTTAGAGATTTAACCAATAATGTGAACGGATTGGTTATGCCGTGCTGAATATTAAACCTTTAAGTGTTTTAAAAGTGATATTTATTATATGGACAGCTGTGACAAGAACATGAGATATCATACCTGCTCATCTTCGTCTTTTGTTTCAAATGTTGTTTGTTGAGCCACAGAAATGAATTCATACAATATATTGTTGTGTCAGTGCTCATTTTCATCTATATAAAATAATTATATGTGTATATATGTATGAGAATGGTATCAAAGAAAAAGAAAATTATTTAGAAAAAAAGTAAAAGGATAAAATAAATGTGCATATACAAAATTAAGGAGAAATAGATTAAATCTAAATCTAAGAATAGGAGCTTAACTCTGATGAGGCAGTTTATGAGCATTTATTTCAACGTTTGTCTTCCCCTTAGTCTTCCTTCCTACAAGTCCAACTTTATTTTACTTTCTATGAAATATATATAACAAATCCTAAACATCTCAAAAGATCGTCTTAAGATTGGACAGATTATCCAATAATGGTTTCATGATTGCTTAGTTGGACCTGTGTATAGTATATACTATATTTATATCCATAAAATGTGGGTTTAGTGACTGATGTGAGACGTTCACATAAGTTGGATATATTTCCGTTTTCATTATTTTGGATATATTGTAGTTTTTTAAAGATCCAAATATCCTAGTTGTAATTGTGGCTTTGATTTTGTCATGAACTGTTTGTTCAACTCAGAAACTGGTAATTACTCCCACATGACCTGAATGCATCATTACTAAAACAACTGACAGGAAGTGATGTAACTCTATATCGGCTTTTAGAGTTGGGGCCACAGCCTTAGACCCCAAGGTTAAATGTTGTAAGGTTGTTTTTTTTATTTATCATTTACATTTTCAATTACAGAATAATTCTTTAAAGGATAGAAATAGTAAAAAATAAACACTCATTGCAAGTTCCCACAACCCACAGATACATCTCCAAATGTCTTGTTATGTCCAACCAACAGTCCCAAATCCAAATATATTTAATTTACAGTGATATAAAACACATAATCAGATATTTTAGAGGTTGGAATCAACACATTTTTGGGACTTTTGCTTAACAAATAAGCAAATTTTGACACAACATGCAATTGAGTTTGTGAAAATGAAACAAAATAAAATAAAATGCAGTGTTTTTAGTCCTGTTATGGCCTTTAGTGGGAATTTAACCTGTAACAGTCAGTATGGATGCCTTGCTCTGCCATTCAGTCGACACACAGAAGGTGTTGTGTGTTTAGTCAGTCAGGTATTTGAATAAAAACCCAGAGCAGTCCTGTCCAGCTGGTTTGAATAGCAAAGTGAAAGTCGACATGTGGAGAGACAAGGTCACACACACACACACACACACACACACACACACACAGACACACACACATTACCTGGAGACAGAGAGATGTACAGTATGTGTGTGTGTGTGAACATGTAATAGGGATGGAAGAGAGAGAGAAAGGTGTGTTTTTGAGGGCTACGGACGCTGACAAGTTTGTGTGAGAAAGGTGTGTGTGTTGGAAAGATGGCGAACTGTGCCGTGAGATATAGAGAGAGGGAGAGAGAGACAGTAGAAGGTGAGCTGTTTTTAACCATATAAGGTAAAACAGGAGAGTGACTGCGGGCTACTGTGCGTCTGATTGGCTAAAATCTGCCAGAGAGATTTAACATGATTTATAGTTTTAATATAACATTTTTAATTTTTAAAAGCTGCATCAGTCAGAGAAGATAAAGAAGAATGAGCATTATTGTGTGTTTGAGATGTTTTACGACAAATATTAGAGGGTGTTGTATTTATGAGCAAAAATGTAAAGAAATTATTAAAGTGTGTTTATCAGCTTTAACATTAAGCTGCTAATAATAGCATGTTCAGTTCACTAGTTCAATCAGCACATTATTATATAGATTATTCTACTACAGCACTTTTGTTTATTGGTTTATCTAATCCCAGCTAATGTCACCTGAGATAGCTTTACTAGGGTACTGGTTAGCAGTAGAGCTAGGTAATAAAACGATTGATTTAAATTTAAGTTTTAAATGATGCAAAAACGGCTGAATTGTAAACTCGAGATTTAGTGACTCGTCCACGAAGAGTAAAATGATTTCCCCATATGAGAAGAAGGGGCCCTGGCGATAAGGGCGGCTGTGGCTCAGAGGTAGAGTTGGTCTTCCACTAATTGGAAGGTTTCAGGTTTGATCCTCCTGATGCATGTCGAAGTGTCGTTCAGTTAAACCCCAAACTGGTCAACACTCTATGAAAGGGTGAATGGTACAAGCATATCATAAAGTAACTATAGATGTCATAGAAATGTAGTGAAGAAGTAAAGTACAAGTATGCCTAAACTGCACTTCAACCACTGTTGGTTAGTCCTCATCCTTAAAGCTTCTCTTTTAATGTTGAAAATAAAAACGAGTAAGCAGCCAGGCTTACTCGTATATTGGTATGAAATAAGAGCCTGTTACATTTTTCCGTCTCATACTTATATTTACAACAACATACAATATGGATCATCAGGCGATGACTTCTTTCTGAGTGACACGTTGTTCAGTTTTCCACCTCAAGTCACCACTAGAGCGCTGAGCTTAGAGAGACGGGAGTAAATCTGACATCTGCTGTCACCTTCACTTCATCACACACACACACACACACACACACACACACACACACACACACGGGTTGTATTACTACAGCTTCTGACTACAGTCGCTCTTTAACAACCTCTTACTTAATGGAGCAGTAATCTCTCTCACTTCTTTTAGATCTTTTAACTACATTTACAGCAAAAGCCAACAACTACAAATTTCCAATATTTAGTTTAATGGCACTCCAACAGCTTGTTTTTAAATTCAGTGGGCGAAAATTGCCTTTTTGAACTTTGAATTACTTTGAAAATCAAAAGTGAAAAGAATAATTCAAATTGTTGCTGTTTGGTACCCTTGAACATCTTTGAACGCACCATCTCTTGATACTCGAATATGATGCTAAATTATGTGTAAAATGTTTTTAGTCTCACACATTTAACCTCTTCTTACACTATAATTTTGGATGTGCAGTAATAAAACTTTTCTTCCTCCCGCCCTCTCCCTGCTCAGGTGAGTGCTACGTTTGTGCCTCCAACGAGCCTTACCGAAAGGTCGACTACACCAAGATCTCCGTCCCAAGCTGGAAGCCAGGTGCCAGCTCTGGGACAGGTCCCGGGAGCTCAACCCGGCCCTCCACAGCGTCCACAGGGGTGTCGGCAAGCACGGCTACCACCACCAAAGAGCGACCTGAAAGTCGTGAGGGCAGGGAGAGCAAAGACTTTATCAAGCCCAAGCTGGTGACGGTGATCCGCAGCGGCGTGAAGCCTCGCAAGGCTGTGAGGATCCTGCTGAACAAGAAGACGGCTCACTCCTTCGAACAAGTGTTGGCCGACATCACAGAGGCCATCAAGCTGGACTCCGGGGCTGTGAAGAGGCTGTACACACTGGATGGGAAACAGGTGAGGTGATGTTTGTTTTTGGTGTTTCACTCTTTGATGGATAAAAATGTAAGTGAAAGATTAGGTGTGAAGTTCTACCCATTAATACATGGCCAAACATACATTTTCAGTATGGTCTTATAGATAGATAGATAGATTTGTTCAGACATCAGAATCAAAGAGTGAGTCAGACATCACTAAGACAATCACTAAGCTACACAGAAACCCCTATCTGCACCCACGGGAGCAGGGAATGGACCAGAATACAATGCAGCTGCACAATAAAATTGTTTTTTTATTATTAACTTAATTTCATACATTTTAGTGAAATCCGATAATTTTACACTACTTGTCTTTCTGAGACAGTTAAGACAGAAGTTCATTTGACGATATTATCCAAGTTGCTGTCAGTGCTGTAGATACAGGGCAGCAGACGATGCTGTAGATACGGGACAGTGTCAGTGCTGTAGATACGGGGCATAGCAGCGGTGGCAGCAGCAGATGCAGCAGTCACACGCATTGTCTTCAGGAAATGCAAATAATTCCTGTGTGATTTTGCATTTGCTATAGCACAGTATATATTTATAAATATTCAGATTTAAACCATACAGCTCAGCTCTTAACTGCAGTACAATGAGACAACACAGACCGAGTCCACAGTGAGTTCACAAGAAATCTAATTACAGCCCTTTCATTACTACTGGAATGTGTAGAACATCAGGATAAACTATATAGGAGCCTCTTTAAAGGGTAATTTTTCAGTTCGCAGTGTTGGTTCAGGGAGTTCAGTCATTTTGAAGCTTAATATTTTGGCACTTTTAGCTCAATGTGGCGTCTGTTTAAAGCTCTGGAACTGCGTGTTGAACAGACTTTGAATGTGCTCTGATCCTCTCTGAAACTCTTCTGTGCACTCGTATTGAGTTAAAGATTTTGGATTTAACTGGCGGGGGCTATTTTTTACCACAGACAGACACACACACACACACACACAAACACACATATGCACTTTGAAGTTAGAGATAAGAGTGTTGGCTGTGACACAATGACAGTGGAGAGCTGAAGAAAAGCAGACGGCAGACAGCAGAGAGCTTCAGATTTACACACACACACACACACACACACACACACACACACACACACACACACACACACACACACACACACACACACACAAACAGACTACCCAATAAGCACTTGCTCAGAATTTGCTGCAGCATCGGCCTTAAGAAAATAAAAGCAATGTTGGCATACACAGCATACTTTTTAAAATGGTTCCCTGTGATAAATATGTCATATTTCATTCCTTTAGTGCCAGTAAAAAAGACAACATAGACAAAATAAGTGTAAGAACAGTTTCCTGTCTCTCTTCCTGTTGATCAGCTGATTTTAAAGGAGCAGTCCGTCACATTTTCAGTGTTTCATTCAGAGAATATGGAGGTTGTTTTTATGTTATCAACAAAGAAAATATACAATATATTAAAATAAATCCAGTACGAGCTGTTGTCTGCAGAGGCACATATATTATTTATATCAGAATATAAAGTTGAACATTTAGGAGAAAACATAGTGTTCTACAAATTGTCTCGAAATGGTACCAAATCTTAGTAAGTAAGTAATATCTGTAGAAAAATGTACAGTGTATTAATAAGCTGAAGCTGTTTCTGTAGTTAAATATTTTAATATTTTTTTGTCAAAACCAGGAAAAATTCAATTAATACAATAAAAAAAAGAATGATTGTAGACTAAAAACCCCAATATGAATTCAAGAAGTGCTATAAGACGAATCGAGTTAGCTGCACAAAAGACCCCAAAGTGCAACATAAAATAATTAAGATACTTAATGTTTCAAAAACCAACAACATTGTGTCTTATATAGATTTACAGATGTACAAACAAAGTGACAGTATGCAGTTTCTCTGATTGGGAACATCTGTGCAACACACAGCACCAGCAAAGTGTGAGAATTACCAGTAAGGTCACATTAGTAAAATCCACACTGTAATGCTGTAATATGCAAATACTGGGTGGCTGGTTCAGAGGAGCTCAGAGCGACAGGATTAAAACTCTCTCTCACCGTGAAATGTCAACTGTGTCAGAGGAGTGTCTCATAAAAATATAATGTTGGCAGAAAGGTTGAATTGGTTTTAATGTGTTAAAAACTTCTATTTTATTATTCTTGTCTTTCTACAGTTGATCTGAAAAGTTCCCAAAAGTGTTTTTCTTTAGTGGGAAACATCTTAAAAATGGGACTGGACTGCATTTTTCAGTCTTGCTCCTAAATGCGTTTTTGTGAATTATAACAACCAGTACGGTTTTCTTTTATATCCTTCAATATTTTCTGCCTGCATGTAGATAAAATAGGCCTCAAATTGCCTTCATAAAAGTTCTTTAAAAGTCTTAAATTTAACCTGATGAAACCTGCAACAATGTCACAGAACCTCAAATTTACTTTGTGAAAATCCTTTTTTATAAACGCTTCTTCCTTTTTTTTATAGAAAGACTCCTGATCATCTTCCACTTTCTGAACCGTACCGCTTTCAGGTGAAACGTATCAGCCAACAGTTTTGGAAATTAGAGCTGAAATGAGTAGTTGATGAATTAATTGTCCTCCTGAAATGTGAATATCTGCTGGTTTTATGAAAGTAAATGAAATATTTTTCAGTTTTGGCATTTTCTGCTGTTTTATGACATTTTATAGACCAAACAATCAGCTTTAATTTAGTTTTTTTTTTTTTAAAGTATTGATAGTATATAAATATCACATGAGAGCGTTGATACATTACAAACAGTTGACTGTTTAATATTAAGTTGATATTTTAATGAGTTGCATTTTGTAATGACACAAACACTGATTAGCTTACTCGAAATGAAGGCTTTTATTTTGAAGGCAGTGTATCATAACGAAAGGGCTTTTATTCTCTCTGCCTCAGACGGCTTCACTCTCTTCAGACTCAGTCAGTCTGAATGAAACAAGGCCTGTGTGTCTGTGTGTGTCTGTGTGTGTCTGTGTGTGTGTGTGTGTGTGTGTGTGTGTGTGTGTGTGTGTCTGTGTGTGTGTGTGTGTCTCTGTGTGTGTGTGTGTCTGTGTGTGTGTGTGTGTGTGTCTGTGTGTGTGTGTGTGTGTGTGTGTGTGTGTGTGTGTGTGTGTGTGTGTGTCCTCCCTTCGTCCTTTCAGTTTGTGCAGCCACTTCAAGCAGCGGGACAGAAACCCCATCACACACACTAACGCGCACACACACACACACACACACATTGACACTGCAGTGTGGTCTGGTCACCATGGTAACCAGCCATCCAGTAACAACCCCTGCCTTGCTCCACACACACACACACAGACACACACACACACACACACAGACACAGACTGCAGTTCCGGAGGCGTTGAGTAAAAAGTAAAGCGCGGGGGGGGGGATGAGACAGAGGAGGAGCGAGAGGTAAAATCAAGGCCAAAAGGAAGGAAGACGGAAAACACAGAGGAGGTGGAGGAGAGGATGAAACTGGGAAAGAAGGAGAAGGAAAAGGAGGCGAAGAAGAAAAAGAATGAGACAATGGAAGACGCTGCCAGTTAGCTTAGCTTAGCACTACGGCTAACCTGATTCCACATGATCTTCGTGGCTCGTTGTGACCTCACAAAAACTATTTGTAAACCTATGTTTGAGGAAACTCTTAACCTTCATCACGAAATGAGGAATAAAACTGAAGTTAAATGTTTAAAATCTGTACACGTTCTGACTGTTTGTGAGAAAGTGTTGTCCTGAGATCTGACTGGCCAACCTGTTATCCTTCCCTCCTTTCAGAGGGTGCGGCCAATGGTGCGGACCATTGGGACCATTGGGGCCATTCGGGCCATTGGGGCCATTGGGGCCAATGGTGCCATTGGTGCCATTGGGGCCATTGGGGCCATTGGGGCCATTGGGGCTATTGGTGCCATTGGGGCCATTGGGGCCATTGGGGCCATTGGGACCATTGGTGCCATTGGTGCCATTGGGGCCATTGGGGCCATTGGGACCATTGGGGCCATTGGTGCCATTGGGGCCATTGGGACCATTGGGGCCATTGGGACCATTGGGGCCATTGGGGCCATTGGGGCCATTGGTGCCATTGGGACCATTGGGACCATTGGGGCCATTGGGACCATTGGGACCATTGGGGCCATTGGGGCCATTGGAACCATTGGGGCCATGCTGGCATGTCAAGAAGGGAGCTAACTAACGCTCTTATGTTGGGCTAAATTCTGGCGGTAGAAAAACTGGCATGGCAGTTTTGAAAGGGCTCCCTTGACCTCTGACCTGGAGATATCTGAATGAAAAGGGGTCCCATGGGTACCAGCGAGTCTCCCCTTTGCAGACATGCCAACTTTATGCTAATCACATCCAATCCATGTGGTTTGAATGTGTTATTTTCACCCAGGGTACGTGAATATGTCTGCACACTGGGGTCCATAAACTGGAAAGCTGAGACACATAAGTCAGTGCTCCACTTGTGACACACTCCCCCGCTTTCCTCTCCCATTAATCAGATTTATTTGGTGGCCCTTTGGAGGGGCCCGACCCCTGTGTTGGGACCCACTGGACTACACTACTTCGAATACTTTAAATTACAGCTGATAGGTTATTTCAAATGCAGGACTTTTACTTTTCTCAGAGTTTTCCTACGTTGTTTTATTGGTGCTTTTATTTGAGTAAAATATCTGAACACTGTCCTGTTCTGATGTGACCCGGACTCAACTGTCTCTCTCTGTTTAATCCGTCCTCCCTCACCCCTGTTCATCCCTCTTTTCTTCACCTGTTTATCTCCCACAGTTTGCTGGCTCCCCAACCTGTCTGTCTCTCTGTCTGTCTCTCTCTCTGTCGGCCTGAATCTGGGACATTTTGATGAACAATTTGTATTTAATCCTCAAGACAGTTCTTCGACAGCAGTGTGTGTGTTTGTTTGTGTGTGTGTGTGTGTCCATTGAAGCGCTGCCAGCGGTAAACGTGATTAGAATATTCCCAGCTGTCGTCTGCTTTGTGTCCCTCTCTCTCTCTCACACACACACACACACACACACACACACCAACACACACACCACGCATTTGTACACCAGTGCAGTGTTTCCAAAAGTTTGATTAATCAGTGTGTGTGTGTGTGTGTGTGTGTGCGTGCAGCTGACCTGCCTGCAGGATTTCTTCGGGGACGACGATGTGTTCATGGCGTGCGGGCCGGAGAAGTTTCGCTACGCTCAGGACGACTTTGTGCTCACACACACGACCAAAACACAGACGTTTGTTAGCGGTGAGAGTTCATCCTGTTTCCTCTCGTTTATTGAACCTCATGAATGCAGTATTTGTACTTTTTGTACTTCTATTTTTATAACTTTAAGGTTTATATTCTTTTGTTTTTAATGTGACTGTAGTGGATGCATGAGGTGTCTCATTTGGACATCGCAACTCAAATCCTTGGATCCATTATCCATTTGTATTCCTGTTTATTAAAGCTGCACCAATTAACCCATTAGTTGTCAACTAGGAAATTAATCACCAGCTATTGATAATGTCCAGATTCTCTTTCAGCTTCTCAAATGTGAATATTTCCTGGTTCATTCAGTCCTCTGTGACTCTCAACTGAATATCTTTGGACAAAAGAGCCGTTTTAGGGTCACTTTGGGCTTTATTTGTCATCATTTCCTGACAAATTATGGCCCAAACAACTAATCGATTAATAAAGAAAATGATCAACAGATTAATCAGTAATGAAAATAGTCTTTCTTTCTTTTTACTGTTTTTATTGGAGAAGAAATAACACGTCAGTACAAGAGTACGATAAGAGCTAGATAAAGAATTACCACTGTCTATTCTTTTGGATTTTTGATCATATTGTAATTATGACAGAGAATGTTAATCTCCACATTCAGTCCTGTCACCTAAATTATTTTTAACATGTTATTAGGTTTGAGAAAATGTAAAAAAAAGAGATAGAAACAGAAGAAGAAACCTTGGAAAAACAAAATAAATTGGCCGGAGGTTGACCGTCACACATTTTGAATAGATAATGTGTGTTATTAGATACAGTGCTGAGTAAAGATAAAGAATAAAGTTTCATTTTGACGTTTCAACATGCAACAATAAAATACACAACAGTTAGTGTGTAATAATCATTAAATCTCTCTCTCTATCTCTCTCTCTCTCCAGAGTGCAGAGCCAAGGTGTCTCGCTCTACCGCCCCTCCGAAAACCCCAACTCCCAAGACTCCTAGCAGCTCTGGTCTCTCCACCTGCAAGACTCCACCCAGAGGCCCGTCCAGAACCAAGTCTCCTGGCCCAGGTGGGTGTGAGCCGATGGGGAAATCTCTGCTCTAAATCACCCTGAGACGATCAATTGCTATGATTACCTGATTATTTCGACCAATCAGACGGTTCCTTTTTTCTCGTGTGTGTGTGTGTGTGTGTGTGTGTGTGTGTGTAGCCAATGAGGGCTCAGGATCGCAGTTAGCTGGGAAGTCGGCCAGGTCCAGCCCCTCCCCCACCAGCCCCGGGACACGACGCAGCCTCAAGGTCGGAACGTCTTCTCCAAATATGTTTTCTATATTTCTTTATTAGCCATGCTAGCTGCAGTCTAGAGCTCTGGTTCCCAACCTGTTTCCTTAACGGACCCTCTTCTATCGTTTAGTAATCTGACTCAGTGACATATATTTTTGTTTCATATTTAAAACTGTACCTTGACCCCAAACAGTGAACTGCAAGAAATGTGTGTAAAACATAAGATTTGGATGAATTTTGAGCAGATTATTTCCTGTTTATGGAGCTTTTGATACGATTCTGTCTGTATTTTTGGCTCTAACAGTTACCGTAGAATGAGCGGGTCCTCTTCCACGGAGTCCACCATGTTGAACAGTTAAAAAAAAAAAAAAAAAAAAACCCAAACACTGGCTGTAGATAGGAGTGTTTCATAGCAACCGTAGTTTCTCCTACATGCTGGGAAGGGCAGGATGAAGCAAAGGAGGTCTGCAAACACTAAATAATACACACTGGACCTTTATAACAGCAACAATAACATGTACGATATATATAGGTATATATTTATCTAATTTATCTATTTGTCAGTAATATGTTGGAATCACGTTAATATGAATTTTCAGAGCAAAAAATAAAACACTTGCAAACAATGATCAGACAGTAATTTGGTGGACCCCCTGCAGTAACTCTGAGGACCTCCTAGGGGTGGCGGACCCCCTGTTGAGGAACCAGGATTTAGGTTTTAGGTTCTAAAAGTTTCCTTTTCATCTTTTTCTTTGAATCTGGAATCAGGACCTCATTATTTTCATCTTTCTCATCCTGAGTTGCTCCCCCCCTTCTTTCTCTCTCTCTCTCTCTCTCTCTCTAGATGTCTCCCCACCGCACTTCCTCCACGGATGTAAACGGAGAGGCCGAGCAGGCGGACGAAACTGTCGAAGGTTTGTGTGCTTCTGTTTTAATGTTTACAATTGAAATAGTCATTTTAAACCTTTTATATTTAACATTTAATGGAATGCCCACATCCCAAGCACAGACTGAAAGAGCTCAGAGATTCAGAATGACTTGGTCTGGACATTTTTAAAGGGAACTTTTTGATGAAAGAGCTGCTTAAACCTAATCTTTATGAAACAGTAGTTCAGAGTGTTAGACAGCTACTTCAAGGGTTAGAGGCTTTGGGGGGTTTTAGGCTGAGTATCTAAGTGAATTTTTAAAAACAGCATCTCAAGACAAGACAGAAGAGCCCTAAAAGACCCTCACTCTGCAGCTTTGAAAGCCTCGAACCTCTGGTTGAACACACAGATTGAAAAGTTCTGAAGCAGAAAAGACTCTGTGGCTCAAAGTGTGAAGAGGTGACAGAAGGACTTTGAGCTTCTGGGTTCAAGAGTGAATTCTCAAAGCCGTCATCTTTATGAAAACTGTCAAACTCTGGAAGTTACGCAGCTGCTCCGTTACGTAAAAGGTCATGGGCTAAGACTTAAATCATGTCCCTTCTCGTCCTCACAGTGAACGGTAATCGGTCCGTTTCTTCCTCCATCATCAACGAGAAGTACCAAGTCGGTAAAGTGATCGGGGACGGGAACTTTGCTGTGGTGAAAGAGTGCGTGGAGAGGTAAAGAACATCAGAACGTACAATTTCAGTCATGAAAATATATTTATTAGTATTTAAAGTACAAACAACAACATGTACGACGTATAGCTGGTGTAACAGCCCATTCACACTGTACATTTCAATGCCTTTATTATTGCAGAAGGATCAAAGCAAAAATGAAATACTATAATACAAGAAAAATCTATATTTTTATATTTGAGACATCTTTTATTTTGCTTAAAAAATCTTAATGATCTTTTTCTGCACGTCAGTTTATTAGGAAATCATTAAAAGGGAATGTTTCCTACCAAAATAATACATTTGAACTACAGATTTTAAAACAATACAGTTGATGGACTATTGGAAAAGTTTCTGTTGTTTGATTGACAGGTCGACGGGACAGGAGTACGCTCTGAAGATCATTGATAAAGCTCGCTGCTGTGGGAAGGTAACCCTGCTTTATAGCATTCATATTAATATTGTTCTTTATTTATATAATCCCAACTCCACATTAGTTTCTCCTAGTTAAAAGTTTTGTCTTTCCATTAGAAACTGCCAAAAAAAGGTTTACAACATCTGATTTATAGTCTGATTTGTGTTATTCCACACCACATTGTTTGCATTTGTAGTGCCCCCTAATGGTTGACTGGAATGAAACTTTCTGGGTGTGTTTCATGTACTTGTGGACGTACGTACGTTTTGTGATGATTGACTTATTTCTATGTATGTGCTGAGCCACACCCACCTTGAAGTCCTTTTTTTAAAAAAAAAAAAAATATTTTTTTATTTTTTTTTTTTTTTTTTTTTTTTTTATTTTTTTTTTTTTTTTTTTTTTATTAATATTGAAATTTTTTTTTTTTTTTTTTTTTTTGTTTTTTTGGTTTTTTTTTTTTTTTGTGTGTTTTTTTTTTGGTTTTTTTTTTTTTTGGGGGGGGGGTGGTGGCCTTTCCAAGGTGGCGTTTTTGGGCTTTTTAATGGCAGCACCACCATCATGGATCTTGGGAAGCACATGCACACCATTTCCAGTTGTTGGGCCAAGTTTCATGTTTCCCAGCTGACGGCAGTTTGAGCCGATGCAGCAGACAAAGGTTGCTTAAATACGTCTGATTTTAAAGCCCCGAATCAAATGTAGAGCGCACCGTGGGTAGTTCAGGGAGCTGGGAGATTGTAGAGTTATCCACAGAACCTCAGCAGCTATTGAAGTCACAGCAACACATTTGTTAAGCCGGTAAGATATTCCGGACTGCACCTTTCTTAAAGTTTGGCTTTTTAAGTTTTGAGAAGTTACTTTAGGTTTCTATAAATATGTATTCGCCTTGAGGTCAGGATTTAATATTCTGTGTGTGATTGTGTTGCGTACGCGGTTCAGCATGAAATAATAATGAGAGTTTGTCAAAAATAAAGTGTGTGTGTGTGTGTGTGTGTGTGTGTGTGTGTGTGTGTGTGTGTGTGTGTGTGTGTGTGTGTGTGTGTGTGTGTGTGTGTGTGTGTGTGTGTGTGTGTGTGTGTGTGTGTACAGGAGCATCTGATAGAAAATGAAGTGGCGGTGCTGCGGAGGGTTCGACATCCCAGCATCATCCAGTTAATCGAGGTGGATGAAACTCCCAGTCAGCTGTTCCTGGTCATGGAGCTCGTCAAGGTACCTCTTCTTCTTCTTCCTCTTCTTCTCTTCCTCCTGGTTCTATTACTACTTCCTGTTTCTTTCTTCCAGCTCATGCAGCTAAAGAGTACAAAGAAATAAAAGTGTGTGAATAATGACTGTTTTCATGCCTCTACCTCCTTCAGGGTGGCGACCTGTTCGACGCCATCACCTCCTCCACTAAGTACAGCGAGCGGGACGCCAGCGCCATGGTGTTCAACCTGGCCGGAGCCATCAAGTACCTGCACCGGATGAACATCGTCCACCGAGACATCAAACCAGAGAACCTGCTGGTACACAAACACACACATTACTATTATATTATATAATATTATTGACAACCACAGATACGATAGAATAGTTATAGAATGGTCATTATTTACCTTATTTCTTGTATTAGTTAATGAGACATGAGTTTAATGTTTGTTTTACATACAAAGTGCTGTACAGTCAATCTGCTCTCTGGTGTTGTTTACATGCTTCACCTTCAGTCTGTGTGTTTCTGTGTGCTGGCAGGTGTGCGAGTATCCAGACGGCACTAAGTCGCTGAAGCTGGGCGACTTTGGTCTGGCGACGGTGGTGGAGGGACCGCTCTACACTGTGTGCGGCACGCCGACGTACGTCGCCCCGGAGATCATCGCTGAGACTGGGTGAGAGAGAGGAAGAGTTGAAAATCAGTTTCTGGGAATAAAAGGTTAACTCACACTTTAATTAAACTGGTGTGTGCTTGTATGTTTATGTGTGTGTGTGTGTAGCTATGGTCTGAAGGTAGATATCTGGGCGGCGGGAGTGATCACCTACATCCTGCTGTGTGGATTCCCTCCATTTAGAAGGTCAGTACAAAGTTTTAGTTGATCATCATAGCCCTGTATCGGTCATTCTTTCATTAATTTGACTAATATAGTGTTTTATTTAGTATTATATTAAACATTACATGCTTTCTAGTGATCATTTTGGTCCAGTTCATTCAGAGCATTTCCCTCCTCTTCCTCTCCTCAGTGAGAATAATGTGCAGGAGGAGTTGTTTGATCAGATCCTGAGAGGGAAGCTGGAGTTTCCGTCTCCAGACTGGGACACAGTCAGCCTGCCAGCCAAGGTACCGCTCACTCATACCCACAGTAAATATGTCGTCACATGGAGCGTTCACATGCGTGGGGGGAAAGTCAGACACCAAGGCCTTCCAGTCAGCTCAAAAACAAACTGTAGATAAAGTAAAGATAAAGTTTATTTCAACAAACAGTACAACTACAAACCTTTAATAACAAAGGTTGGGTTTGAATCTTGATTGTTTTACTCATTTAAATCAGAATCCTGTATAGCTGTTTGTGTTAAAGGTTCAGGTTAACACACAAACAACATGTTGAACTTTGTCTGTGACACATTGTCAGACAGTTTACTGCGGGCTGCTAACTGTCACATGACCTGCTCCTCAGATGCTGATTAGTCAGATGCTGCAGGTGAACGTGGACACTCGCTTCACTGCAGAGGAGGTCCTGTCGCACCCCTGGGTGACGGTAAGAGTTAAACACACAAATACTTCACACATACAGACACAAAGGAGGAACTGGGTTTTTTCACTCTGGCTTATGTAAATCAGTTGGTTGCTTAAAGCAGAAGTGACTTTATTTGTGTTCCTCATTTCAAAACCTGCCTCAACAAGACAGCTTCACTTTTGTCATTAACTCTTTAAAACACAAGACTCATTGTCTCTTTTTGTAAAAACAATTATGTTTCAACTTTGTGATTTTGATAACTTTCATATTAAAGCTTGTTAATAATGTGGTTGTTTAGGACGAGGCCCCCGTAGACTCCAACACTGTGAGCAGCACTGAAGAGCAGACCAGTGGAGACGCACTGGAACCAGAGAACGAATCCCCAATACTGGAAACCAAACAAGTTCCTTCACCTCTGGTCTGAAACCCCTTTCATCAACTGGAACCCGAACACAACACTGTTTGTTTGATCTACGTTTCCTCACCTTTGGTGCAGACTCATCCTGGAAACCAGACGAGTTCTCTCAAATCTTGTCAAGATTTGTTCTGTTTTTTCCAATGAAGACCTCCAGTGCAGAACACATCCTGTTTGATGTTTTGGAAGCCAAATGCTTCCTCCACCATCTGGTCTAGCATAGGATCTGTTTCACCCACTGGAAAACAAATGACCATCCTGTTTTATTTATTGGAAACCAAATCACTGTTTCTGGACATGTTCCATTTCACCTTCTGGAAACTGAACAGAAAATTGTGTTTAATCTACTGAAAACTGAGTAGTTCCCTCAAATCTAGTCGAGAGTAAATCCTGTTTAACCTATTGGAAGCCAAACAAAAACCATGACCCCCTATGGTCTAGAATATACCCAGTTTAATCAACTGGAACTTCTGGTCCAAAAACGCCCCGTTGCTTCTACTCGACACGGAACAAAGTTGCTCGATTCTAGTCTAGAGTACGTCCCCTTCTATCAACTGGAAACCAAATGAGTGCCCTCAAACCTGGTCTAGAATCAGCCCTGTTTCATCTACTGGAATCCATCAAGTTCCCTCACCTCTGGTGTAGAATGGTTTTCAGTAGATTAAACATGATAAAAACAAGTTCCCTTATTGTTGTTTCTGGAAAACTGAAGTGGTATACACTTCAGTTTGCTGTTTCTTGTACTGGAAACCAAACCAGTTCCCCCATTTTTGGTCTAGATCATGTCCCCATTCATCTACTGAAAACTGAGCACGTTCCCTCAATTCTTGACTAGAATATGTCCCCTTTTACCAACTGGAAACCAAACGAGTTCCCTCATCTCTAGTCTAGAACATGTTCTGTTTCATGTTACTTGAAACCAAACATAATTCCTCAAAATCTGTTCTTGAACTCGACCTATTATTCCACTGAGAACCAAATGAGTTGCCTCGTCTCCTTAGTCCAGAACACATCCACTGGAAACCAAACAAGTTTCCAAATCTCTGGTCTAGAACACGTCTCCATTTATTTACTGGAAACCAAACAAGTTTGCTTGCCTTTTCTATTCAACACCAAATGAGTTTCCCTCCCGTTGGTCTTTTAAAAGTGTTCTACTGGAAACTGAACTGTGTTTGTCACCTGTAGTCTAGGACACATGGCATTTGCTCCACTGGAAACAAATCAAGTTCTCTCTTATTATTTCCAATTTATCTCTTGGAAACTGTCCTTGCATCTGGTCTACACCACAATTTAAACTACTAATGACTTTCATAAGTCCCGTCTCTGCTGCTGTACTGGAAAGTATTTACATTCTCTTTGATGAGCTCCATTTAACATCTATTAGATGTCCATTTTGCTCTATAAGAGGAGTCCGTTTAGTTTTGGACAGACATTAATGAAGTCACCTCACTGCTGCTTGAAGGACACACACCATATCAACAATGGGACACAATGAAGGTGCTATTGGACACATACTGTTTCATCACCCGGTGTCTCATGGGACTGGCACTTACCTCCGGTCTGACTGACACTTAACTCAAAGGCTCTGAAAAAGGCCTCAAATCACTTTCATAAGGATATAAACAACTGATTCGTTAACAAACGCTCCGTCTGGTTTAGGGACTATTTGCTCTGTAGTCCCTGCCACTTGGCGACCAGGATGTCTTCCACTTATTCTGGGAAACGTCCCATTTCTCCTGCCTTTACCCTCCAGTTCTCCTTCCACTGACCCGAAGGACGTTCCTCATTTCCTCTACTCTGCACCCACCAACACAATGAGATATTTGAGTACTGTGCCTGTTTACACTGCTGATGAATCCTTCTTAATATCCTAAATCTCAGCCCCTTCAGCATCGGTTCAACTCCTCAGACCCCTCCCCATGTCATCAGCTGTATAGACAGATAAGGGTCATTGTTTTTTCGGTTTACAGATTATTGCTAAAATATATATCTTAGTTTTTGAAAAGGAACAGATGGTTTAAAGGAGTTCCATGCCATTCCCACAGTACATACAGCATGGAGCTGGAGCCAGGTGGCTATTAGGCCAGCTTAGCCCAAAGACTAAAGGAGACTTGCCTCATGGCCTAGCTATGTCCAAAGTTAAAAAATCTGGCTAGTAGCACCCCTAAAGCTCACAAATTAAAACATTATTTTGTTTAATTAATACACAAATGAAGAATTTTGCTAACAGATGAACGAAACAAGATACAGTATGTTAATATAATTAAAATTCGGCTTTAAAGGTGTATTTTTTAACTTTGAGCTAGCTTTCCCCAGTGTTTACAGTCTTTATGCTAAGCTAGGCTAATCACCTCCTGGCTACAATCCTCCGAGTACTGCCCAACACATTGAACTAGACCTATACTATACTTAGAAAAAAAAAGATTTCTGAACAAATAAAGTTACAGAACAGAAAAAAAAAAAAAAACCCTCAAACCAATGAGTCTTATCTACATACACTCAGTGTCCTCCATTGAAGGGCACTTCCTATCACCCCATTACTCCCATCCATCACAGATTCCCCAGACTTCGTACTGTAACTCAAATGAAGTGAGTGACCTCCAAACCTCACATTTACAAAACGTTTTCAGCAACCTTTCGAGGTTTCTGCCTGCAGTATGACTGAGGTAAAGGGCACGTACCAGTCCTAACCCAGAGCTCCCTGCCTCTCCTCCTGCCTGCAGTTAACGGAGGATAAAATGTTGTGTATATACTGTAAATATCACTCTGTCTGTTGGTGTCTGTCTGTGTGAGTCTGTTGTGAAGTAGGGAAACAGTAGCAGTTTGAACAAAAAATAAATACTTAAATGAAAAGAAATAATCTCATCATAGACATGATGTGTCAGCACCCCGCAAAACCTTGTTTTTCCTGAAGAGCCAAAGTTTAGATTTAAAAAATATATTTTCCACATTGATACTGAAACATTTTGGCATTTTAAAATCTACAGTGGTGGAATGTACTTAAAGCATCAGTGCTTTACTTGAGTAGTTTCATGACGCTTTCTACTTCTACTCCACTACATTTCGGAGAGAAATTATTGTTTTTTTTTTACTTCATTACATGTACTTCAAATTAACCTCAAATATGACGATTTGCTGCTTTTACACATCTTAAATGACAGTAAACTGAATAATTTTGAGGATTGGGCTGTTGGTCGGACAAAACGAGACATCTGAAGGTGTCAGATCAACTTTATCAGAACAATAATCAGATTAATCAAGAAATTAACCTTCATATTAATCCATAATGAAAACAACCATTAGTTGCAGCGTCAAACCTCAAACATACACATACATATACAACAGTTGACTTCAGCTTAAAATGTATTAAAACAAAATAAGAATACTGTATATATAGTATATCATTACATGCTTTCCACACAAACTTTAAGTTCTAATGGAGTATTTTTATTTTTATTGCATAATATTAGTACTTTTGCTCAAGTAAAGAATCTGTGTACTTCCTCCACCACTGAAAATGCAGATTGTCATCAGTTAATTCTTTATTCTAATTTAAAAAAAAGGCAGAAAAAATGAGAGTCAAGGTTTCTGAGGGTTGCTGACGAGCTGTAATGAAAGAGTTCTTACCTTTTAAAGTCGAGTTCCTGATAGATCTGGTAGCAAATGTTGCCTAGCAACAAAAGGACTGGGCACGGCGATGGATCTCTTTCCTTATATGGTCATGTGTCTGTGAGATGTGACATAGTGGGTCATTTATCAATCATATCCATCCACACATCCATTATGTTGTCTGTTGATGTTACTGGTTACAAGAATCACTGGGGATGAAGGCAAGGTGTGCGTGTGTGTGTGTGTGTGTGTGTAAATAAGTGTGTAATCTTTTAACTTAAAATCATGTGGGAATGGGGGTGTATGAGGTTCAGTATGTGTGTTTTGTGTGAGTATGTATGCATCGAGGGAAGGGGGTCACTTTTTTAGTTGTTATCTGGATAAATGCGTTGACCTGATGCAGTGTTATGACCTTACCGTGACCTTTGAACTTAGCACGACCTTTCCATGGCCTTGACCTTTGGCCGGAGCCACTGATGAAGAGTTTGGCGAGGATGGGCTGTGGCAGATTGGAAGCTAGCAAAGTCGTTTCGAAGGACTAAACTCATTCTGTGACGCTAGGTGTGACGCAGCGAGAAGATATCAGAACTGGAGATTATTTCCTAATTGTTTGGATACCTTCTATGGTTCGTTGATCTGATTGGTTGAATTTTTCTTGCCATAGTTGGTGATAGATTTCCAACGACAAATTCCCATATGGTTCTGTGTAACAAACCATACCGTACAGTCAGATTAAAGATTCAGTATCACAGGTATATTTACGGTTATTCTTGGTCAATCTGACATTTGCTGACCAGCTCAAACAGCAGCATCACTTTCAGATTTGAGTCAAACGTTTGTGTAATTGCGTCGATTTGCGAGTAGAAATTCCGCCATTACGTTACAAAGTAATCTATGTGCACATTACAGTCCAGCAAAAGTTGAGCCTGGTTCATCGCTGGCTGGCTCTGATCAAATAAAGGAGAAGTCAGCGTTTACACAGAGCTGCTTCAGGTTCAGCCTCAATTGGGAGATTTGAATCCTCGACTTGTGAAACGCTACAATAAAACCACTGAATCCTATTTATTACACTAGTTCAGACTCTCCATTAGAGGTTTAACATTACATTACATACATTATGCTTTGGTACACTCAGTGATTAACAAGGTTAGATGAAGACAAATTATGTGAAAGCAGAAGATTCAGTTTCACTTAAAGACTACGTGGGGGATGTTTTAAGTTTTAAAATGAGTTAGATCATTCAACAGTTTCTGGTCTTTCTGGTTCTTTTTTATATTTTTGGTTGAGAAGACATTTTGAGGCAGCTGACACTTCAGTGTTAAATCAATGAACACTTTTTAACAGGCTCAATTGATCAAATTTTGTTGATCGTTGTGACACATTTTTAACACTATAATGCATATTGTCACATTTTTGCATTTAGGTTTTATTGTTACACCATTTTTTTGATAATGTATTGGAAAATCTAGAGAGCGTTATAAAAAATAATCTTCATAAAGTCTATGGTAACACTAAGTTTTATAATAACACTCATCATTGACATATCAGTCATCACAGTAATGATTTATCTCCTCACACTACGCATTATTTGCTCTGAGGAAGCCCTGCAACAAGTCAAATTCTTTAAGTCAGTGGCTCGGCCTTTGACCTTCTATGCCTGCTATGAACCCAGTAGTCTTAATTCTTTTCTCTTTGCTTTATACCAAACCAAAAGGAGCCTTCTGTTGATGCTGTTAGCGATGCAGCTACACCTGTTGCAAGCAAAGACTTAAAGTAATTTCAGAGTGATTTGCCCCAGGGTGGCTGCAGTTATTAGGCCCTTTGTGTGTGTTTTTAGCAAATGCAGTGTGTGTACGTGTGTGTGTGTGTGTGTGTGTGTGTGTGTGTGTGTGTGTGTGTGATCATTTCACATCATGCCTCATTTTAGACAGGAACTGATTTTTTTTGTTTAAATCAAGTACCGTAGACAATTTAGGATTTTGAACAAAACTGGGCTGGTTTTCCTAAAAGAAATCTCAGAATCTAATGTTCAGTTCAATCAGCCAAAAAACTAAATATATTATTTGTGCTCAATCATTTTAAAATAGCTAGATTCTCAAATGTTTTCCTATTGAAGACAATCCTTTTTCTGGAATACCTATACTGAACCTTGATCCTGATAGCTAAAAAACACAAAAAGTCTTGTAAAAAGTTTTTTCTTTACAGCTTATTAGCTCAAACTTGCTCAAAGTTAGTAAGTTGTTCCTAAATTAAGCAAAGATGCACTTTGAGTGTTTTTTAAAATCTAAATTAAATTTCAGCTGTTCAACGTCTGTTTCGAGATGCTTTTAGGAAAACTAGTCCTGGGTTGAAGTGAAAGGAGATGTGAGGACAACAGTGTTTTGAGGACATGTTCTAGACATGTTTTAATGCTAACAATGATCTGTAATGTGATGTGTGTTGATATGAAACGTATGTTTGTTGGGATCAGGGTGCAAAGCCTTGATTCGGATTGAAAAGATGCATTCAACTGTGAAAATAAAAACTGATGCAGTGGCATCATGTTAACCCGCTGTGTCTTTATTACTGTTGATAAACTGAATCTTCTCTGCACACATTTATTTATAAAAAAGGATTATCTGCGACAGTTTAAAATTGATTTTCCAAACTTTACAGCAGAATCAGGTTAAAAAAGCAAGTACTATATATCTCCGGCTTCAGTGGTTACAGTTTTACATTTTAACACGAGATACAGTCTAGAATATTTAGTGCTTACTCTACTATTTCATGTCAAAATGGCTGCTGTGAAAAAGGTATATTGACAATATCATCATACTTTCTTTCTGTCTCTGTTTCCTGAAAGCATTTCAAATCTTTCCACCTGACACCAACACAAAACATGTTTTCTATGAGTAGACTATATGGCCAAAAGTAGGAAGACAGCCCCAACAACCTTTGGTCATGGTTTAGGCCCCTTAGTTCGAGTGAAGGGGAATTAATGCTTATGTATGCAGCATACAATAATAATAGTGGGTCTCCAATTTTGTGTCAACAGTTTAGGGAAGAGCCTCCTGATTTGACATGCCAGAGCTTCTGGGCACAAAGCCAGGTCCATGAAGAAATTATTGTCTTTGATCTCTTATTGTCTAGATTTGACTTCGATTTGGACCCCATCCAACACCTTTGGAAGAACTTGAACCCTGTCTGTGAGCCAGGCCTTATCATCCAACATCAGGGTTAGACCTCACTAATTCTCTTGCAGTGCAAAGTCAAATATATGATACTATTAAATGTAACAGAGCAGCATAAGTTTCTGATTTCTGAAAAGTAAAGTTCAAAGTGAAATTATTTCGAACACATGCCTATTAACTTCTAATCAGTACCTTTTTTCCTGCTTTGCTTCACCGCTGACCACCTGACTGTGATCAGTTGGAGCTCAACTGTGTTATCAAGGCTTACCAAAGCTCAATCTGAAAGGTTTAAAGGAGTGTAGAACATTAAAGACAAAGTTCAAACTGAATGTACACGTCTAAATAAGGCTCATAAGTGCTACCAAGGTTCAAACCACTCCTTTTCTTTTAAGTAGATAAAGACTGTTAACTCCTCCGTTTGTCTCAAACACAGTTAGCTCTGGCTAAATATTTCCTAGTTCCTGCCCCTTTTATAGATCTGCCAGTAACAGGATTGGTGATTGATTATGCAACATGCAAGCCAAATGGCTGCAAATCAAAGTGCAAAGAAAATACATTTTGGCTTATGGTGTCACGCTTTTAATAGCTGTGAGGGAAGTTAAACTGTTTAGTCATTCCCTGTTGTTGAGTAGTGGAATATGGCGCAGCAAGGAAATCAGACATACGACATAAAATTCTGCTGTTCGATCTGTCTGGATCTACTGAAGGATCCGGTGACTATTCCCTGTGGACACAACTACTGTATGAACTGTATTAAAACTTCCTGGGATGAAGAAGATCAGAAGAAAATCCACAGGTGCCCTCAGTGTCGAAAGACTTTCATCCCGAGGCCTGTGCTGGTGAAAAACACCATGTTGGCAGAGTTAGTGGAGGAAGTGAAGAAGATTGGACTTCAAGCTGCTCCTGCTGATCACTGCTATGCCGGACCAGGAGATGTAGCCTGTGATGTCTGCAGTGGGAGGAAGCTGAAAGCCTTCAAGTCCTGTCTGGTTTGTCTGGGGTTCTTACTGTGAGCAACACCTCCAGCCTCACTATGAATCTCCTACTTTTAAAAAACACAAACTTGTCGAAGCCTCTTTTAAACTTCAGGACACCATCTGCTCCCGTCATGATGAGGTGATGAAGATCTTCTGCCGCACTGATCAGCAGTGTATCTGTATCGTCTGCTCCATGGATGAACATAAAGGCCACGACACAGTCTCAGCTGCAACAGCAAGGACTGAGAAGCAGAAGGAGCTCAGTCAAAGTCGGCAAAACATCCAGCAGAGAATCCAGGTCAGAGAGAAAGATCTGAAGGAGCTTCAGAAAGAGGTAAAGACCATCAATCACTCCGCTGATAAAGCAGTGGAGCACAGTGAGAAGGTTTTTACTGAGTTGATCCGTGTCATTGAGAAAAGAAGCTCTGATGTGAAACAGCAGATCAGATCCCAGCAGGAAACTGAGGTGAGTCGGGTAAAGGATCTCCAGGAGAAGCTGAACCAGGAGATTGCGAGCTAAAAAAAGATAGACAACAGCCTTCCGCACAGAGGATAACACCCAGTTTCTTCACAAATACCCCTCACTGTCTCAACTTCTGAGTCTACAGACCACCAAGACCAAATGTCAGTTGTCTGCAGTGCTTTGAGGATGTAAAAGCGACCGTGGCAAAAGCCAGAGATAGAATACAAGCCATTCTTTGTGATGAATGGATGAAGACGACAGAGATGGACATGGATGTTTTACTCTCACAACCGGAGCCCACAACCAGAGCTGAGTTCTTACAATATTCGTGTCAAATCACACTGGATCCAAACACACCAAACACATTTCTGGTTTTATCAGAGGGGAACAGAAAGATAACATATAATACACAAACTAAACCATATTCTGCACATCCAGACAGATTTATTTACATACCTCAGGTCTTGAGTAAAGATGGACTGACTGGTCGTTGTTATTGGGAGGTGGAGACGAGCAGAAATGCTGGAGTAGCAGTCGCTTACAAGGGTATTCACAGATCAGGGGACTATGATGCACATGTATTTGGATACAATGAGAATTCTTGGATATTACATTATGGCGATGGTTACGTCTTCAGACATGACAAACACCAAATTTCCATCTTGGGTCCTAAATCCTCCAGAATAGGAGTGTATCTGGATCACAGTGCAGGTATTCTGTCCTTCTACAGCGTCTCAGAAACTATGACTCTCCTCCACAGAGTCCAGACCACATTCACTCAGCCGCTCTATGCTGGACTTTTTCTAGGTGGTCTTAATGGAGACACTGTTGAGTTGTGTTAACTCAAGTAGATATTAAATAGGCAAAGATAGGGCCGTATCAAACCAAGTCTACAATACTATATCAAAAATGGATTGTAATTTCTGTAGGACATGAATGCAGATGTAGTTCACTAGTGGCTGTAGTTTAGCTTTACAGGTTAGAATTTGAGTGATTTGACCCAGGGTGGCTGTGGTTATTGGGCTTTTTGTTTTATCAAATGCAGAATGTGTATGTGTTATCCTTTCACACCATGCCTCATATTACACAGGAACTGATTTTTGTCTTTATTGATTGCAGTAGATAAACTAGGATTTTGAATCAAACTGGGCTGGTTATCCTAAAACAAATGTCTCAGTTTGAAGTTTATTTATGCCAAGTTCAGTCAGCTAAAACATTAAAAAGCTTGAGCATGTGTGCTGAATAATTTTACAATACCGTCTCAGTACAAAGATTGTCACATATTTTCATTTTGATGACAATCCAGTTCGTCAAATGTCTAGACGAAGCCCTTAAACCTGTTGGCAATATAAAGAAAAAAGCCTTTTGACATTAGCTTTATAAAAACGTGTGATTTCTTTACAGATTATTAGTTCAAAGTTTCTCAATGCTGTTCCTTGAAAATTAAGCAAAGATGTACTTTGAGTATTTTAAAATGAAAATGAAAATGCAGCTGTTTCACGTCTGAGTTACGTTGAGATGCTTTTAGGAAAACTAGTCCTAGGTTAAATTGTAAGGAGAAGTAAGAACAACAATGTCTTGAGTACATGTTTTAGACATGTTTTAATGCTAATAATGATCTGTAATGTGATGTGTGTTGATATTAAACGTGTATATTTGTTGCAATCAGGGTGCAGGTATTTGGAAATAAACAAAAACCCTGATTTGTATAGAGAAAAGATGAGAACTGTGAAAATAAAATGAATGCAGTTGCATCATGTAAACCTGCTGTGTCCGAGTTACTGTTTTCTTCCTACCATGATGATCAAATCTAACTGCATGAGTAAGTTTATAAAGTGATTTGTTTATTTTGACTATATATTGAAAACGTTCCAACCTTACATCAACTTTAACTTTACTTCACTTTTAGTATGTTCACTTTGGATATTTGAGTACATTCTACTACAAACAGGCATTTACTTTGACTGAAGTTAAGTTTTAAATGCAGCATTTTTTACTTGTAATTGAATATTTGTTCCAGTAGTATTTGTGCTTTCACCGCAGCAAGTAAAAGATCTGACTACTGCTTGCACAGCTGGTGACAAATGGAAAAAGATAGGAGGTATAAACTTAAAATCTCCAGTGTGAATGGATACAGGATGGCTAAACAAACTGCAAACAAAATGAGTGCTGTAAATGTAGAAACAGCTCAATTTCCTTGAATGAAGCAAAGCATGACAGGACAGGGCACTATAAAATGAACAGATCAAAATCTCCCTGACTGTCTGCAGTGGATGTTTTACTGCCAAAATTAAAGTCTAAGACCGGACATAGTGACTTCTTTAATATTTTGTTTCAAATTTTACTGGACCAAACCCAAAAAGCACAAAGCTATGATTATGAAGTATCAAAAAATGCAGCGCAATCTCAGCTATGTATGAATATAATTTCACATATTCATAGGCTTGTCTAAGGTCATGATAAAAGGTCAATATATCAACGTAAAACCACCACTGTAAACCTGTACAGAACAGCTGTTCAAACCAACTATAAAACAAGTAAAAGAAGACTATGAATACAGCTAAATCTCAAACTGCTCCATTTCCTTGTGTTAAATGCAGACTGATAACCCCTCCCTTTTCTCAAACACAGAGTTGAACTCTGACTTTATATTTCCTGATTCCCGCCCCTTTCATAGATCTGCTAGTGTAGAAATGGGTGTAACCAACATGCTGGGAAGGGCGAGAGGCACAAACCACTTTAATGCAGATCAGCATTCCTGTGTGACACTTGTAATAGCTGTGAGGAAAGTGAAACTGTTGAGTCATTCCCTGTTGTTGAGAGGTGAAATGGCGCAGCAAGGAAATCAGACACACGAGGTAAAATTCTGCTGTTCGATCTGTTTGGATCTACTGAAGGATCCAGTGACTATTCCCTGTGGACACAACTACTGCATCAACTGTATTAAAACCCACTGGGATGAAGAAGATCAGAAGAAAATCCACAGCTGCCCTCAGTGTCGAAAGACTTTCATCCCGAGGCCTGTGCTGGTGAAAAACAACATGTTGGCAGAGTTAGTGGAGGAAGTGAAGAAGATTGGACTTCAAGCTGCTCCTGCTGATCACTGCTATGCCGGACCAGGAGATGTAGCCTGTGATGTCTGCACTGGGAGGAAGCTGAAAGCCTTCAAGTCCTGTCTGGTTTGTCTGGCTTCTTACTGTGAGCAACACCTCCAGCCTCACTATGAATCTCCCACTTTTAAAAAACACAAACTTGTCGAAGCCTCTTTTAAACTTCAGGACACCATCTGCTCCCGTCATGATGAGGTGATGAAGATCTTCTGCCGCACTGATCTGCAGTGTATCTGTATTGTCTGCTCCATGGATGAACATAAAGGCCATGACACAGTCTCAGCTGCAACAGCAAGGACTGAGAAGCAGAAGGAGCTCAGTCAAAGTCGGCAAAACATCCAGCAGAGAATCCAGGTCAGAGAGAAAGATCTGAAGGAGCTTCAACAAGAAGTGGAGACTATCAACCACTCCGCTGATAAAGCAGTGGAGCACAGTGAGAAGGTTTTTACTGAGTTGATCCGTGTCATTGAGAAAAGAAGCTCTGATGTGAAGCAGCAGATCAGATCCCAGCAGGAAACTGAGGTGAGTCGGGTAAAGGAGCTCCAGGAGAAGCTGAACCAGGAGATCGCTGAGCTGAAGAGAAAAGACGTAGAGCTGGAACAGCTCTTCCGCACAGAGGATAACACCCAGTTTCTTCACAAATACCCCTCACTGTCACAACTTTCTGAGTCTACAGACTCACCAAGACCAAATATCAGTTGTCTGCAGTGCTTTGAGGATGTAACAGTGGCTGTGGCAAAAGCCAGAGATAGAATACAAGCCATTCTTTGTGATGAATGGATGAAGACGACAGAGATGGACATGGATGTTTTACTCTCACAACCGGAGCCCACAACCAGAGCTGAGTTCTTACAATATTCGTGTCAAATCACACTGGATCCAAACACACCAAACACATTTCTGGTTTTATCAGAGGGGAACAGAAAGATAACATATAATAACAAAAATACACCATATTCTCCACATCCAGACAGATTTATTCACATAACTCAGGTCTTGAGTAAAGATGGACTGACTGGTCGTTGTTATTGGGAGGTGGAGATGAGCAGAAATGCTGGAGTAGCAGTTGCTTACAAGGGTATTCACAGATCAGGGGACTATAATGCACATGTATTTGGATACAATGAGAATTCTTGGGGATTAAATTGTGGCAATGGTTACAACTTCATACATGACAATCACTCAGCTTCCATCTCGGGTCCTAAATCCTCCAGAATAGGAGTGTATCTGGATCACAGCGCAGGTATTCTGTCCTTCTACAGCGTCACAGAAACTATGACTCTCCTCCACAGAGTCCAGACCACATTCACTCAGCCGCTCTATGCTGGACTTTATTTCAGTGGTCTTAATGGAGACACTGTGGAGTTGTGTAAACTCAAGTAGGTTTTAAAGAGGCAAGGAAAGGTTCATTCACAAGTGGGTGTGGTTTAGCTTTACAGGCTCAAGTAGTTTGACCCAGGGAGAATGTATAGGGCCTTTTGTTTTTATGTATGTGTGAACATGATCATCATGGACTTTGGGTTTGGATAAATGGTGAGGGAGACAGTGCTGAGTTGTGTGAGCTCAAGTAGACAGATTTATTAAAGAGGTGATTAATAAAGCTGATAATCAATAATTGAGAGACTGTTAACCTTTTTAATCATTTGGTGCAGTCTGTATTTCTTTTGATTGTATTTCTGTGTTGTTGCAACTATGATAATGAACATTTTCTCTGGTTTTGGATAAGTTTAGTGCAATTTAAGTGAGATCAATGCAGCAGTGCAGATCTTTTAGTATTTTTCAAACTATGATGAATTCGTAAAACGAAATAAATTTGTGACTTTGATTTGAGTGTTACAAGTGTCATTCTTCTAATCATCCATTTATTTTCATATGAATGAAGATGTAGAAACGCTGAATTATTAATGCACCAATCTTAACAAACAAAGTTAATTTACTTAATGTAACAAGTCTAAACATATGTCCAGAACTACAAAATACTTAAAATACATAAAGACTATGAAATACCACCTTCAATCTTTAATGAATGTTATTTTTAGATGTTTGTTTTGATTAAATGTTGTCACCTCAACATCAAACTGTGATAAAAATAAGATATCTGGAGGGTTTTTTCCAATTCGGTAAGAACGAATACAAAAAGAAAGAAGAAAAATAATCAAATTAAAATATTACTGAAATGTCTCAAAGTTTTATTTGTATTAAAAAGTTGGAATGTTTGGTTACACATAATATTTCTTACAAAGCAGTTCATGAATCTCTTTCAATGTGTGTCTTCCTCCCTCACACAAACACACACACACACACACACACACACACACACACACACACACACACACACACACACACACACACACAAATGAGTGTTACAGTCATTACATTTGTACACAGTCTAATAGGTTAAAGATGCCACATGTACCATTTTCTCTTTGATGAGTTGCCACCAAATTAGTTGTGATGACGCCTGAAAACTTTTGTGTCAAACTAAAAATAAAAACTTCAACCTGTTTGTCTGTAATTTAGAATATTCAGAAATAAAGACGCTAAAAAACATAAAAATACTATTTAGTCCACTGTGATTTCCCTAAAATCTGCGTTTTCTGTGCTCAAACTGTTTATTAACAAATACGTAGTGTGAACATACTTCTTATATAATCAGTTATTTGTCTGACAGCAGATAGTCTTGATGGCCTTTTGCATTTTAACACGACATCTAATTACATTTTAAGGACTTTGGACGGTCACACAGTGGATCTTTTGCACCTGTTCCACTCTTTGACGTCACACTATTGTTATCTTGGAGATTCAAATTATGTCACAATCTAATGTAAAAAGTAGCAGACAAGCATAATCCATTAACCAAGCACTGTCTACTATCATCTAGCTGGGTTGTATTTAATTGTAATTGTTGTAATTAATAGCAAAAGTTTAAAATTTGCCCTCACAGAATTACGTGGAAGAGATACTGATAACTCTAGGTACCTCACTTAGTTTTAATCAGAGCAGATTTAACGTGAGACAAAAGGAACAGAAAGTGACAGGAGTGAGAGGTTTTCATGTATCCTAAAAGCCACAGGTTTGATCCCCGTAACAGTGAGCAAAAGGCTGGACCTCCAGTTGCCGTATAAACAACAAAAAAATGTAAATTTAATAAGAAATTCATCATCACTGCTAATTTGCCGACATCCCATTTAGAGAAAATAAAAGCAGAAATACTTATGAATGATGAATACGACTCATATTCTGTCTGGAAACCAGAGATTCTGTTTTTGAGAAACATATTGAGTGAGTGAGTATTAAAGAGGCAAGGATATGTTCATATCAAACCAAGTCTACAATACTATATCAAAAATGTATAGTAATTTCTGTAGGACATGAATGCAGATGTAGTTCACTAGTGGGTGTAGTTTAGCTTTACAGGTTCAAATTTGAGTGATTTGACTCAGGGTGGTTGTGGTTATTGGGCTTTTTTGTGTTTTTATCAAATTCAGAATGTGTATATGTGTTATCCTTTCACACCATGCCTCATATTACACAGGAACTGACTTTTGTCTTTATTGATTGATTGACTGATTTCTTTACAGCTTATTGGTTCAAAGTTTCTTAAAGCTGCTCCTTGAAAATTAAGCAAAGATGTACTTTGAGTATTTTAATGATAATGATCTGTAATGTAATGTGTGTTGATATTAAACGTGTATATTTGTTGCAATCAGGGTGCAGGTATGTGGCAATAAACGAAAACCCTGATTTGTATAGAGAAAAGATGAGAACTGTGAAAATAAAATGAATGCAGTTGCATCATGTAAACCTGCTGTGTCTGAGTTACTGCTGTCTTCCTGCCATGATGATCAAATCTAACTGCATGAGTAAGTTTATAGTGATTTGTTTATTATTGGGACTATATATTGGAAAAAAGTTCCCCCCAACAATGAACCTTACCTTCACTTCACTTTTAGTATGTTCACTTTGGATATTTGAGTACATTCTACTACAAACAGGCATTTACTTTGACTGAAGTTAAGTTTTCAATGCAGCATTTTTTACTTGTAATTGAATATTTGTTCAAGTAGTATTTGTGCTTTCCCTGCAGCAAGTAAAAGATCTGACTACTGGAAATGGAAAAAGATAGGAGGGATAAACTTAAAATCTCCAGTGTGAATGGATACAGGATGGCTAAACACACTGCAAACAAAATGAGTGCTGTAAATGTAGTAAAAGCTCAATTTCCTTGAATGAAGCAAAGCATGACAGGACAGGGCAGTGTAGAGATGGGTGTTACCAACATGCTGTGAAGCGCAACAGGCACAAACCACTTTAATGCAGATCAGCATTCCTGTGTGACGCTTGTAATAGCTGTGAGTAAAGTGAAACTGTTGAGACATTCCTAGTTGTTGAGAGGTGAAATGGCGCAGCAAGGAAATCAGACACACGAGGTAAAATTCTGCTGTTCGATCTGTCTGGATCTACTGAAGGATCCGGTGACTATTCCCTGTGGACACAACTACTGCATGAACTGTATTAAAACCCACTGGGATGAAGAAGATCAGAAGAAAATCCACAGCTGCCCTCAGTGTCGAAAGACTTTCACCCCGAGGCCTGTGCTGGTGAAAAACACCATGTTGGCAGAGTTAGTGGAGGAAGTGAAAAATATTGGACTTCAAGCTGCTCCTGCTGATCACTGCTATGCCGGACCAGGAGATGTAGCCTGTGATGTCTGCAGTGGGAGAAAGCTGAAAGCCTTTAAGTCCTGTCTGGTTTGTCTGGCTTCTTACTGTGAGCAACACCTCCAGCCTCACTATGAATCTCCTACTTTTAAAAAACACAAACTTGTCGAAGCCTCTTTTAAACTTCAGGACACCATCTGCTCCCGTCATGATGAGGTGATGAAGATCTTCTGCCGCACTGATCAGCAGTGTATCTGTATCGTCTGCTCCATGGATGAACATAAAGGCCACGACACAGTCTCAGCTGCAACAGCAAGGACTGAGAAGCAGAAGGAGCTCAGTCAAAGTCGGCAAAACATCCAGCAGAGACTCCAGGTCCGAGAGAAAGACGTGAAGGATCTTCAGAAAGAGGTAAAGACCATCAATCACTCCGCCAATAAAGCAGTGGAGCACAGTGAGAAGGTTTTTACTGAGTTGATCTGTGTCATTGAGAAAAGAAGCTCTGATGTGAAGCAGCAGATCAGATCCCAGCAGGAAACTGAGGTGAGTCGGGTAAAGGAGCTCCAGGAGAAGCTGAACCAGGAGATCGCTGAGCTGAAGAGAAAAGACGTAGAGCTGGAACAGCTCTTCCGCACAGAGGATAACACCCAGTTTCTTCACAAATACCCCTCACTGTCACAACTTCTTGAGTCTACAGACTCACCAAGACCAAAAATCAGTTGTCTGCAGTGCTTTGAGGATGTAACAGCGGCTGTGGCAAAAGCCAGAGATAGAATACAAGCCATTCTTTGTGATGAATGGATGAAGACGACAGAGATGGACATGGATGTTTTACTCTCACAACCGGAGCCCACAACCAGAGCAGAGTTCTTACAATATTCGTGTCAAATCACACTGGATCCAAACACAGCAAACAATTGGCTGGTTTTATCAGAGGGGAACAGAAAGATAACAGCTAATAACAATAATAAACCATATTCTGCACATCCAGACAGATTTATTTACATACCTCAGGTCTTGAGTAAAGATGGACAGACTGGTCGTTGTTACTGGGAGGTGGAGATGAGCAGTAATGCTGGAGTAGCAGTCGCTTACAAGAGTATTCACAGATCAGGGGACATAAATTCCTTTGTATTTGGACAAAATGAGAATTCTTGGATGTTACATTGTGGCAGTGGTTACGTCTTCATACATGACAAACACTCAGCTTCCATCTCGGGTCCTAAATCCTCCAGAATAGGAGTGTATCTGGATCACAGTGCAGGTATTCTGTCCTTCTACAGCGTCTCAGAAACTATGACTCTCCTCCACAGAGTCCAGACCACATTCACTCAGCCGCTCTATGCTGGACTGTTTCATGGCGGTCGTAACGGACACACTGTTAAGTTGTGTAAACTCAAGTAGGTATTAAAGAGGCAAGGATAAGTTCATATCAAACCAAGTCTACAATACTGTATCAAAAATGTATAGTAATTTCTGTAGGACATGAATGCAGATGTAGTTCACTAGTGGGTGTAGTTTAGCTTTACAGGTTCAATTTTAAGTGATTTGACCCAGGGAGACTGTATAGGGCCTGTTGTTTTTTATGTGTGTGAATATGATCATCATGGACTTTGGCTTAAGTAAACAGATTTATTAAAGAGGTGATTAATAAAGCTGATAATCAATAATTGAGAGACTGTTAACCTTTTTAATCATTTGGTGCAGTCTGTATTTCTGTTGATTGTATTTCTGTGTGGTTACAACTATGATAATGAACATTTTCTCTGTTTTTGGATAAGTTTAATGCAATTTAAGTGAGATCACTGCAGCAGTGCAGATCTTTTAGTATTTTTCATACTATGATGAATTTGTAAAATGGAATAAATTTGTGACTTTGATTTGAGTGTTACAAGTGTCATTCTTCTAATCATCCATTCATTATCATATGAATGAAGATGTAGAAACGCTGAATTATTAATGCACCAATCTTAACAAACAAAGTTAATTACCTTAATGTAACAAGTCTAAACATATGTCCATAACTACAAAATACTTAAAATACATAAAGACTATGAAATACCACCTTCAATCTTTTATGAATGTTATTTTTAGATGTTTGTTTTGATTAAACGTTGTCACCTCAACATCAAACTGTGATAAAAATAAGATATCTGGAGGGTTTTTTCGAATTCGGTAAGAATGAATACAAAAACAAAGAAGAAAAATAATCGAATCAAAATATTACTGAAATGTCTCAAAGTTTTATTTGTATTAAAAAGTTGGAATGTTTGGTTACACATAATATTTCTTACAAAGCAGTTCATGAATCTCTTTCAATGTGTGTCTTCCTCCCACACACACACACACACACACACACACACACACACACACACACACACACACACTAGTGTTACTCATTACATTTGTACACAGTCTAAAATTAAAGTTGCCACATGTACCATTTTCTCTTTTACGAGTTGCCACCAAATTAGTTGTGATGACGCCTGAAAACTTTTGTGTCAAACTAAAAATAAAAACTTCAACCTGTTTCTCTGTAATTTAGAATATTCAGAAATAAAGATGCTAAAAAACATAAAAATACTATTTAGTCCACTGTGATTTCCCTAAAATCTGCATTTTTCTTTGCTCCAATTGTTTATTAACAAATACGTAGTGTCAACATACTTCTTATATAATCAGTTATTTGTCTGACAGCAGATAGTCTTGTTGGCCTTTTACATTTTAACACGACATCTAATTACATTTTAAGGACTTCAGACAGTCACACAGTGGATCTTTTGCACCTGTTCCACTCTTTGACGTCACACTATTGTTATCTTGGAGATTCACATTATGTCACAATCTAATGTAAAAAGTAGCAGACAAGCAATATCCATTGACCAAGCACTGTCTACTATCATCTAGCTGGGTTGTATTTAATTGTAATTGTTGTAATTAATAGCAAAAGTTTAAAATTTGCCCTCACAGAATTACGTGGAAGAGATACTGATAACTCAAAGTACCTCACTTAGTTTTAATCTGAGCAGATTTAACGTGAGACGAAAGGAACAGGAAGTGACAGGAGTGAGAGGTTTTCATGTATCCTAAAAGCCACAGGTTTGATTCCTGTAACAGTGAGCAAAAGGCTGGACCTCCAGTTGCCGTATAAACAACAAAAAAATGTAAATTTAATAAGAAATTCATCATCACTGCTAATTTGCCGACATCCCATTTAGAGAAAATAAAAGCAGAAATACTTATGAATGATGAATACGACTCATATTCTGTCTGGAAACCAGAGATTCTGTTTTTGAGAAACATATTGAGTGAGTGAGTATTAAAGAGGCAAGGATAGGTTCGTATCAAACCAAGTCAACCATACTATATCAAAAATGTATTGTAATTTCTGTAGGACATGAATGCAGATGTAGTTCACTAGTGGGTGTAGTTTAGCTTTACAGGTTCAAATTTGAGTGATTTGACTCAGGGTGGCTGTGGTTATTGGGCTTTTTGTGTTTTTATCAAATGCAGAATGTGTATGTGTGTTATCCTTTCACACCATGCCTCATATTACACAGGAACTGACTTTTGTCTTTATTGATTGATTGACTGATTTCTTTACAGCTTATTAGTTCAAAGTTTCTTAAAGCTTCTCCTTGAAAATTAAGCAAAGATGTACTTTCAGTATTTTAATGATAATGATCTGTGATATTAAACGTGTATATTTGTTGCAATCAGGGTGCAGGTATGTGGCAATAACCCAAAACACTGATTTGTATAGAGAAAAGATGAGAACTGTGAAAATAAAATGAATGCAGTTGCAGCATGTAAACCTGCTGTGTCCGAGTTACTGTTGTCTTCCTGCCATGATGATCAAATCTAACTGCATGAGTAAGTTTATAGTGATTTGTTTATTATTGGGACTATATATTGGAAAAAAGTTCCCCCCCAACAATGAACCTTACCTTCACTTCACTTTTAGTTTGTTCACTTTGGATATTTGAGTACATTCTACTACAAACAGGCATTTACTTTGACTGAAGTTAGGTTTTAAATGCAGCATTTTTTACTTGTAATTGAATATTTGTTCCAGTAGTATTTGTTTGTTCACCGCAGCAAGTAAAAGATCTGACTACTGTTTGCACAGCTTGTGGCAAATGGAAAAAGATAGGAGGAATAAACTTAAAATCTCCAGTGTGAATGGATACAGGATGGCTAAACACACTGCAAACAAAATGAGTGCTGTAAATGTAGAAACAGCTCAATTTCCTTGAATGAAGCAAAGCATGACAGGACAGGGCACTATAAAATGAACAGATCAAGATCTCCCTGACTGACTGCAGTGGATGTTTTACTGCCATAATTAAAGTCTAAGACCGAAAATAGTGAGTTCTTTAATGTTTTGTTTCAAATTTTACTGGACCAAACCCAAAAAGCACAATGCTATGATTATGAAGTATCAAAAAATGCAGCACAATCTCAGCTATGTATGAATATAATTTCACATATTCATAGGCTTGTCTAAGGTCATGATAAGAGGTCAATATATCAACTTAAAACCACCACTGTAAACCTTTACAGAACAGCTGTTCAAACCAACTATAAAACAAGTAAAGGAAGACTATGAATACAGCTAAATCTCAAACTGCTCAATTTCCTTGTGTTAAATGCAGACTGATAACCCCTCCCTTTTCTCAAACACAGAGCTGAACTCTGACTTTTTATTTCCTGATTCCCGCCCCTTTCATAGATCTGCTAGTGTAGAGATGGGTGTAACCAATATGCTGTGACGTGCGAGAGGCACAAACCACTTTAATGCAGATCAGCATTCCTGTGTGAGGCTTGTAACAGCTGTGAGGAAAGTGAAACTGTTGAGACGTTCCGCATTGTTGAGAGGTGAAATGGCGCAGCAAGGAAATCAGACATACGAGGTAAAATTCTGCTGTTCGATCTGTCTGGATCTACTGAAGGATCCGGTGACTATTCCCTGTGGACACAACTACTGCATGAACTGTATTAAAACCCACTGGGATGAAGAAGATCAGAAGAAAATCCACAGCTGCCCTCAGTGCAGGCAGACTTTCATCCCGAGGCCTGTGCTGGTGAAAAACACCATGTTGGCAGAGTTAGTGGAGGAGGCGAAGAAGATTGGACTTCAAGCTGCTCCTGCTGATCACTGCTATGCCGGACCAGGAGATGTAGCCTGTGATGTCTGCACTGGGAGGAAGCTGAAAGCCTTTAAGTCCTGTCTGGTTTGTCTGGCTTCTTACTGTGAGCAACACCTCCAGCCTCACTATGAATCTCCTACTTTTAAAAAACACAAACTTGTCGAAGCCTCTTTTAAACTTCAGGACACCATCTGCTCCCGTCATGATGAGGTGATGAAGATCTTCTGCCGCACTGATCAGCAGTGTATCTGTATCGTCTGCTCCATGGATGAACATAAAGGCCACGACACAGTCTCAGCTGCAACAGCAAGGACTGAGAAGCAGAAGGAGCTCAGTCAAAGTCGGCAAAACATCCAGCAGAGAATCCAGGTCAGAGAGAAAGACGTGAAGGAGCTTCAGAAAGAGGTAAAGACCATCAATCACTCCGCTGATAAAGCAGTCGCGCACAGTAAGAAGGTTTTTACTGAGTTGATCTGTGTCATTGAGAAAAGAAGCTCTGATGTGAAGCAGCAGATCAGATCCCAGCAGGAAACTGAGGTGAGTCGGGTAAAGGAGCTCCAGGAGAAGCTGAACCAGGAGATCGCTGAGCTGAAGAGAAAAGACGTAGAGCTGGAACAGCTCTTCCACACAGAGGATAACACCCAGTTTCTTCACAAATACCCTTCACTGTCACAACTTCTTGAGTCTACAGACTCACCAAGACCAACAATCAGTTGTCTGCAGTGCTTTGAGGATGTAACAGCGGCTGTGGCAAAAGCCAGAGATAGAATACAAGCCATTCTTTGTGATGAATGGATGAAGACGACAGAGATGGACATGGATGTTTTACTCTCACAACCGGAGCCCACGACCAGAGCAGAGTTCTTACAATATTCTTGTCAAATCACACTGGATCCAAACACAGCAAGGAAGTTTCTGGTTTTATCAGAGGGGAACAGAAAGATAACATATAATGACAAAAATACACCATATTCTCCACATCCAGACAGATTTATTGGCGTATCTCAGGTCTTGAGTAAAGATGGACTGACTGGTCGTTGTTACTGGGAGGTGGAGATGAGTAAATATGCTGGTGTAGCAGTTGCTTACAAGAGTATTCGCAGATCAGGGGACTTGAACTCATATGTATTTGGATACAATGAGAATTCTTGGATATTACATCGTCGCACTGGTTACCTCTTCAGACATGACAACCACTCAGCTTCCATCTCGGGTCCTAAATACTCCAGAATAGGAGTGTATCTGGATCACAGTGCAGGTATTCTGTCCTTCTACAGCGTCTCAGAAACTATGACTCTCCTCCACAGAGTCCAGACCACATTCACTCAGCCGCTCTATGCTGGACTTTATCTCAGTGGTCCTAATGGAGACACTGTTGAGTTGTGTAAACTCAAGTAGATATTAAAGAGGCAAGGAAAGGTTCGTATCAAACCAAGTCTACAATACTGTATCAAAAATGTATTGTAATTTCTCTAGGACATGAATGCAGATGTAGTTCACTAGTGGGTGTAGTTTAGCTTTACAGGTTCAATTTTAAGTGATTTGACCCAGGGTGGCTGTATTCATACTTTGCACGTGACGTCACAACTACTGGCTGGCGGGCAAGAACATCGTTTTCCAGCAACGAAACCCAGTAAACTAATCAAGGATCTTGCCAGGACGTCGCCAGTTTTACTATACAAAAGTTGGTGTTTTAAGGTGAAAGCGACATGCCAGATAGTTGTTTTAACAGGTGTTGTGCCAATGTAGGTAATCCAAATAAGTGTTTCCCCTGGCATTCATTCAGCGAAGGCGGAGAAACAGTGCTGTGCTTGCTTTCATCCAAGTAAATTAAAACTAACAACAATTGCATTGTTTAATTCAATGTTCTGGTGTTGTAATTATCTACAAGGTTTTTTTAAATGCTTTTATTCTTTTGTACGTCGTAACGTCGTACTACGTACTGAACGGAAAAACCAAGGCAATGATTACCTCATGTGATTTGACATATAACACGCTGTAATTCAAGTCCTGGTATGGAATTTGTCGAACTAAATAAACGTCCATATCCAAAATCAAGATCACTGTGATTGTTTTCTGGCTTCAATTACGTCTCTTAAATCTACTTCACTCGAAATGTACTATAATAGACAGATGAAGTCGGCGTTTCTTGCCCGCCAGGTATCCATGGTAACCACGTGACTGCAAAGTATGAATAGGGCCTTTTGTTTTTTTATGTGTGTGTGAATATGATCACCATGGACTTTGGGTTTGGATAAATGGTGAGGGAGACAGTGCTGAGTTGTGTGAGCTCAAGTAGACAGATTTATTAAAGAGGTGATTAATAAAGTTGATAATCAATAACTGAGAGACTGTTAACCTTTTTAATCATTTGATGCAGTCTGTATTTCTGTTGATTGTGTTTCCTTTTGTTACAACTATGATAATGAACATTTTCTCTGTTTTTGTTTAAGTTTAGTGCAATTTAAGTGAGATCACTGCAGCAGTACAGATCTTTTAGAATTTTTCAAACTGATGAATTTGTAAAATGGAATAAATTTGTGACTTTGATTTGAGTGTTACAAGTGTCATTCTTCTAATCATCCATTCATTATCATATGAATTAAGATGTAGAAAGGCTGAATTATTAATGTACAAATCTTAACAAACTAAGTTAATTTACTTAATGTAACAAGTCTAAACATATGTCCATAACTACAAAATACTTAAAATACATAAAGACTATGAAATACCACCTTCAATCTTTAATGAATGTTATTTATAGATGTTTGTTTTGATTAAACGTTGTCACCTCAACATCAGACTGTGATAAAAATAAGATATCTGGAGGGTTTTTACCAATTCGGTAAGAATGAATACAAAAAGAAAGAAGAAAAATAATCAAATTAAAATATTACTGAAATGTCTCAAAGTTTTATTTGTATTAAAAAGTTGGAATGTTTGGTTACATATATTTCTTACAAAGCAGTTCATGAATCTCTTTTCATGTGCGTCTTTCTCCCTCTCACACACACACACACACAAATTAGTGTTACAGTCATTACATTTGTACACAGTCTAATAGGTTAAAGATGCCACATGTACCATTTTCTCTTTGACGAAATGCCACCAAATTAGTCGTGATGATGCCTGAAAACTTCTGTGTCAAACTAAAAATAAAAACTTCAACCTGTTTGTCTGTAATTTAGAATATTCATGGGAATTGCGTGGAAGAGATACTGATAACTCTAAGTACCTCACTTAGTTTTAATCTGAGCAGATTTAACGTGAGACGAAAAGGAACAGGAAGTGACAGGAGTGAGAGGTTTTCATGTATCCTAAAAGCCACAGGTTTGATCCCTGTAACAGTGAGCAAAAGGCTGGACCTCCAGTTGCTGCATAAACAACAAAAAAAAAAATTTAATAAGAAATTCATCATCACTGCTAATTTGCTGACATCACATTTAGAGAAAATAAAAGCAGAAATACTTATGAATGATGAATACGACTCATATTCTGTCTGGAAACGAGATATTCTGTTTTTGAGAAACATATTGAGTGAAAGATGGAAGTACAGTACATTTTTAAAAACTACAGCTAGAGCTTTACATCTCAAACAGCTGCATCATGATGATGACAAAAAGTTCAGTACGATAATCTTGTAACAAACACACTTCCTATTGTTGATACAGTACAGCACCACTGCCTCAGGACGCCGTTTAACTGCCGGATATCCAACACATGAACTAATGTGGGGGTAAAATAGCTTTTAACTTCCTTTATTTCACAACTTCTAGCCTTCACCAGCAAACCGCCCTCACAGTTCTCTCTGTCTGAGTTGTGTGTTACATGATATTTTAACTACTATAAAGTATAATGATATTTTTAAGTACCAAATGTGATTGTTAAAGCTTATTTTTGATATAAAAACATCTTCAGTTTCAAAATAGGTTCATAAACCACGGCCGAAAGTTTGTAGTGTATGACGGAGCTCCATGACTGGTTATTATTTGTGTCTTTTTGTTTGTTTTTATTGAGCTGTTGGCTCTTTGTGTCAAGTTTTAGTTGCATGTTTAAATCTGTTAAATATAAATGATGTATACATCACTGACAACTCTTTTCCAAAATGCATCAAACTTTAAATACGTGGTCGCACAACTTTTCTCCAGTTCTTTGTGCTTTAAATCAGCAAACCTTTTCATGGCAAGTCAAAGACGTTGAGCTCACGCTGGTCCGCACGTCGCTGTGTGTTAGAAATGACTGAAAAATTGTCAGCAGTGATGTATAATCAAGTGTTCTTTATGTGAAAGGATCCAGTTTAAACCTCAAAGTTTAGGGAATGTGAAACAAAAAACATTTGAAAAAATCTTCTGTGCAACAAAACAAGACTTTTATAAATAGCTCCAGGTACCTTCTAACAGTTCATTTGAACTAAACTGACGATGTCCTGCTATTTCCCGTCTCAAAAGTGGCCCTCAGATCACTGAGCAACCAACATCCTGCCTACAGCTCACACTCACCTTCCCGTCTGTCTCTCTACTGTTACTATTAAAATCCCAAAAGCCCAGCAGCAGATCAGCTTAGAGCTCCACATTATTCAGTTTTTATTCAGCCTTCTAATCTCCTCGGGCTCAGGATGAGAGTACTGTTCTTCATGGTACACTGCGTTAAAGATAAATGTACGTTTAGTTGAAATGAATTAGTCCTCCTCTCTAAACCTGCTGAGTTGAGGCTTTCCAGTTCGAATACTGCAAGTTGGCCTGAAAATGTATTCACTGAAGCATAATAAAACAGTCTACGTTAAACATCTGTAGTCAGGCACAAAGAGGAGAAAGTGGAAGTTTAAAAAGCGGCTCTTTGAAGCGGATGTTGAGCCATGTCATCCAGGATAGATGTGAACCATTAACACTTGTTCAGGGCGACATAAAGTTGAGCTTTGGGAGTTTCAGGGTTAGATTTCTGGTCCACGACTAATGATCCAAACGGTGAAACGGACGAGTTAAATCCAAACCAGGTGGAGAAACGGCTCACGGAGTCTGTGGGAGCACGGAGGAAGGAATCGCAACCCGACAGGACGGTGCTGAGACGGAAATCAACGGCGTGATACCAGTTTAACGGCATCATTAAGGCACCGCAGATCCCTCCCCCTTCGAGGTCTCGGTTGCCAGGGCGACGTGAGGTCAGGGGTTTTCAAGCAAAGAGACGATCCAATAACATCTCAGAGTTCTCCAATTTAGTAACCAATAAAAACTGAGCAGGCTGTTTTTGTTTCATTAAAAACTGCCTGAAAAGTTTTCGGGGAAAAAAAACAAACACTGGATCAGAATTCATGTGCGTGTCCAAAGTGTTCGCAGCCCGCGGGAAAACTCTCCGATGTGTTCACAGGTGGGGAGAGGTCGCCAGTTCAGAACCAACCAACCTGTTCACAGTTATTTTCCAGCTTTTTTTCTCTCCTGTTGGCTGTTTTCAGGATTTTTTCCTCATCAGAGAAGTGAAATGTAGTTTTTAGGCACAAGCCCACGCTTCCCGCTCACAATTCCCAAAATCCACTGCTCATCCACAGGCTCAACCTGCGATATTATGTCACCGACCTGCGGGGGGAGGACAGAGACACAAACAGAGCAGATATTAGTAAAGATTTTGCTGCTTTAGTTTATTTTGGTGAGAAAAAACAGCAGCTTAAGTCAAAGTTTTGTTTGTCACTGATAAACTTACTTACATTTATTGGCCTGAATAATTATTACATTTTAAATAAACATACATCTAATCTGATGTACACACACACACACCTTTAAAGTGAGCTCATCCTCGCTCTCTGCTGTGAAGTCAAACTTGGCCATGGCTCTGGCCGCTGCCTGCTGGCCTGGGATTGGCTGAGCTGGAAACAGGAAGAGAAAGTTCTGTTTAGAGACCTCAGCAGACACAAATATACTGCCTCATCAAAAATGGGTCACATGAGTTTGTTTATCTTATCAGATCCCCAAAAGCTTCTCTCATAGTAGCTGTTAATATTCCACATTGTGTTGTACCCTGGCAGGATTGTGTGAAGGCAGCAGGGAAGAGCCCCTCCCTCCCCTCCAGTCTTCCTCTCCTCCACTCAGCATCAATGTGCTCTATCACGTGGATGAGCGCCCCCTTGTGGAAGGACAGATCCTCTGGAGTCTGACCGGGGAAGTCAAACAGAGCCGTAGCCCACTCCTTTTCCTACACACAGACACACACACACACATACACACAGATTAAGCATGTTGATTACTACGTACAATTAATAGACTATAAATTAACGTACGGAGAACAAAATGTGACATTTACACAATATTTCCTGCAGCAGATAAAAACACAAACACACACACTTACCTCTGAATCTGGTTCCTGTGACGTCTTTGGTGCTGTGGAGGATAAACAATATATCGTTACATTCAAATCTATAGATCACAAAACTAATGAATCTGCTTTAAACTGATCATTTCATTTATCAGATCAGTAGTGTAAAGTATAGGTAGAAAGGACATGAGGAAGAATGGGTGAAAGATTTGTATACTTGCAAGGAAGGAAGGTTTAGGAACTTGTGCCTGTGTATTTACTGAACAACCTTTCTCTGATTAACTTAATTCAACTTTATTTATATAGCACCTTTCATACAAACACGCAGGCCAAAGTTCAACACATACAAATAGGAAATGAATTATAATAAATCCAATTTTGCCAATGAATACAACAGAAAAAAAATTAAAACATCAATAAAACAAAAAAGGTTGATAGAAAAATTAAAACACAAACACCACACAAGACGAATAACGTAAGAACCAATGATTAAAACCTTAAATGTAAGGCCAGATTAAATAGATAGGTCTTTAATTTCCTTTTATAAATACTGAGAGAGATCTCCATTTTAATATTAAGGACACGCGGCTATTCCAAAAGATGTAGTTCAACACGTTTCCTTGAAGAGTTTGATGGTTAAAGCATGTTTTTATCCTGCTGCTACAGAGTGACGTCTGGAGTCGATCGTGTCAGTTAGTGTTTAAAAAGCAGGATTAAGTCAACTGAAGCGTCGGTTACATTATGTACAAACTTGAACGTGTGTTTCTCTCATGTAAATTGTTAATTGTGTTTGTTGCATGAAGGACTACAATGACAATGAGCCATCAGTCAGTCTACGTAAGAAGGATCTTCTGTCTCACCGGTACTTTCCGCCACTGTCTTATCTGTAGACGCCGGTTCTTCAGTCTCCCCCGGCGGCGCCGGCTGTGGCGGGGGCGGCTCCACCACCTCGGCGAAGTTCAGCGGGAATATTCCGATTCGCCCGTGGATCTGGCCCCGCCCCCACTCTTGCCCGATGAGCTCCAGGAGGGCGATGACGTCACCCTGGGAGAAGGTGAGCTCGTCGTCCTCCTCTCCCTCGTAATCGAACAGGGCGACACACCGAGGACCACTGCAGACAGACAGACAGACACACAGACACACAGACACACACACACACACACACACACAAACCCTCAATAAGTTAGTTAAGTGACGGAAAATATCACATTTTGATAAAGAACTAAATGTTTATTGTGAAGGAAAAATCCCTTCACAGGTTCCAGCTTCTCAGATGTGATGATTTGCTGTTTTTTAGGATTTTAAACTCAATATTTTTAGTTCACTTTGGACCCTGGGAACTATTTTCTGACTCTTCATAAGCTAAATGATTCATGGATAGGAAATAAACAAAAACAACAAACACATCTGGTCTTGTAACAACGGGTTTATGTTGAGTGTCTGACCTGACGGGAGGCGGCTCTGGCTGTTCTTTCTGATCAGTAGGCAGCACAGGCAGGATGGACTACAGGACAAAGAAAACAAAACTCAGGTCAACTTTTAATCAGGAGAAACATATTTAAAGTCTTTTCAGCTCGCTATGGATCGAGTGTTTGAGACTAGGGCTGGATACTGTACCTGTGTTTCAATACCAATCAATACCCGATCGACCAGTATGGTTTTCAGAAGCAGATAAAAGTGCTGATCAAGGAAACCAATAACTTAATATTTGGATCACATATATATTTGCAGTACAAATTAAGTAACTAACTAATAACTAATTAGTACTGTATAATTTTGAGGTACTTGAGTATCTGTCTGTGGCATAGCAGCCTTCAGTATTGATTGGCTATTAACTCAGGAGGTGCAACCAATCAGATATTGATCGAGACTACTGACAGATAGGGAGACAGAGAGTAAACACATCCAACAGTGATGATGCAGTGTCGTGTAGTACACCGGTACATCACTACAGCAACGTGAGACGTTAACCCGCTCAGCAAAAACAAGATTATCATGAGATATTATATTATAGAAAATATTTCAAAACGTTTACCTAAATAAATCTGAAATCTCTAAATATAATATAATAATAATAATAATAATACATTTTATTTATAGAGTGCTTTTCTAGGAAATCAAAGACACTTCACATAAGTTAAAAAGGCAAAGAAAAAAAATATAGAGACTATAATATATCTACAACACTCAACAGTGAATTAAACTAAGACTTAAAGAATACAAATCTTTAACAGAACATGTTCATTATAAAGCTAAATATGAGCGCATAAGATGTGTGTAAGGCAGGGTGGGTCTAACAAGATAATGCTATTGTGTTGCATTATGGGAAATGTAGGATCCAGTGGTAGGAGTCACCAGCAGAGTGAGTCAGAACTTATTGAGCTCAGATCAGACTGCTCTGCTCACTAATGATTTATGTAATATAATAATTATTATATGGACAGCTTGAGGTTTTAAAAAGACAGCTGGTCCAATACCTGAGAGTCCGATAGGCTGAGGCCCTCCAAGGCCCGCTTTGATTGACTGTCCTGATCTGGAACCGGCTCTGGTTGGGTGTCCAGGTCCAGGAGACACTGCGATGGGTTGATGACAGCGGTTTGACTCCTCCCCTCACCTGACAGCGGCTCCGAGGGGCTCGGGTCATCCAGGACGATCAGGACTTCCTGTTTCTGAGAGACGACAACAGACATCAACACAAAGCTGTGACAGTTTTATATATGTGTGTGTGTGTGTGTGTGTGTGTGTGTGTGTGTGTGTGTGTCTATACCGTGTAGCTGTTGTAGAGAGGGTGTCCAGGTTTAGGGCGGGGGGGCAGCGGCGGTCCTCTCTTTGCTGCCCGTTGAGACTGCGTCTGATTGGCCGATACAGGAGAGGGCGGTGTTGTGGTGTGAGGAGGTGAAGACTGGCTGGCCGGGGAAACGGAGGGGGCGGGGCTAGTTTTGGAAAGAGGAGGAGTCATCTGGTTGGCTGAGGAGGTCGAGGTGACGGCCGGAGGAGGCGGTCGCCCCGGGGTGGATTTGATTGGAGGAGGACGGAGGGGGAGGAGCTTCACACTCGAAGGTCTGGAAAGAAAGACAAAAGAATGAGTCTTGATTTTCAAATTTTACGGCAAATTTCAAATCTCTGCCGTTTGTTTAACCTTTACTTTGGGAGTTCTCCACAAATTCAAACACAGAATCGGTGCCGTCATAGCTTCCACTTCCTGGACGCTCGTGGATTTTGGGAGTCAAAGCACAATTAAGTAGAATTTAGGCTGTAAAACCAAGTGGAAAATCAGGGCTCATGTAGACCAAAGCTGCATTATCATAAAAAAGAATGCTCTTTCTTTCTTTCTGCACATTTTGTGGAAAAGTAATGGTTAATAAAAGGCGTGTTTACTCCTGTTATGACCTTCATTTGACCTGGATTACCTGGTTCAGATGTTAAGATGACAGAGAACTTAATAGTGTTTTGAATTATGATTAAACTTAATGAAATTAGCAGGTCCCGGTTAGCTCAGTGGGTAGAGCTGGCGACCCATGTACCGAGTCCTTGCTGCAGCGGCCCCCTCTCTCTGCCCCCCTTTCCTGTCTATCTTCAGCTGTCCCTATCATAAAGGCAATAAAAGCCCCAAAATACTTTAAAAAAATAAATAAATGGATGAAATGAGTGTAAATGTATTGAATGATAAAGATAATGAGACTACACTGTGTGTGTAAACAAACATAACACCACAAAAATAAGCACTTTCATGTACAATACATAAAAAACTCACTGATTTTAAACAGCAACTATCGCAGCAGTGTAACCTCTGAAATAAAGACGAGCACATTGTCGTCTTTCCAGAGCATCAGCAGTCTGGATTCGACCCTGAGCAGCATAATTCCAATTTAATTAAAAGGCATTCTCACTTGTGTCGGACAGCGGACTCATATTTCACGGTTCATGCTCCTCCTGGATTATCACTGTGGATGCTTTACAGAGAATGTAGACTCTGCAAATCTCTCTCTTACCGTGGAGGGAGAGGAGGGTCTGTGGAGTTTGTGTTTGCAGTGCTGCTAGTTTCTGGTTTGGCCTGGACCACGGGGCCTTTCCTCAGAGCTGGAGCTGGAGCTGGAGCTGGGGGTTTGAGGCCTGAGGTCGGACCCGAGGCCGGCCCTGAAGGTTTAGGGGCTGTGAGCGGGGCAGCAACTGTAGGTTTGGGTGGGACTGCGTTTGGATCTGGAGGTGCTGGGGAGGCTCCGGTGGGTTTGGGGGCCAGATTTGGAGCTGGAGGTGGAGAGCAGATGTCAAACTACACATTATCATTTTATTATAGAGATTATCTAAAAGCAGAGGTGATAAAATGTTTTAAAAATCCATCTCATGGTGTCCTACATCGATTAATTGACTTAATGGCTTTTTATACTTAGCAACCAGTTAGCATTTGAGGCTAACAGAAGCACCTCTGTGTTTCTGGACAGTGAGTGTGCATTCAGCTGCAGGCACACAGTGAACAATGAAGAGGACAATGGGGACATCACAAGGGGAAAAAAAGTCAGACTCATTTGAGATATTTTAAGACCCACTTCCCACCACTTTTATCTTTAACACCAACCACTGGTTTTTGTTTCTAGCTACTTCTAAAAGAACAAAGTGTGTCCAGACGGGACAATGACATACAGTACAGATGACCTACTTTTACTCAGAGACACTATCTTGTTGTTGTTTAGGATGTGACAGAGATGAAAGATGCAGCACATGCAGACTAGGCCAGATACTATCACTGGGTAACTATCACACACACACACACACACACTGCCGACAACGTTTTAAAGGAGCATATTGTTTCTGAGCTGCATGGTAGCAACTGTTACACAACTGAGTGACTGGAAGGCTTTCTCTAAGGGTTGAGGAACTATAAAGTATATAAACCAGAAGAAAACACTCTTAATAACTAAACTTCTTGGTTTACACAAGTTCATGTAGCTGCCAATGAAGCCATCCTAGTTGCATAATGGCAATCAACACACACACACACACACACACACACACACACACACACACAATTCTGACACATCAAACTCACACAGTAACACACTAACAACAGTGGGGGCTTTTTTCTTCTCACACAATCACAGCATTTTTCTTTTACAAGCTTTGGATTGAATAAGCTCCTCCCCCTCCTCCCCCCCTCCTCCCCCCTTCCCTTCCCTCTCTCTTTCTCACAGATGAACACACACCAACATGAAATCTCTGCACATGTTTGCATATTTCTAACTAATGCGAGAGCAACATTTGAGTCTGTAATCTCTCAAACGCTCCATTGTGCATACACACACACACACACACACACACACACACACTCTCTCTCTCTCTCTCTGTCTGTCTCTCTCTCTGTCTGTCTGTTACCGCTGGCTCTGCGTGGCGAGATCAGTGCTGCCGGTTTGGTCGGGACTCCTGGACGGCCACTTCCTGCTTTCACTGAAACAACAACAAACAAACAAAAGAAAATGTGAAAAATCAATAAAATTCTAAATAAATAAATAACTAATATAAACAAATCTATGAATATTATTTACATTTATATGAATAAATCCTCCTAATGAGACCTTTAAGCTGTGATAACCAGGTGGGCAGTTTATTTGCATACTTCATTGAGAGGAAGAGTCACTTCCTCCAACAACTTCAGTGTCTTTATTCAGCGTCTTTTTCCTTTTCTTTCCACTGTGAGCTGAGACGTTTGCTTGTTGTTTAGTCTGAGATGACAATGAAACTCTGTTCAGAGGCATCAGAAAACAACACTGACGTCACAGTGAATCCCAGAGAGGTTTCTGGGTAAACACCAGAGAGTATTTCTAAATGTCAGCATCAACACCGCTCGCTGAGCTCATCTTTCAACTGATGCGTCGGCTCTCATCAATCTGTACGAGTGCTTCCAGGTGCACTCAAACACTCCTTTATGTGTTCAAAACAATTGAGACTTTATTCAAATATTGACCTAGTTGAGGTTTTGGGAGATATACAACCAACAGCTCGTTCTGAAATGAACAAACAGGGCGTGTTGTTTTGGAAAGTCCCCAAAAGTTAGATAGTCAGAGTGAATTAACATTTAGTTTTGGATTCCCTTTTATTTTTCACTATTTATTATTTTAAGAGCTGAGAAAATCTGTGGTGGAGGCAGACTGACATGTTGACATGACATCACACTTAAAGGGTAACTTTTATAACCTGGACCCTATCTTCCTATGTTTTTGTGACTAATGGGGGCAACTGGTCCAGTTTTGAGAAAATATACCGGCTCTATACGTCGTTTCTCCCTGACCTCCATCTCAAACCTCTCTCCTAATATTTTCACATTTAACTCTGTAAATTCTGGGTTTATTTCCACTAAACAAAAAGTTGGTGATTGTTGGAACAGTGGAGAGACAAACCAGACTTTTAGTGAGTTTTATTTTGTTTCTGTTGAATTCAAATGTTTAAACAAAAAGGATCTATCTCTGTAGGATCCTTTCCATAACGTTATCTGATTTTAAAATAACAACCTGAGTCTATCAGTGGCAGAAACAAGCACTTTTAGTGGATTACGTTGCTGCTTACTGGACCAGTTAAATAAATTGTTGTCCCTGTTGCCCCCCAGTTTAGGAAATACCAAAGTTCCCCTTTAAGTTTTGAGTAAAACCTGAAATAAATTCAATCTGATCTCAGTGTTAGTACGATATCATTAGTGAGTAAATCAGCATTGATAAATGAATTACAGGTAAAAATCTGACAAAGATAACAAAGATTATCACAACTGCATCAGCTCTGTAAATAAGTCTGAAGTTTAAAGTGAGAGCTTATCAGCAGCTCCACACTCAGGTTATCTGGTAGATAGGCAGTGTAAGCAGGAAGCAGCGTGTCAATATTTGTACCTGAAACAGTTCCCCTGCTGCCCGAGATTAACTGGAAATGTTTAAAAGGACTAAGTTTACAATTAACTGCCTTTAGAGCAGGATCAGAAGCATAGACAGCAGGAAAAAAAACAGCTAGTTGATTAATCGGCCGATATCACAACGCCACCTCCATTAATCAGCAAACCTCTAATTTATACCAAGTAAACTTCATTTTATTACATTTAACATTTAAAAATAGCACAAATGTAAAAAAAGGCCCAGATGCAAAAGACATATATTATAAGTATTTAAGAACTGTAACTGGATCACGATCAATCAGATGTTTAACCTGTACGAGACAAATGATGATTAGCAACTGATTATTTTCCTTGAAGAATTGATGAATCATTTGTTCCATAAAATAAGAGACAACAGCTCAATGTGACTGCTTCAAACTGCAGAACCCAAAGATATTTAGTTTACTATGTTAGAAGACACGAGAACAAGCAAATATACACATTGGACTAAGTGAGTTTTTGGGGTATTTGTGCTTAAAAAAAGATTTTAACAGTTTTAAATGAACTAAATGATTCAGCTCTGGACTCACAGTACTAGAAACTAAAAGTCTGTTAACAGCTGTGTGTACAGATTTCAAACCTGCTCATTTACCATGAATCACTTTGCTTAGTGCTTATGACGTCAGCTAAACGTTTAACACAATAACACAAGCAAACACACACATCTGTGGGCAGTGGAAGAAGAATGGAAAATGTTGTGAAATCTCTTCTAAGTTGTGTTTGGCTTCTGTAGTACAGGCTGTATAAGCTGCTGTTGATCAACTGCACTGACTTAACATTAAAGTATCATTGGAAACTGAATGTCACACTCAGATGGAGACTCGTTCCACATCAGTGGTCCAACCTTACACACACACGTCTGAGCAGATTCAGGTCAGTTTTATCAGCAAATTACCCTCAACGAGGCTGTAGATGACATTTGCTGTGTCCCAAATCCATACGACGTACTAATTCTAAGTAGGTTTTGAGCTGAGTTGTTAGTGTGCTCACCCTGGAGCAGTGACCTCAGCTGTAGATGCACACTATTCTCCCACAATGCAATGCACTGGAGGATATTTAGAAGCTGCTCACAGATGGAAAAAAGAAGTGGATAGTGGTCAAAATGTAACTTTATTTTCTGTCAATCAACTCATTTATTTTATCTTTTGAGTTCACAATATGAGTTATTGTATTAAAGTAGAGTCCAAATCAGTAACTATGTGTTGTTGCAGTTCTATTAGCTGCCTGCAGAGGTCAGTAAAGATCACACACTACTGAATACCACTCACCAGTTTGGTTTGTAGAGTCTTGGGGAGCCTGGGTCTCTGTCTGAGCTCCACTGCTGACCTCCACGGAGGGTCTCAGGGGCAGAGTTGGAGTAGTGAGCCCAGCTGCGGTGCTCCTATCCGGGTGTGGAGCACCTACGCTGGCCCTGGGGGCGACTGGAGGTCTGGGTGGAGGTTTTGGGTTGGCTAGAGAAGGGCTTTCACTGACAGAGGGGGTGAGTTTGGGTGGAGGGGGTCTAGGGGCTGGGACAGGGGCAGAGGCAGGGGAAGGGGAAGGGGTACTAGACAGGAGGGATTCTGTAGCTGACTGCGGTTTTGGTGTTATTAAAGGTTTTTGTTGGGGTCCCACAGCTGGAGCAGGTTTTGGGGTACAAGAAGGTTCTGGTTCGGTAGCAGTTTGAGTTTTAGGGTTTAAGTCTGAAGGAGTTTCAGCTGGTTTCAAAACCTCAATGGTTCCCGAGTCTTCCCAGAATACCTTGGTGGACGGTTTGGGGGCATGTGAAAGGTTTTTGGGTTTGGGGGCAACAGTGGGAGGGCCGGATTTGGTTTGTTGGAGACGAGGGCGTGGCCGGGGTTCGGGTTTCTTTGTAGCAACAAAGTCTTTGTTACTGTCTCCACAGCTCCCATCAGCCACCTGCTGCTGCTGCTGCTCAAAGGCTTGTATCCTCGCTTTCAGAGTCGCCATGTCCTCCTCGTCCTCTTCCTCGCCTCCCTCCTCGCCCTCTGATTGGCTGTGCCCACTGCTGTCGCTGCGGCGATCGGGGAAGCCCCAGTCGTCGGCGCTGAAGGCCTCGAGCAGCTCCTGAAGGTACTTCCCCTGACTCACTTCCTGCTGGTTAGAGGTGTCGGTTCCTGCGCGGGCGGCTAACGTGGCCAAACCGTCCTCGCGCAGTTTCACTAAAGTTTGAACTTTGACCTCGTTGCTGGCTGGCTGCAGACTGAGCTTGGAACGAGGGCGCGGCCTCGGGCGCTCCGACGGGACTTGAGAGGATGTTGTGGGTGGAGATGCCACTTCAACAGCTGCTACGGACTGATCCCATTGGTCGGTCTGAGCACCAGAGGTTGAAGTCAAAGGCGAACAAAGGTCAGTGAGGAGCTCACAACACTGCGTGTGAGCGGCGGCGGCGTGTGTGACTGTCTCTACCACGCTGTCGAGGGAGTTGAGTGTGGATTGGCTGGCGGGGATGGCGATGTCATCAGAGGGTTTGGGAGGGTAGGGGACTCGTGGTCGTGGTGGTCTCACTGGTCTTCTCACTGCACACAGAACACACAAATTAACTTTACTAACAAATATGAAATATATCCGCAAACAATAAACACACAGACGAGCTTCCTCTCACGTTGTGGGTCTTGGGGATCGGGGGCAGATCCCGGATCAGTCTGGATGGCGATGGTTTTTGTAGTAGCTGGACGCGATGGGGATGAGGAGGAGTGGGAGGAAGAAGAAGGAAGGAGAACCTGCTCCTGTGTCTTCTCCCTGATCACCTCCTCATAGGATGGAGGAGGCTGAGGAAGAGAAACTGTCATTTTCTGCTTTTCTTTGTCGTATATGTTAGTAAACTGAATATCTTTTGATTTTGGACTCTTAGCCAATCACCTTCATCTCTGAGAAATTACAATATATACTATATTCTCACATATTTTATCTCAAAATGTGCTAGATCTGCCATTTTTGCATCCAGTATTTTCAGTGTATTTATTCCAACTTGCTTCACTGACGTCACTGAGCACAGACAGACGTGATTTTGGATCATTTAAAAACAACAATTTTCTTACTCAGCACTGAAACATGTCAGAGAACTGGCTTGTATCTCACACACACACACACACACACACACACTCACACACAGACAAGAGTCACCTGTATGGACGGAGGGATTGTGGGTCCCCAGATCTGTGCGGCCGGAGGAGGGGGAGGTGGGAATCCTCCAGAAGCTCCGGGGAACCAGGACGTGGAGGCCAGCGGCTCCGCTGACAGGATGGTGATCTCTGGTCGCCTGGCAACAGGTCACGATAACAGGAAGTCAAGCAACAGAGAAGTCCATGTATGATTGATTCACATTCTCTTTAACAGCAGAGAGATAAATGTAAGCAAAAAAAAAAAAAAAAAAAAAAAAAAAAAAAAATAAAAAAAAAAAAAAAAAAAAAAAAAAAAAAATAAATAAAAATAAAAAAATTAAAAAAATTTATAAATTTTTTTTTTTTTTTTTAAAAAAAAGAAAAAAAATATTTTTTTTTTTTTTTTTAAAAAAAAAATTATATTTTTATTTATTTATTAATTTTTAATTTTTTTATTATAAAAATTTAAAATAAAAAAAAAATATTTTTATCAAAACCAAAAGGCTGAAAGAGATGTTTGAAAGGAAAAAACATTAATAATTGATAGAAACATCCTTAAAGGCTCCATGTGTAGGATTTTGTGGCAACTTGAGGTTACTTAATCCCCTCCTTTTCCACACGCAAAGTAGAAACTACACAGGCCACGAAACTCAGATAAAAACACAAACGGACCTTTATAGATCCAGCGTTTGGTTTGTTTGTTCTGGTTCATGGTGGCTCAACATGGCGGACTCTGAGGAAGGCTTTTATACACATTAAAACAGCTCATTTTAAAGGTAAATCCTATATATTCAGGTCATTTACAAATGAAAACATACCTTTAAATATTATATATATCAAATAGATCACTCCTGAATGTTACACACTGGACCATTAAAACTACTTCTGCTGAGATCCATCAAACACAAATAAAAATGGAAACTGCATTTGTATACTCTGTTTGCTGAGTGTGCAGGAATTCAACTTTATCTTAAAGCACATTTTTCTATGTAAATGTCAACTACATGCAAGTGTTCAGTAGTAGTAGTAGTAGTAGTAGTAGTAGTAGTAGTAGTAGTAGTATGAAGGAAGTGACCCACAGTAACAAGTGGCTTAATGACCAAAAAAGGTTTGTAAATGTTAATGCTGGTTCAGATCCAAGTGTGTGAATGTGAAGCAGGAAGGAAGTGGATGATAAACTGCTCCTCACTGTGAATTCTTTATTTACTATAAACCCAGAAGGGTCACGATGCAGCTTGTTGACTAAACATATTCTCTTTCTCTGACTTGACAAATTGAGAAAAGCAGCAAAGCATCAACACGAACAGTTTCTCTACATAATCTAACTTCTGAGGGCCATCTATCACTATCATTTTACACTTCTGAACAACAAGATATTTGTGTCTTATACTAGTGTCTTACCTCCTATCTCTGTCTCTGTCTCTGTCTCTATCTCTGTCTCTGTCTCTGGACGTCTCAGAGAGAGATGTTGACCTGGTGGAGGCTGTAAGACAGAAAACAACACAGAGGTAAATATCGACGGCTACAACAAAGCAACAAAGCAGAAAAATCATGAAAAACATCTGTTCTTAAACAAGAAAGTGAGTATTTTCAATCACATCTGTAGAGACACAAACATACTGTGTGAGTCTATGACGTGAAGGAACAGACGATTGCAGAATATACAGTAAATGTCATGTTGTCAACCAAGAAAATATACATTTACCTACCAGTGGGATTGTAGATGTGGGATATGTGACGAGGTGTACATTGTAGAAGCTGTGTTTTCCCATTTTAAAGCTACATAAGGAGACTCTAAAGTAGTAAACTGAGGGTGCAAGTGGTTTTAAACAGCAGACTGTGGTCTAAGCTGCAGTTGGGAGTTGCCATGCTGGATTTTATTACCCCACAAAAGGTCAAATATTTTCCATTTTTTAAAATCCACACTCTTCCGGGCCCCAATTCAAATGGACAGATTTCTACAAACACTCTGTTTTTACCATCTTTCTTCTCCTCTTACAGTTCAGACATACACTCACTACAATCCTTAGCATCACTAACTGTACTCAGAAAGTTAAATCGATCTGACTTTTAATGAACTTTTAATGAACTTTCCAAACGAAATCTGTTCAGTTTCTCATTAGTTAAAATCAGGTTATCCATTCTTCTTCAAATACTGAAAGTCTAATTGTTGTTTAACATGATGAATATTAGCCTGACAGGATCTCAGTCACAGTTAAGTTTCCAGAGATTACAGAGAGGTTTTAGGCTGCCTGGCTGCTTGTTTAGACTTCCATGTATATGGAGTGTCTCTGCACTTTGATCTGTAAAGTTAATTATATATCTGTGCAGTGTATTGAAATGACCGAGCCCTAAAAAACACAGAGGAGAAAGAAAGTTTTCATAAAAAGAGGTCCGAGGGATGAATACTCACTTCTCTTGATGGCTGCTCTGATGGACGAGAGAGGACCCTGGCTGCAGAGAGAGAGAGAGAGAGAGAGAGAGAGAGAGAGAGAGAGAGAGAGAGAGAGAAAAGGGGGATAAGAAAAAAGGAAAACATGAGTCACATTATTTCACTTCTGTTGCCACCTCCTACCTCTCCCCCCTCTGTAAATCTCTTTTTTCCAGTGACAAACATAGCTCAGTTGTCCCACCCAGTCCTCAGTTTTTTTCTAGTCATTTGGACCATTTTGTACGACGGACGGTATTAGGACCAGACTAAGAGAAAAAAATATCTTTTTTTGGGGGGGAAATTATGAGAATAAAGAATAATATTAGGTCTGCGAGAATATAGTCGTAACATCACGAGAATAAAGTTGTAACATTACGAGAAAAAAGTCGTAATATTACGAGAAAAAAGTGGCAATATTGCGAGAATAAAGTAGTAATTTTATGAGAACTCTTCGCGCTGCGTTAAAATGAGGAATGTTGAGCATCTTGTGAAGTTATACTTTGGTACCGGTTTCACAAATAAGGAAATACTTAATCTTTTGGCTCATCAGCATCAAATTATTATCAGTATCAGGACTTTGAAACGATTATGCAAACGACTGTTTCTATTTCGAAGAAAGAACCACATGGACTTGGAAGAAATTGCTTCTTTTGTACGTTATTCTCTTAACATTACAACTTTATTCTTGTAATTTTCAAAATTTGATTTATATATTTATTTATTTTTCCTCTTAGTATGGCCCTAATACTCCGTAGTCATTTTGGCACAGTCAGTATAAGTTAAAGGTCAATGAAAACACACATACTGACGCTTTGTCCACATGGACGTTTGGTTAACATGTAGACAAATGAGTGCTTCACTTACTGATTTGATCCTGTTACTTTAACCAGTTGTTTTTCCTCCCTCAATCTGTACAGAACGGATTGCTTTCACATCTGCTGCAGACAGGTGTTCTCCAGACTAAAAGCTCGAGGCTTTACTGGACCACACCCAGATACAACATGACTTTTACCAAATCTTGCTGAACTCTCTCAGAACAACAACAGCCTCAGGTCAGGAAAAAAGAAATCTCTCCATCTCAAGTATAAAACAACAAAATCTGCTCTGAAGCAGAAGCTTCTGTAAATGTTTTCAACAGAGAGTAAAAAGACGACCAAGTGTTTGTCTAAATCAGAAGAAACTGAAGATATGTACAAATGCAGATGGCACAGGAAGTGTTCAAGTTCACATCCTGGTAAAAGAGCTAAACATTGTTTAACACCCCAGAAGATAGAGACAAGACTATAGTCCGGTTACAGATATCTGCACAGTAGATACACTAAGTGTGGAACCACTGACGGATATTATCATTACACATATAAAAGGAATAAAGAGAACTGAACTGATGCCTGGTTGCTGGTCTGTTAAACACTTTAAAGCCCCGGCAAACAAAGAGGATATTTGACGTCACACTGCAGAGGCCTTTTACAATCTAAAAGAAAGAAATGTGTGTCAATGTGGGGGAAAAACCCTTCTTTAGATCCCAGAGTGTCCCAGAACAAATACGTAGGTTGCAGTAGTTAATGGAAAGAACTGTTCCTTCCTTTGTACGTTATTAAATGTTGTTTTTCAAACTCTCTTCTATAGCAAAGAATCTGCTGCTCAAGGCACATTGTGCAATTCCCAGAGAGAAAGATTTTGGAAAAGTGTTTATCAAATTCCCAGATTTCAACCTTTCTGCAGCCCAAACTGTCAAAAGATGTCAGGAGCTCCAAGACGAGCAAGGAGCCTAAAAAATTGAGCCAAAGTTCGTCGTATTTAAACAGAGTTGTTGCTAGGCGGGTTAGGAATCAACAGAGCCAGACTCACCCAGACGTTTTTTATTCTTCCTCTTCTATCTCTTTTCTCTCACTCTGTCTCTTTAATCGTCTTCCAGTCTGTTTTGTTTCCCTGTGTAGTCTTTGTCTCTGACTGTCTCTCTGGCTCTTTTTCTGCCACAGAGCTGCTAACCATGAACAGACACACATGACTCACCCCTGACACTGCCCAAACACACACACACACACACACACACACACACACACACACACACACACACACACACACACACACACACACACACACACACACACACACACACACACACACAGCTTTATTTTAAACAGTGATGGAAAAATTCCTCTTTTCATTTCTCCCTGTTTTCTGAAAAAGAGTTGAACAAAACAAAGAAACCCAGATCTGTGTCGGGCTGTTGGGGGTGTTAGATCAACTCGAGGATCATTTCTGAGGCTGTAGTTTGTGTTTTCATGAAGTCAGAGTTGGTGGGCGTCGACTTTGTGAACAGTGTCCCACTTTGCTGATGCAGTTTTTTTTTTTATGTGTTTGGAAAACTTCTGAGCCTTTTTCCTCTTGCCCCATTGCATCAGTTCGGGGTGTGTGTGTCCCTCACGGTCCAGTTTAGGGACAGACTGACCACAAAGGCGGCGAGAAAAGAGGAGGATTTAGACGTCAGCGCGAATCGAAACAAACAAGTGTTTATGTGTTTACAGCCGCAGAAGAAATGCCGGCAGTGTGAGGTTTAAATAAACAATGCAGAACTGGTTTTACAAATGATTTATAAGGAAGGAAATAAACCTTTTGGAGAGTAACACTGAATGTAAACCTTTAAGGGAGAAGTGGTAATCGTATAGTCAGTTTTAAAGTTATCAAGCGTGTTGGAGACCTAAACAAACCCACTGGGATGTTGGTAGGATGTTAAAGCAAATTCAACACTTCCTGCTTCAGCGTCAGGCGGCTGATGCTTTTATGGGACGCAGCTGCAGGACATGTTAACTTACACTTATTAGAGAAAAGCTTAGCTGAGCTAGGTTTTCAACTGGAGTTCAAATGTGACACCTACACTGCCATTTTTCACAGCTGACTCTGTTGGAAGATCAGTTTTGAACATCTGTTCTTGTGAAGTTGAAGAGATTACCAGGTAATAAAAAGCCTGACGTGGCAATGGGGGAAATCGGATGTGTGCTTAACACACAAAAGCTGGCTTAATTAATCAAAAACGATTTAATGGAGATGCTCTAACTTAATCTGCTCCCTTTTATGCAGATTAATAAGCCCAGTCTGCTGTTTACTGATGCATTATGGGGCTTTAAAATGTCTCTCTACATTCTTACAGTCACTTTAGTTTCTCTTGTTACCATCTTTTAAGTGAAATTACCTCAAACTGAGGCTCTGTTTCCCCCGTAAACACACACACACACACACACACACACACACACACACACACACACACACAGTCACAAAACTCTGTGACTTCTCCGGCTAGTTGCCATGCCAACCGGCCAACAGCCAAAATACTTTCAGGAGTGTGTCAGACCCGGAGACCAAAGGGGAGAAAAGTAGCTCCTGCAACTCTGCAAAGACGCTGCAGAGAAATAGTCCCGAGCTGGAGTTAAACAGCAGGTTGGAATACGTAGTTTGTGTTTTTTAAAGCTTTCTTTCAGAATTTACTGATTCATTCGAGAGGAAAACACTACTTCAAAGAGATCAGAGCTTTCTGAGTCACCTGGATTCGACATCAAATACACAAACACTGGCCAAAACACTCTCTCTCTACATGTGGTCACACTGAACGTGGTTTACTTCCTGGTAGCAAACTGCCAGGTGAGATAAAGAAGAGCTCTCACCTGTGACGATGCTCCGGCTTACGTCGGTCGGGACGACCTGGGAAGAGAAAGAGGGAGAGAGAGAGACTTTGTTTAAAAGGGCTGTAGATTAAAACGCATATTAAAAAGTGGGAAAGTCGAAACAGGGACTTAAATTAGTGAGATTTCATTTACTTAATGTCTGAACACATATGTTCTTAATTCTGTGCCATTAAAACAGATTTATTTAAAAACCACAGAGAGAAGGTGACGTTGTTGTGTGCAGGAATACATGTGTGCATACAGTTTCCATGGTTTTATGCAAACACATTCATGCATTGTCTATTCATTCTGGTTTCTTTGCAGGTCGTGTGAACAGCTGATGAGGTCACGTGACCCTCCTACCTCCCTTATCCTGATTGGTCTTTGTTTGTTTGTTTGTTTGCTCGTCTATGTCTCTGGAATAATGCTGTGTAAGCTGAGCCTACCGTGGTCTTTTCATGGAAACCTTACTGCACCTTTTGCTAACAGAATACATATGTTTGCATCTGTGGAGCCTCTTTAACTTTTTTGTGAGTGTTTGAGCAACTTTTTCCATGAAAGTTAAAACAACGATGACGAACAACTGATAACGATTATTAGTAATCAAGGAAAAAGAAACCTTTAAGCATATGTTTAATTTATTGCTGCACAAGATATATTGCATATTACTCTGCTATTAATTCATATTTCCCAAACTTAACTACTGAAAAAGCATTTTTTGGTCCCAAAACTATTGGCACCAATAACCTAATATGGTTGGCTGGAGATAAAGAAAGTTAAAATCCTTCCCTTTCAGAAGCTAACTGGGTCGAAAAACCAAAAAAAGCCATAAAATCTAAGAGGAATTTTGGCAAAACACTGAAAACCCTTCTTCCATTTGGTTTCTTAATGAAAAACAATCTTCTTCTGCACAGGAAGTGATGTGTTTTACGTTTCCAGTTAGTTTGCAAGAACTGAAAGTGGCGGCGGAGCACACGCAGAACATAGCGCCACCTACAGAGACTACACCAACCCCGTTCACCCCGACTGATCTCTGGAGAGGACGGGTTAGAAACACCACAGTGATGAGCACTGAGCACCAATCAGGACAAAAGTAAAAACTTGTGGATAAACGTGTCCTCACCTGAACCTCCTGTCATCACTCTCAAGTTGAACAAAAGAGAAAGAAAGAGAAATAAAAGACAGCAGATAGTTTCTCTCTGGACTGGGTTTTTCTGCATGTGTGTGCATTTTCCCATTTCCTACCTCCTTTCCTCTGATCACCAGGTCAGCTGGGCTTCCTGTGTCCACAGAAACTAAATGTTCAGTAGAATAATCTACAGCGACCTTCCTCTTCCTCTCCTTTCCTATTCTGCCATTAAAAGAAAAAAATAACTTAAAATGTCTCTTTCCTCTCTTCTATCTTCTTCTTCTCTTCCCCCCAAACTCTCTCACTCTGTCTCTAAAACTCTGTAACGGGACCGCCCTGGCAGAAAGCAACCAGGAAGCGATGCCGTGATTGGCTGCTGTGGGATTCTGCTGCAGTCATCAGGAGTTTTAACACTTCCAGATGTTTGTCTTGCAGCAGGCTGGCAGAGCTTTTGCACCGGAGCCGCGTTCAAACACGTAAGATGCACACCGCAGCAGATTTTCCTCAGCGCTCGTCATCTGTTGGGTTTCTGGGTTTTTGGGGAGGGGGGGTCACAGGTTACAGGTCAGCGTTAGAGACTGGAGCTAGAAGGGCGTTGATGTTTAGCTCAAAGAAAACTTGACCATCATTAAGACAACAGCTGCTGTCATTAAATATTTGTATAGTAAGAATGGTTAAAATGAGTATGTGAAAGGAGCTGGTAGTTATAAACCAACAGTTTCCCTTAACTCGGCATTTTTCAGCTCTTTACGACTTCACTCATTTGTTCACTCTGCTGCTCTCATGCAATTCATTCCCAGAATAAGGTCCAACTACGGTACTGTTCACTACCTTCCAACCACCCAACAACAGACAGACACAGTTAGGAAGTAGCTGGTGAACACGGTGGGACATTCAGCTGCTAAAAGGTCAGATATTATACTTAGAAAACAGAGCTAAAAGACGGGTGAATAGTTGACTTATAGTTGCCAAGTATACGACTAGATTTCACTAGATCACAATTTCCTAAACACCCAAGGTCACCTCAAGATAACGAGTTTATCATCACAACAAACCCAATAGTCAATAGTCGCTGATTATTCTTCTGTCAAACAACTAATCAATTAATTGACTAATGGTTTCAGCTTTAAAATCTCTGTACAACTGTTTGTAAGCAAGTTTTAAGCCATTTTAAATAAAGACGCATAGATACTTTTTATTTATTAATCAAGTTTTAGTCAAGGTGATAATATGTCAGAGTTGTTTATGCTGCCCCCATGTGGACAGAAACTCCATTAATGTACGTTTAAAGCTGCGCTACACAATATCTTGATATATAATTGTTTATTTCCTAAAGCAGAGCAGACACAAATACTGCTGTCAGTACGCTCACTGGTGGGAAATACTCATTAATAAAAGCTGGGACACTCACATGAGACATTTATCATCCAATCTGTGTGGAAACAAAGTCTTTGATTGCCTAATGAAATCTATTAGTGGATGACGTTCGCCTACAACAATCAGCTAACTAGTTCCAACATCTTATTTCCTTTATTTTAGACTGACAATGTCGATATCTTCACTCCTGTTCACTTGCATTTATCTTTCTAATACAGAACTTCTCCCTTAAGCTAAGGAGGGGCTGAAGACAAACCCCGTGGAAACAACAAACTTCACATGCCGGAAAAATCAATCACAGATTGCCTTTAAATCCACAGAGAGACCCGAACCACAGCGCAGGAATGCTGCACACACACACACACACACACACACACACACACACACACACAGTGTATGAGTTAATGTTGTGTGTGTGTGTGTGTGTCACCAGCTTGGTTGGTATCCAAAAGTCTTTACATAATCCCCAATAAAAACTTCCTGAACGTTGAAAACTCTTTTCTTAAGTTAAACAACAACGTTATGAGCTGAAAGCAGATATTTAATATTTAAACACACATATAATGAGAGCTCTGTGACCTCAGGTTGGTACAATCACATGCTTTAGTTTCATTACACAACAACAGCTGACGGAGCAACACAAGCGCTCAGATCTGTGTATTATTTTACCATGTTTAAGCCTCTTTCCTCCTCGTAGGAGCATTAGCTGATGGTTTTCCAGCACTGACAGGCCGATTTCAGTCACTATTTGTTGTGATGAAACTACGATCTGAAAGTTTCCATTTTATTTTCCTCCTGTGGACTTTCTGTAACACACTTCCCTTTCAGATCACCTGTCAGTTGGATATGAACTTCCTACTCCTTTCTTCTTCCTTTTGTTCTTTCAAAAAATTAAATTAAATTAAAAAATGCCTCACTTATACATTATACAGTGGAAATTAAGTCATTTGGGAGTTGATGATACAGTTAAAATCCAAAAGATACCAAAACCAGCGAAATTCCACAATTCTCAATTCCTAATTTTAAACCACGGTAAATAAGAGGGATGTCCCGATCAAGTTCTTCTGCCTCAATATAAGTGATTAGCTCTGGATTATATTAAGAAAAACACTGTCTGCATCCAAGCTGCTCCTTAATGAAAATGAAAACAGCCTCACAAACGGACTTGTAGCAGTCTTTGGGAGTTTCTCTTTCCTTTTAAGAGTGTCCTGTACTGTTTGTTTAGCCAAAAACTGGCTGTAGTTTGGGTTTTTTTCCGTGGGTTTTGCAGTTTTCTTTCACGCTTGGTTGAGTCAAGGTTGGTTTCAGCTGACCACAACCTGCAATCTCACCGCTAGATGCCACTAAATCCGACACACTGGTCCTTTAATTAATGTTAATATTCACAGATCTCAACTGAATCTTTGAGTTCAGTTGTTTAAACCCACTTATATCCATAAGAGCTTGGAAAGGATCCATACTGGATAAAGTGGGTTCACTAAAACTACATCATCACACTGCCCAACCCAAACCCAAACCGAATAGTACCTAGATAAAAACACTTCTGTGTCACGTGCCTGTCTTTCCTCTACAGAGCTATTTACAGAAAACACTAGAGAAAGACTATCTACAGAGAACACGGCTTCCTGTACTGAAGGCCAATGTCAAATACAACGTTTCGGGTTATAATCAGGGACTCTACCGAGCGCCAATGTGTCGCAACATCACGTCAGAAGGTGCCCAGACTTGTGTCGTTAATTCTCCCCAAAGATATACCCGTCCCTAGCCAGAGGGTTGAGGTGAGGGCCGAAAGACTTCGGTTATATATAACTTGTGTTTCCTTGAATGAGACAGAGAGACAAAGAGGGGAGACTTGTAGATTAAACTAATGGCAGTAAGTCTTGGCACAGGCCTGCACCATTACAGTCAACCGGGAATGTTTCTGCCTATTTATGCCTGCATGTGTGTGACCTTTGCCCCGAATGGTGACACATCTGCATGTTGATGAAGTAATTTATGGGTTTAATGTTCGAGCAGGCTACACCCACTCTCGTACAACTTTAAATCTCTTATCAGTTGTTAAAGTGTGTTTGTTTGTGTGTGTTAATTCAGTTGTTAACAAGACAACATCGTGCTTTTAAATTTAAAATCTTGTTGTCGTATGATGACTGGATCCGTTATTATTTTCAGTATTGAGTCATTTGTTAATTATTGTCTTCCTGAATTGATAACGTATCATGTCGTCTGGTCCATAAAATGTTAAGTCAGCATATTTAAACTGCTTGTTTAGTCCAAAACTCTCAAATATTAACATGTAAGAAGCTGGAAACACTGATTTTAATGGGTATTTATACTTAAAAATCCAAACAGTTGCTGATAAATCAACTATTCATTTAACCTGTCGACCTTTCACTAAACTTCTACTGAACTTTAAGCAGTTTTTGAACTGAAACGCACACATTTTATCTGTAAAACTTTACATTTTGCCTGTTTGACCAGTAAGTTACTGTTATTTTTAGTCCAGTTGTGTCAGCTCTGTGAGAGATTTTACAGAGATACCACAAATATCACATAAGTGGAAGAGGATTAAGCAGCAATTGAGGATCTTATAGTAGCTAAAAGTAGAATAATATACCTTTAAACTAACTAATAATTACCCCAGAAACACAGAAATACCACCTACAACAACATTAAACACACACTGCAGGTGCTTTCAGGGCTGCCGAGCTCATATTTAATTCCAGTTTACTTTATATTTCCACTTAAAACGACTTGTGACAACTCATTTTCCACACAGGGATCAATACATTGAATCGATATCAGGTGGAATATGTTGGAAACAGTTAATATTAGTGACTATTTTCGCGGTTTTTGTTACCTCCGGAGCTGTTTGGCTGCCGTCGAACCACTTGTTCCCGGGTGTCCCTCATCATGTTTTCCTCCTCTTCTTCGGACCGTGCTTCGGCCATTTCTCCTTCTTTCTCCTCACTTTCTCCTTCTCCTGTCCTCTCCTGTTCTGTTTGTTTCGGTGGGGAGGAAAATAAAAATGGAGCTGGGTCAAAACAGAAACAACAGCAGCAACATTATTCCTCCTCCTCGTCGTTTTGTCGTCGCTCACATCCACCACCACCACAACTCGGGGACAAGTTCACCCCCAAAAATAAAAACTTTAAAGCCCCGATAAGACTTCCATTGTTTAGTTAAAAGCTTCGTCTCGGTCTTCAGCAGCCTTTGAGGCGTTAAACTGCCTCAAACTCGGTGTTATTCAACCACAATAACTGTCGTTGTGTCGGGTTTCGGTTGAACACTTTCTGTCCCCCCCCCCTCCGCCGGGCGCTGCGGTCGCGAGCTCAGCCGCAAGCAGCCGCACGCGCTCCGGCTGCGTGACGTCACCAACTGAAAAAAAAAAAGGAAAGAAGAAGGGGGAAAAAAATGGCGGTCAAAACAATTAGCATACAGGTAGCTAACTGATAAAGCTACTTGGAAATTAGTGTTGGAAGATTTTTTTAATACAGTAAAAATAACAACGCGATGAATGAAAAATACTCAAGTAAAAGTACTTTTTTTGAGCTGTTTACCTGAAAAAAAAGTAACTGATTAACTGTTACTCATTACTGTTTTAAAAACATACTATAGTTACTTTATTTATTGCTTCCTGCAAACAAACAAATTAATATTATTACTTTTATTTTACTGTCGGCGGGGAGTAAGAAGCAAAGTGTTGTTACTTTAAGTGTTACTCCCTGCCAACAGTAATTTTAACAAAGAAAAATGGATTTAAATCGTCTTAATTAGCTACCAATTGTATGGGGAGTAGCAGAAGTAATATAACTAATAATGTAACTAATTACTTACTGTGGTGGAAGAAGTACTCAGATTTTTTACTTGCTGCTGTAATATAAAAATACTCACTAATTAATTAATACTAATATAATATTAATACTAATTTAAGTGATTTTTATCTGCAAAAGGTGCTTACTGGTGAACACTGTTGGGCTAGTTACTCAAACAACATGTAATTGATTACTTATTACTGTTTTAAAACATACGATAATTACTTTACTTATTGCTCCCTGCAAACAGTAATTTTAACAAACAAACAAATTAATATTATTACTTTTATTTTACTGTTGGCAGGGAGTAAGAAACAAAGTATTGTTATTGTGTCACTAATTAAAATCCAGTTTTATTTGTTAAAATAAAAGTAAAGGAATATTTCCAGTTGCTGAATATATGTGTTTCTTTCAAACTAGTTTCCTCCACAATCACAAAAATGAATCCACAGATGTGATTGGATTGTTGGATTTAAAATGAATATGGGGGTGCCAACAAAAGTAATGTTTTATTTAGCTTATATTTTACTGTTAACTGTTATATTATTAATGTATTACTGTATTATTACTAGTAATGAGGTTCAGCCCAACACTGCTGGTATAATATACAATATCAAACTGTAGGAACGAGAAGAAAAACACATTTTTGAGTGGAGGGGGAACTTTAACATTCTTACACAATGACCCAGCAGAGCTTTGTGCAACTCCAACCTGAGCAGGTATAATCATCCACACAACAGGAAACACCTGTGTGGGTGTGCGTGGCCTTTCATCTGTCATATTGTGACATATGTTTTACATGTAATATCAAAGAGCTGTCAGATAAATGTAGTGAAGTACAAAAGTATTAAAGTACCTTAATGTTTACTGGGTCTTTACAGTTTGAACGTAATCAGTGTTTAGCACTAAAAACAAAAGGAAACATTAGGACTGATCCGCCGTAGTCCATTAATGTCTGCAGGAATCTCCTTGCATGACTTAAAATGCAAAATATACAATAAAGATGCAAACGACTGCAGCAGGGAGACCTTTCTATGTGCATGTGTTGCCTCGCTGCGAGCAGAACTTCCTCTAAGGAGAATAAAAGTGACCTGAAATGAGTTGAACAAGTGAATAAAAAGAGTAAAATAACAGTTAAAACAGGGCAGGAAGAACGAGGGAGAGGTGGGAATGTAAACAGGTATCAACAGGTCTAGACTGGCAGCGTGCTGTTGACATTGAGGATAATGTGTTTGTGCTGCGAGATCAGTTTCGTGTTGAAGCCCGGAGCAACGCTGCATGTTTTATCCTATAACTTTATGAGACACGCTGAGAGGAAACCAGTTCAGTGAGGATGTGGGCCGCTCACACAGGATCTCTGTTATGTCTGTAAACCAGAACACTTCTTTAAAAGAGCTTATTGTGATTATTTATTGCATTATTATTGTTTTTATTATTAATTTTATTTTATTTTATTATGCATATTTCCAGTAAAAAGGCTAAATCACTGAACATGTCAATACGCTGCATTATAGGTTGTTTTATTTCTGTTTAAATAACAGAATCATATTTTTTATATCATATTAAACTTGTTCTATAATCATATTTTGAGTGATTATCACTGAATATTTCTACATTTTTACATCATGCATAATTTTTCTTGTATTTTAGATTCTGACCTCTTTATACTTTGTTACATTGCCCAGGGACTACGGGTGGAAAATAGCAACTTGCTAAAACCCGGTGCAATGTATCTCTCCTTGTTATATACAGGGTTAATGTTTTATTGTTCAAATAAAAGAAATAATAATTAAAAAAAATTACAATTAAACAACTAAATGAAAGTCAGATCTAGTTAGTCTGAGTTTGTTGTGAATAAAAGACTGATATGCATTTAGTGTAAGGACAATTTAAAAGATAAAACAATTACCAAAATTAACCTGGATTAGAGAGTTTGAGATACTTTCTATGTTTCCTGTACATTTATTTACATTTACATACATGTTTGAGGGAACTAGGCTCCTTACTACACATACATAGTGATTGAAAGATGGAGATCTATCTATCTATCTATCTATCTATCTATCTATCTATCTGAATAATTATTCCCCCTCTGTGGCTGCAGTAATAAGTAATAAACTCTTTATCTTTAAAATGCATGATAGTATAGTAATAAAAACTCTCTGAACTTACATATTTCAAATATTTTTTACACATTAATATCAATAAATACACAATTTTGTTAATTTGGTAACTTTAATTCTAAATAAAGAATAATTATGACATAATTGTGTTCATAATTTATCATTTCTATATTGTGGCATTGCTACTTTAAGGTTACTAATACTTCTTCCACCACTGTGGGTCATTCAGTAATAATGAGTTTAAATAATTCAGGTGCAGTTTCAGTCTGTGGCCAGCAGGCTGCAGCACTGACACTCACAGACACAGACAGTGGCAGGTAGAGGAAACTAAATACTGCTACTGACCTTCAGAGGAACACGTCTGTTATTGTACTGAAACAGATTCAAATAAATCTACATACCACCAGAAATGACCTTAAAATACAGTCACACTTTTTCTTTTGCTCTTTATTTTATAAGAATGTGTAAAAAATATTCATATTCATCAAATAACAAACAAATACTGAGCATTTTTTTAATCCATAAAAATGTCCTTTAAATTACTTAAAAGTCATATTTAAAAACAACAGGTGTTGACCAAAGTGCTCTATGGGGAAATTTAAAATAAAATGAAATACTTAAAACAAAAAAAGATAAATAATTGTAATTTAATTTTAAAAAATTAAAACAATTTCATCATTAAATGAATTATTAAAGCGATTCAGTTGTAAAATGATGTGTTGTTAGCCGGGATTTGAAAGTGGTGACTTATTTTTATATTATAACTATAATTATTATCAAACTGTGTGACTTTTTTTATCCATTTTATTGATTTTATTGCCATTTGAAGCCATCTGGTGTGTGTTTGGTGTGTTTGGTGTGGATCCAGATGACCTGTGTGTGTGTGTGTGTGTGTGTGTATTGTTCTCACAGCAGATTAACGGCTCCCACTGTCCTGTAACACCAGCCGTTAACCTGCGTTTCCACGGTGATTAACAGGGCCACGTTAACAGCATCACTCAGCAGGGGGCATACAGTGTGTGTGTGTGTGTGTGTGTGTGTGTGTGTGTGTGTGTGTGTGTGTGTGTGTGTGTGTGTGTGTACCTTTATTCAGTGGGATCAAATGTTCTCATTATAGGGACTCATCTCCATTTTGGGGACAGTGAAAGAAGGTCCCCTCAGGATAAACCACCTAATATTAGAGTTCAGGGTTAGAAATACAGGTTGTTACTATATTAATATAATATAATATATGTAATTATATATAGTGTATATATAATATATGTAATAATATATGTAATAATATATAATATACACTGTATTTCACTGGGGACTACTGTGTGTAGTGTATATTCAGCAGTGGAAGAGGAACTTGAATGAAATAACTGATAAAATAATGTTAAAATATAAATAAAAACATTGAAAATCTTACTTACTTGAAACCATGTGAGAGGTTTAGAGCAGACATGTCTCTTTGGTGCAACTGAACTCACTGACGTCATCATTTATGTGACGGGTAATTGGTCAAAAAGGTCGGGAGTTCAAGTAAAGTACAACCTTGACTTTGTACTTAAGAGCAGTACTCGAGTAAATGTGCTAGTTAAATTCCTCCACAGCAAATAACAACACTGCCGGAGCGAGAGAAGATCAAGTTTGCATTACATTTGTTTATTGTTTGTGTTTGTGTTGTCAACAACAGCTGACCCTGAATGCACCACCACAGAGTGTTTCCCTCCGTGTGTGCAGGTAGACTACTTTAATTCTATTTGTTTGGCTTTTTATTGTACTATATTTTATCTATCTATCTATCTATCTATCTATCTATCTATCTATCTATCTATCTATCTATCTATCTATCTATCTATCTATCTATCTATCTATCTATCTATCTATCTATCTATCTATCTATCTATTTATCTATCTATCTATCTATCTATCTATCTATCTATCTATCTATCTATCTATCTATCTATCTATCTATTTATCACTGAATATATGTGATAAAACAACCCCATATGTGCATGTGTGTAAATAATAACAGCCTAATTATAATTACTATAATAATAACAAATAATAAATAACTGTAATATAAAATGTAGTACAGTACAATAATTACTATAATAATAATAAACAATTGTAATTAATTACATAAAATGTAGTACAGTACAATAATTACTATAATAATAATAAACAATTGTAATTAATTATATAAAATGTAGTATAGTACATCAATTACTATAATAAAAAAAAAAAAAAAAAATAATTGTAATTAATGATATTAAATGTAGTAAAGTACAATATTTACTATAATAATAAAAATAATAATAATAATAATAATAATAATAATAATAATAAACCATTGTAATTAATTATATAAAATGTAGTAAAGTACAAAAATTGTTGTAATAAATAATAAATAATAAATAATTGTAATTAATGATATAAAATGTAGTACAGTACAATAATTACTATAATAATAATAAACAATTGTAATTAATTATATAAAATGTAGTAAAGTACATTAATTACTGTAATAAATAATAAATAACTGTAATTAATTATATTAAATGTAGTAAAGTACAATAATTACTATAATAAGTAATAAATAATTGTAATTAATTATATAAACTGTAGTACAGTACAATAATTACTATAATAATAATAAAACAATTGTAATTAATTATATAAACTGTAGTACAGTACAATAATTACTATAATAATAATAAACAATTGTAATTAATTATATAAACTGTAGTACAGTACAATAATTACTATAATAAATAATAAACAATTGTAATTAATTATATTAAATGTAGTAAAGTACAATAATAACTATAATAAGTAATAAATAATTGTAATTAATTATATAAAATGTAGTAAAGTACAATAATTATTGTAATAAATAATAAATAATAAATAATTGTAATTAATAACATTAAATGTAGTACAGTACACTATGAATATGTATAAACTGGGTCTAAATATAGCCTGACTGTTGTGGTCTGTTTATAGCATTAAAACGCGCTCTCTCTCTGGGGGCGTGGCTTACGGGCCAAATGGGCGTGGTCTGTCGGTTACCTAGCAGCCAGCGGAGCAGTGATTGACGGCTGAGCGGATTAAATCCTCAGCAGCGGAGCGGCCGGTCAGAAACGGCCCGAAAGGACTCCACCGTCCGGGTTTAAAGAGGAGACAGGTCCGGATCGAAGCGGGTTGTGGACTCTAACAGAGTTTAAAGCTGTTTTACTTTAGTTTATTGTAACCAGGAGCAACAGAGAGAGAGAGAGACAGTCCTACAGCCGAGGTAAGACCGGTCTGTTTGCTCCATGCAGCTGCAGTTTGAGCTGTATATTGTGTTTAATATTAGATATTATGGCTGTAATATCATAGTGTATGTTTAAATAGGGGTTAACTCTCTTATGAAGTTACAGACTGGAGTTTTTCACATTTGTTTCACAGGTTAAAGGAGAAAATCTGAATATACAAGTTAAAATATTTAAAACATAAAATAAAAAAAGGCCAGAAACGTTCAGTCATAGATAGAAAGGAGATAAATAGATGAGAGAAAAAGTGATGTAAAGAAATAAATACATAAAATATGTGTGGATTATTAAGATAATATGGACAGGGTCAAATACTGCTTTATAAAACTAAATCAATAGATTATAATAAAGATAAGATAATAAAGATAAGATAAGAAATTAAAAAATAATAATTTTAAAAACAGAAAACAGCAAAAACGTTTAAACTGTATAACTGTTACAAAGCAAGCTTCTCTTTTACACGAGGTTTCTATTGTAAACTGCAATGTATTTTACTTTCTTCTAGACCTTTCTATATCAGGTGTGTGTGTGTGTGTGTGTGTGTGTGTGTGTGTGTGTGTGTGTGTGTGAGTTTTGCTGAGTAATGCACAGGTACCAGTGAGGTGTGTGTGTGTGTGTGTGATGTAAGAAGTATTAAGAAGGTGCAGCATGCATGTGCTCACACTCACAGCTCAGTGACCC